AGTTGAAGGGGCCGGTCAAAAGACGGGGCGAAACAGTGTCAGTGCTGCGACGGGCTTGGTGATTGAAACAAATTCGAAATAGGACAGAAGGGGCCCAAACGATGAGATCAGATCCTAGAGTTGGCGCTATCTCCCCGGCAGTTGCTCTCTCTGTGTGTGGTTCGGTCGGTCCGTCGAGCCAAGCTTTGGCTACACGGCGTGCCTGGGCCCTAGGCCCTGCCCACCGGTCCCGAGCAGATCCCCGAACTGGACACAGTAGAAGCCCCAAGATATCGCATCGGACGGCACCAGGACTCGTCTTGGTGCACAGATGGCGACGCACGGGGTGCTCAACTAAGTACCGAAGCGAGCTGGGACTCCTGACGATCTCAATGACTCAATCTAGACTATTGGGCCGACGAGGCATCAGACACGGCACGGGCTGGGCTTGCACGTTTCTCTTGATGTTTATCTGCCCTCTTGGCGTCGCCAACGCCGAACCGTCCCTACATCACGCACCGGCGTCCCGGGAGGGGCAGCCACTGACGTACAGAGAGCCCTTCTGCTCGGGCATGAGAAAGGCAGTCGACCGAACGCCCCGAGCCTATCTTCCCAACTGATGCTAGATTGAGATTCGTCCATGGCGATTGGCGTCCTATATATAAACTCTTGTATGTATGTGCGCGCGTGCATGCGCTTGCGTTCAGTCGAGTCGATGCATGCTACCCAACGTGCTGGATTCCTCTGTTCTGCAAGTTAGCTCTGACATTTGGTTCGCCTATTTAGCATCTTTTCGTGGCTGATCAATGCAATTGTGTAGGTAGTAACCAGGTGCTCAACCTTACTCAGCCACAAGGCTACCACACGATTCTGAAACACACCGGGCGAGCGTCCATGCCGCGGATATTAAGACATTATTCCCGACCGATTTGCTGATGGAAGAATCAACACCCACGAGGGATGTCGAATACTAATAACGCCTCTCTCATATATGGTCCAACTATTGACAACGGTCTTTTTTTGGCAACCCATTCAATGCCCATCTCCTGCTTCGGCAGCTGATGAGTCGCTTTGTCCAGATATTGATGGAGCCTCGGTCTCGGTCACCTCGGGCCAGAATGACTTGCAGGAGGCTGGTGACCCTGGAAGGGATATGATACGCTGCTGTGGCTGTCAAGACCCTCTGACAGTCGGGGGGTATGACCTATGACAAACTCTAAATCCTACAGACGGGGCGAGTACGTACCACGCTGCGTATAACAGCAGCCTGGTCTGCTGGGAGATTGTAGTGTACACTCAGCTTACTGTACCAAGAGCTGTCATGTCACACCCGAGGCTGAATCGGCCGCGCGGGTGATTGATTCCCAAGATTGCACTCGATTCTCGGCCGGTGGTGGGGTGACTTCTTGCGGGGTCTGCAAGACGTGCTTGACAAAGGATCTGGGGCGAACCAACTTTCTGGGCTGCTTGTTGTGCCGTACCTGCGCCCTATCGCTGGACGTAAGCATTCAACTCAACTCAGGTCAAGTCAAGTCAGCCTGGGGGGTAACATGAACCCGAGTCTGTACAAGTGAGTTCGTACAGACTCGGGTTCAAGCGAGTCGAGATGTGTCAAGTTGAAGTTCGCGACCGGGCCGGCCGTCAACAGGCGCTCCTTCTACCAACAACGCAGTTCCCATGCGAACCGAACTGGCAGTGCAGCTTAAGGTTTGGCATCAAGTACAGGTGAGGCCACCCGCGGGATGGCGGAAGGGACGACGTGCAGACGACGACACTGCCCTCTTTCTGCCTCTGATATCAGACGGAGTGGAGAGTGACGCGATGCTGGTCTGGGAAATCTGTTTCTTGAAACCGAAGCGAGCGTGTCCAGGGCCAACCAAGCCTGCCAGGGTGTTGACGGGTGCTCGGTGTTAGCCTGGTGCTTGCATCCCGAGTCTTGAGTCTTGGCCGCGGGCACATAGGCCCCATAGGCCCATAGGCCCACTCGCCCGCACGCCTACACCGGCACCGGCACACGCCTACACCCAAACTTGAACCTGGAGAAAATCCCCGCGAGCTTATCGCGACGGAACCTTATTGTGAAACTTTGCTGTTCCTTCGTCGTCCATTCCTCCCGTAACATCAGCGAATCGGCCTCATCGACATCGACACATTGCCATCGCCATCGCCATCGCCATCGACCCAGCCCAACCCGCAACGCGCGCCTGCGGTCATCATCTCACAGCCTCACCCGACCTCTCTCACCTTCCGAGAGGTTGCGCCCCTCCCCCCCCTCTCATCCGCATACCACATATCATCAATACGTGCAGACCAGCAAGCTGGACCTAGATGCCATGTCGGTCCTGAGATCTCCTCATCGCAGATCCCTGACTCTAGTCTCTGGTACACCCGTGGCCAATGTTGCTTCTGTGTACGGTGGGCCCACGACCAGCGAGCCCCAGTCCGAGCGCTGCACCGGCCGACCAGCCGCCCCTTGAGATGATTTCCAGAGTCTTCCATTGCATAGAGTACACGTATGGTCAACAGCTATTTGATTCTCGAGTCTGCCTTGCGGTCGCGTCTCAAGTTCAACGTCCAGGTCTTCCCACCATATATGGTTTCTGATATCTGATCAACTACCCTTTACGGATGACTTCAGACGAAAGGTTACAAGGCGAACAACCAGCAACTTGGGATGGTCTGAGCCCGTCTTCCCTTCAGTCACGGGCAGGGGTCCAGGTGGCGCCGTCTGGTGGCCCCGGCTACGCCCAAACGGGCAAAAATCTGAGCGGTAGCCGCTGAGGGAGGGGGCGTACACGCCGCAGAACATGGCATCGTGAAAGGCGTGGCGTTAGTCGGTCTGCCAAAGGCCTGGCCCTGCGGCCTGACGATCATTTACAGTTTGCTTGCATGACCGCCGAGCCTTGCAGGAACCTAGTCCCCATCACCCTCACCTGCACCGGCCGACCCACCACGCCGACCACACCTGGCTCGAGGATATCCAGTCACCATAAGCCTTTCCTGCACAGAGGCCTGCATCAAGTATGTTGTGTCCCAACCGAGAGATCCGAGGGGCTCCTTGCATGTTCAGCCAGTCCTCTTGACTATCCTCCTCCTTCGAGAGCACAGCATGTCCCAGGCGGGAATATAACGACGTGCTTCCTGTTCCGAGCAGTTGGATTCGGGCCATGATTGGGCAGACCGACCCATGCTCGCTCTCTGTGTCTCTGCCACCAGGGGGTCTCCTCCTCCCACGCCGTCCCAACCAGCGGATGGCTGGGCAGACAGCTCCAATCTTTCACATGAAGGACCCCAATGCAGTTACGCAAGGCATGCACGGGCGCTCCCTCGAGGTTCTCAGCCTCTGGCATGGTGGCATTCGTCCGTTACCAAACTTTCATCCCACAATTTGACAGAGTAAATTTACCCTGTGTCATCTAGTGATTGGGCCTTGTCCCTACTGAAACTCGTGTCAGCTAACGTCCACAGGTTTCGACGCGTAGGCGCACTTCTATCTTCTTGGAAGGTCTTGAGGCATCTGATCTCGCCCCAGTATTTCCACCCTTCTAAGAAGCTTCGGGACCTAGCCCAACCGGTTGCCGTGTGGGCCTCTCTAACCGTCCGCCCATCGTCATCGCGGGTGTCTGTGCGATCAACGCTCGAGTAGCTACTCCCTCACCATTAGCAGCCGCCTCGTATCCTTACTCGTAACGTCGAACGCCCACAGCCGTGCATGCTGTGGACCAAGTTCCCAACCCAGGCACTGGCTCGCTGACCAACATCGAGGATTATCTGTGTCATCGTTAGACCGCATTCGAAACGATGGGGATTTTCTAGTCTCCTTCGCTGCCTCCATCCCAAGTGAGCTTGATCATGTACCTTGATCCGTCTTACCGGCTCCCATCGACTATGAGGACAGACCCACTCCGCGGCTCATATCCCCCGACCCATGTCCTCGCTCGCGGCTGAGATTGCAACCCCTGGGCATGTCAGCTTGCCTGCTAGGCGCCCTAGACATGCTCATCACCACACAGACAAGGATGGCTCCCCTTATCTGTTGAGCTCCCTGCTCAGAGGCACCGCCTCAGGAATGGTAAGGCCTATGTATGTGTATCTCCTCAATTTTCCCGATGTGACATGGACCGAGTTCCATCTCATCCTCTCTCTTCATAACGCCGTTCAGGGAACAAGTTTTGATGCAAGATTTCCATGATCGGGAAACTATTGTTCTCCGCTTCCCAACTCGGACACGTCTGTTCATTAAACAATTTCCTTTTCCTTCTTCTTCCTGGCTTGGACCCCTCCTTCCAACCATCTTTCATCTCTCCTCACTGCCTTGATACTATTCCGCGTGCCTGTGCCTGGTGACAAGCTTCAGCAGCACTTACACCACACCGATCACAACATCTACCACTGTCTCCAGCCGCGTCCGTCTCTTCGCTCGAAGCAAATTACGCGTCTCGCTACCTGTGCTCGTCATTGTCTCACTTGTTGATCAAGTCGTGGCACCATGGTCTTCTGCGCATATTGCGGGAAGAGCTTCACCCGCAAAGAACACCTGGAGAGGCACATTCCAAGTCGTAAGCCTCTGCCTCCTTCCTGCAGCGCCTGGGGGCGTTCTTAACTAACTCACCCCCACAGACACCAATGTAAAGCCTCACAGATGTAGTGCTTGCCAGCTATCCTTCGCTCGCAGGTGAGACACCCCAATTCGAGCTGGCAGCTTGAGTCTTCCCGCTGACGATCATCATGATAGGGACCTCCTCCAAAGACACCATTCCACGTACCATGAAGCAAGAGATCCAATGGAGCCTCTTCCTGGCGGAGTCCCCACGGTTGCTGGCAGAACGCCTATAGCGTGCCAGAACTGCGCGAGCGCGAAGACTGGATGTGATAAGAGGGTTCCCTGCAGTCGATGTGCTGAGAAAAACCTGCCATGCGCTGCTCGATTTGCGCGAAGGTCATCCAAGGCTGCTGTGAGAGCAGCACAAGCCAGCGCTGCGATGAGTAGCCAGGTCTTACCTGGAGCACCAACACCAGCAATGCCAACAGCTGTCACATCCTCGATGATGGATATGGATCAGACCCTCGCTACGTCAGGCTCGCCGAGCAAAGGCTCTCCGCCAGAAGAGGTCGCATGCGCCGACCTGAAATTGCTCTCCAGCCCCCAGCAAAAGTCGCCTCAAGAGGAAAACCACTTCAGCCCCGTCGGATTTTCATCACCTCACACAAAACTTGATGTTATGAACGACTTTATGCAGCTTGGCACAGACTTCGTGACGCACGACCAAAACTACTCAGATCTGCTCGTCTGGCCTGAGTATCCCATGGAGCTGGACATTTATTCGAGCGCCATGGCTATGCGACCAGATTTGGGCCATGGTATGCCCTCCTTTGCGGACATCAGCGACTCGTGTTCCAATTCTGAGCCCATGACAGCAACTTCATCGCGCGCATCGGTCCACACGAGAGGGACAAGTATCATGTCCACTGCGAGCTTTGATCCCACAAAGTGCATAGACATGACAATGCAGACCCCGAAGGATACCAGCATCCCAGAATTTGAAGTCGTCATTGCTTCAGAAAACTCGTGGCCATTGGCGAGATGTAACCCGCCCACTTTCTCTGGCAACTGCCCACGGACCGCGATCGTCCATCTCGAGGCCCTCGAACAGAAGTGCCAGCAAGAAGGCACATGGGACGCCCTGGACAAGTACCTAGGACAATTTGGCAACGAAGCACCTCACATGCCTGCAGTCGTTCCGATCAGCTCTCGGACACGTGATAAGATGACGGCCATCACCCAGTCATTCTTACACAAGGCCCTTGGCGTGCACAGAGCAGGTGTCAATGGCTACTCTAAAACAGGGTACGCCAGCCCAGGCGGCATGTGCAACTTCATAATGCTCCCGCCATCAAGCGTCCTAGAGTACTTCCTCAAGAGCTACGTGCGGAGCTTGTGCGGATATTACCCAATGATCTTCGCTATGAGCCTCGACCCAAATGAGATGGTTCAGAACACCCAGGCCGCGACACTGCTTGTTCTACTCATGATTGCAAGGGGCGCAGCGGCCGTGCCGATGGCAGAGGCAAGATACCTGTCTGCCGGCCTCACAGAGACGTGTCGAATTTCACTGTTTGATATTATCGAAAAGGACGTCGAATTGTCAGCCGATCCGATTGCGTTGCGATGCGCGTTGCTTTTCACACTACTGGGCGCATGGAGCGGAGACAAATGGCAAATGGATATTGCCATGGGCCAACGTGGCATGTATCTCACGGTGAGAATCCAAAAAGTGATTTCCCATATTGAGCCGTCACTGACAAAACTCAGATGTTGAAACATGCTGGCATGTTAGAGCCACAACCATCGATGATACCGGCCTTCAACGACTCGACCAGCACTGAGCTTCAGTGGAGGGCATGGATGCATCGCGAGACACAAAACAGGTAGGGACCTCGTCAATCTCATATTCCGAAACCCTCAGAAGCTGACTTCTACTTTCCAGACTTGTCTACAACTGGGTGATGGTAGACCAAGAGTTGAGCCTGTTCCATGACACTGCTCCAATTCTATCTATTTCTGAGCTTCACTGTCCTTTGCCAGGCTCTGAACTTCTTTGGCTCTCACCCAATTCTGAGCAATGGTTGGCTGGGATTCAGTCTCTTTACGGCTGCACCAATAATGTCAACCCACAGCTTCTTACCCCGCCTTCTCTTACCCCATCCCTGTTCGACCTCTTCCAAGATTTCTTGCACGATAATCTTTCCCGTCGACAGTCTAGCCTCACACCCCAGCAGCTTCGCCTTCTTCTACACCCCATTCAGTCTCTCCTCTGTCACCTGCGTCAGATGCTCTCTTGCTTTTCGGACATCCTTGGGGCCAGGCGATCGACAGCCCGCACTGTGACAAGGGCCTCAACCTTCCAACGACTGGAAGAAGTCCAGGCTTTGCTTCAGAAGTGGTACGAGCTTGCCATTGTCCAGCACAAGGCCAACCCGAACTGCACAATGACGCAGTGCAACATCATTTTGTACCACCTGATCTCTTTGAACGCCGTGACCAACTTCCCCGAGATCGAGAGGCTTGCCCGTAAGGAGGGCTTCGAGGCCGGTGGACCCACCTACTGGGAGCTGAGCCTGAGGCACAAGAGATGCATCTACCAGCGAGAGGAGGCCATTTTCCACTGCGGCCAGGTGCTAAGGCTTCTACGATCCATGCCGGCAGGCAAGCTACCGCCGTGGTGGAGCACAGCAACATACAGGGCGACGCTGATTCTTTGGACGGACGCTATCGGGCGGCTCGACCCGAGCTTCAAGACGGCACTGAACGATGGCTCAAGCCCCGAGAGCGGCACCAATACTAGCAGCTCCGTGGTGGCAGTTGACCGAGTGACCCCCGAGGACCCTGCGGTGATCGCGTACCTCTGGAGCGGCGATGGGATAGCTGTGCTCTCGCGTGACAACGGCACACCCGTGAGCCTGGACAGCCCGGCTAACATCTTGGACTTGGGAATCAAGACTATCGAAAATGGGATAAGCACACGGATGGGTGATGGGATCAGAAGGAAGCTGGTCACGCTGGCGGATAACTGGAATTCGGATATGATTAGCGCTGTGGCTGCTTGATGCCGGATTGCTGGAGTTTCTATTTTAATTCTCTTTTTCTTGTCGGTGCTTAGACAGTTGGTCACGCTGGGTCACAGGCCAGGTGTTGCACTGGATATCTAGACAGGGCTTAGGGGCTGGTTGGCTTCGGGCAGGAGCTACTGATTGTTCGGCGTTTATGGGTATTCGGGCTCGACGCACATCACACGTGATGATTCATGAAGGCGGTGCCTTTCTTTTTTCTTTTGATACGGCGCAACACAATGAAGTACATATTTCACGCACAATTTCACTGCTGGATATACCATCGCCAAGTTTGGTCTCATGAATCTATTGTTTCGACCCGGATCGGAGAGATCTTGTCGTTACCCCCAGGGCGTGGCTTGACAATGTCCACTACTGTCGCACCAGACAGTAGTAGGATTTAAACATTGATCGTGTGATTAAGTTGAATACCAAGCTTCACTTTGACATGTAACGCTGACAAGCTCCCGCCGCGTAGTTGCGCGCCCTACGAGGCAGTGGCGGTCTTCTGACTGCTCACCACCCAGATTATAGCGCCCAACGCATAAAAGCTTCATTCACGATCGCGAATCAGAGTGGCGGTTGGCTTCCCTGGTTCACGATGGAGGGCTGTTGCCTCCCGCGCATGAACCAGCCACGGCCGAGATGGCGATCTACAGCCAGTTCAGCTCCGCGCAGCAGCGCCCTCAGCCCTAGCAAAGGCTGAGATGTGCGGCCGCTTGGAGGCGAGATGTGTGTGGGGATCCCCAAGCCGCAGCTCCGTTCGATGAGGTTTATCTGACTGACTGATTGAGCCCTCCCGACACACAGCCATGGCGGAGAATTCGGGGCCCAGATCAGATCGTGCAAGCTGGTGCCTGGGAAAGAGTTGTTTGAGGTGGTGAGATGTGGTGGAATTACGCTACAGGCTGGTTTTGTTGGGTCGGATTTATGCGCGCCACGGTCTTGGTGATGGGTCAGAATAAGAATGTGGAGCGAGTACCCACGTCCCCACCCTCCTCCTCATCTTCCCCCCACCCCCAAGCCAAGCGACTGGGGTGCCCCATATAAACGCCCCAACGAATCAAAGCCCTCGATCCCGTTCCCCACTTGCCATATGCAGCAGTTGTGCTTGCAGGGTACAGGGCCTGGATTCAGCCCGCTTGGGAGGGGGGCGGCTCTGATAGAAAAAGACAACATGTGTTTAGCCGTACCTTTGTACCTCGCCTCGTCTTACACAACCAGGATATGTGCTCCTCAGAGTACGTACTTGACCTCTGCCTAGGTACGCATCGTACTGTACTCACTCTACATCCACTCTATATGTTCTATGGCTGCGGCCCGGGCCTATGCTGTGGAAGCAAACAAGCTCGCGATTCCTTCTCACTTGACCCAGCATCCATCCTCCATCCTCCATCGGGACCGAGTTCTCACAGCAGCTTGCCACTGATCGATGATACTCTGCGGTGATTCCTGCACGGTGCCGGCCCAGTGTGCCCAGGTCTGTCGTACGTGCTTAATTTCTGGAAGCACAGGTTGCGTCACAATGGCACGGCATCATGCGGGCCGCGCCAGCCTGGCCCTCTTGCGAACCCATAATGGGCAAAAAAGAAAAGGCTGCGAAACACAAGGTAATCAAATCTCCACAACTGGTTTGGGCGAGAGCTCTTGATTCAGAATCTGGGAAAAACTATGTCACACACGGTGGCTGGAACCCCCGCCGCCGTCGGCGCCGTGGTCTTTCCGAGCCACGCGTGCATGGCATGGGCAAGCTCAGACGGACCTCTTGCGCCTGATGAATCACCAAGACAACCCGCTGGGCTTGTCAATAGTTGCTTTTTTCCACTCTCAGTCGGCGATCCGAACGCCTGGCCCCGCTGTGAATGTCGGCGTCTGGCTTGCGGAATCGCACCGAACTGACACAGGTCGGGATCTCTGCGTGCTCTTGTTTTTGAGACCTCGCCACGATCCTTTGCCATGCTGACGGGACGTTGTGGCTTTGGAGTAGTTCACCGAGTGCTCACGCCCAACTTTTTTGCTTTTGATATGCAGAGCAAATACGCCCCTTGTAGACGAATGTATCATTCGGCTAAGGCAGCCGATTGGTTTGCTCGGCATAGAAAAGGGGTGCGGCAGCCCGACAGTTCCCGCCTCCCGGGAGGAACCAGCTCCTCCGGGATGATCTTGACAATGCATATGAGCCGGGTTTCTCGGCCCCCAGATCCTTTCTTGGGTCAAGGTAGCAGCAAAAAGACTATCTTTGAGTACCTGCATGGTTCTCTCGGATCATTACGAATGCGGCAGAACTGCGGCACTGTAAGGCGCCCCAAGTTCTCGGGACACACAGGGGTGCAGCTCGAGAGACGTATATTGGTGTGTGCTAAGCTCAAAATTCAAGGCATCACGTCGACACGGCCCTCGATAAGAGTATGTTCGTATCGTGGGTGTTTCATTTCTTGTTAGAGATTGGATTTCGAATCGGTTTGAAGGCTACCACACCTCGGAAGCGCCGGTAGGGAGAAAGATAGGGAGACAAATAGGGCATTATTAAACAACCAAGGTTCAGTCTAAAGATCGTAGTATGTTGATCCATACATGGTGGTTGAGCGGCACGACCCGTTCGAAATGGCCCGTCTCGGACGGATAGTGTTGCCGGCTGAGGTGAGCATGAGATGTCCTCCACTCCTTCAGGAAGATCACCAATTAGTTGCAATGATCGACTTACCTAATCTCTGTACCTACATCACAATCCAAGCCTCTCATCTAGGAATATTCCCAGAACGTTGCCCATCACGAGACCATTACCCTCTTCAACTGGTATTACAGACATTTTCATGGAGACTGATTTGTGCGAGGCAGGTGTTGCATCGACAGCGGCTGGCACTACGCGCTTGGAGCACTTTATTGACTTTGCAGAAAAGCTCTCATCCGCGCTCTCAAAATAAATGGAGTTCACGAGGCATCAAACCCCACAACATTGACAGATGGGACCAGATGGAATGAACGAGATGAATTCTCGATTATTCTCGAATAAACCGAAGAACATGAGAGACGAAAGAATTGATGGAAAACACCATCCGAACCAGTCGCGCATGTGTTGTCGACAGATTCATGCGGTACGCCTATGTGGGCAGTCTGAAAACCATCTTCAGATAATACACAGACTTACTGCATGACGATAAGAAGCAGAGAAAATCGTCCTATCGTCAGAATTTGGGAGGTTTACTGAAGTTCTGAACTGCTATGGTAATCAGAGTGGCCCAAATACTCAGTGTAGTGTGTCCGGACATCCGATGGGGTAACGAGCACTAAGCAAGCAGGGACCACACTTCCTGATACAGCCGGCCAGACGGTTCGTGATCTGAGAGCGCCCCGAACCTCAATTCAATAGCAGTCCTTAGAAGGGGCTGCAAATCTTGGCGTGTTTCTATTTGCGGCTGGGGCTGCCACGTTCGGTCCATTGTTTGCTTCGTGGGCACCGAGCTCATGGGCCCCAATCCCACCAAAGACTGGCTCTTGGGACCGTGCCAGAAGCCACCGAAACAGGACCGATGGCGCGCAATGTCAGGGCCGGTATCCGAGCTGCGGCACGGAGTCCCTTGCTCGCCTCAGCACCGGCGGCCCCTTGCCCGTCGTTTTACCCCAACTACGGAGCTCGCTGGCCACGGACTTTGGGGGTAAAGTTTTAGAAACAAGTTTGTCCGGACCTGGCCTTTATATTCATCGGCTCCCGTGTCTACCGACGACATGGAAGCTTTGAAGCCATACTCCATCTTTCATCTTATCGAAGATAGACTTATCTGAGATTTACCTTCGTTGTATTGAATAGCATTGTCACGGCATCAAAAGCACAACCAGCCCGATCTAAAATGGCTCCCTCAGCAGTAGATGTTTCCTCCTCGGAGGCCGCCACAACCACTTTCGACCCTGCACGCCCTCTCGCTGGCAAGGTTGCACTGATCACAGGTGCCGGCCGTGGAATCGGCAGGGGCATCGCAATCGAGCTCGGCCGCCGCGGTGCTAACATTGTTGTCAACTACGGAAGCTCAGCCAAGTCGGCCGAGGAGGTCGTCTCAGAGCTCGCCAAGCTCGGCTCTAAGGGCGTTGCCCTCCAGGCAGACATCAGCGACCCGGCCTCAGTGAGCGGTCTGTTCGAGAAGGCCATCGAGCACTTCGGTTACATCGACTTTGTCATCTCCAACTCGGGCATGGAGGTCTGGTGCCCCGAGGTGGACGTCACGCCCGAGCTGTTCGACAAGGTGTTCGGGCTCAACTGCCGCGGCCAGTTCTTCGTCGCGCAGCAGGCGCTCAAGCACTGCAGGCGTGGCGGCAGGCTCATCCTCACCTCTTCCATCGCCGCCAGCATCGGCGGTATCCCCAACCACGCCCTTTACGCCGGCTCCAAGGCCGCCATCGAGGGCTTCACGCGCGCCTTCGCCGTCGACTGTGGCGAGAAGGGCATGACCGTCAACGCCATTGCCCCCGGCGGCGTCAAGACCGACATGTTCGACGAGAACGCCTGGCACTACGTCCCCAACGGCTACAAGGGCATGCCCATGGACATCATCGACCAGGGCCTGGCCAACATGTGCCCACTCAAGCGCGTCGGTACCCCCGCCGACATTGGCAAGGCTGTTTTCACCCTCTGCAGTGATGAGGGCGAGTGGATCAATGGTATGCATGAAATTTCGCACTTAAATATCCCTCATGATGTTCTTTGGTGATTCGAGATGTGCTAACTCGTGGCGTAGGTCAAGTGATCAAGCTGACCGGAGGAAACGCTGTGTAAGGCAGTACAGACGCCATGATCTGCACTGCCAGCAGCATTGCTTTGTCTTGCTTTTCCAACATATGGCTGCATTTTGACCTGGGGGAAACGAGCGTGACACATGATTTTCTTTAACAAACCTCATGTAAACCGGTTGCTCGGACGAATGGGTCTCCTGATCAATTGATAGCGAGCGTCTAGTGCAGTACAAGGCGTGGAGAAGGTTTCACATTTACATATAGTTAATCAAGCCACATGAATTCTTCATTTATCACAACTTGTTTGTCCCCACGCGAAACTTATACGCTCTCAGTTGAGAAACGAATGTTGACCATGTAGTTCCCAATAGCTTCGCGTATAGTTCTGGTCAAAGTGTGCATGTTGTACGACATTGTCGCACACGGAGCACTCTTGGCTCTCCTACATTACGACACGATACACACGAAAAGCTTTGTTAGAGACACCGCTTCTTCGAGTCTGATTTCGGAAAGCGACACAAGCCTGCACGCTCTTTACGAGAGGCCACTCAGTCTCGACCGCAGCTGCATGCCTGGGGCTCTGGCCGCTGCAAAGCCTGCGAGTCTGTGGTCACCTTCTAGACCACATGTGACAACTCATACTATTTACTGAGAGAACACCTCGAGAGTCCGCCTTTTCGTGGAGCCATGATTGGCATCGAGATACGTCCCACTGCGTTGTACATACAAATTGGGCCAGCTGGCGGTCCCACGCGACATCACACTCGTCACGCCGGGAGTCTGGGCAGGTCCATGATCTCAACAAATAATATATGCGTCATGGATCGTGTCGTAAAGAATGAAGCGATTACAGCTTCCATGGGTAGCTGGCCTCGGACTCATGGTGTGTTGAGGTAGGTGGATGACTACATGCCTAGGTGCGTCCAGCTCCCCGGACTTGTACATCATCACGTACCTTACTGACTCAGATGTTAGGCACGAAATAAAAGATACCAAATATAGCCTAAGTGCCTTTTGAGAATGTACACAGTCCCTTATTAGCCTGTCTGGTGGACCTTTGCCTCATTCTCCTGTGATGTCCAGAGGATCCCCCGCCGGGAGGGGGGGGGCTGACAGAAGCGGGCCATCGAGGACGAATCAACGCTCGCATCTTCCTCCCGGGCTTGAACCATTCCAGGGCTGTGGTTCTCACTTTGACGTGAGCTTATGCTGATAGGAGGCACTGCCTTTGCCTTGCTTCGCCAGTAGATTACGTCGAACGACCTGGCACTAGGAAGAGAGGTTCAGCCCTTGACTTCTGTAAGAGCTGAAGCAAGACTACAATTTCCGTGATATTTCCGTAGCAGTTGTTTGGAATATTTTACTTATGTGAAGAAGCATTCTCACACCCACTCCGCCGAAACGGGGGGTGGGAGTCTCGGCAGTTGGAAGCAGGCCACAAGCCACGCAGGCCTCATCTCATGACATCCGTCTGCAAGGGCCTCTCCCTGTATGTGTCCTCGAGAACATACTTCAAAATGAGTAAGTCGCAAAATACTGCTCTCTTGCGAGCCCTTATGCACAGCAAGACGACCCGGCCGGAAGTATGAGGTGAGGTGCCCAGCCCATCCTGCATCCCACGGGATATCGTCCGAACAGTAGGACAGGCAGGTCGCATGCGTGAATTCTTACCATTGGGCAAGTCGTGCCGTAGACAGAGGTCTAGTTTCCCCATGAGGAAGAAGCCAAGTCCTATTCCCCGTCCCCCTGTGGTACGTACAGCGCAGCTTTCGAGACTGTGCGCTGCCAAACAGGTCGGGCAGCCTCCATTCTGCCAACGTCCTGCCAGGGGCCCTGGTATAATGTCAGCTGTGTGTTCACATGCTCTTGAGGCTATGCAAGGTGGGTGTGGGTGGGAATGGAGACTTGTGTAACACAGTCAGCACGAAATCGTACCATCGTCGCATTTGCTCCTTTAGAGTTCAGATGCTAGAGGTGGTCAGCTTACCTTTCGAGGTCGACGATGGCAGCCCGTCGAGTTTCAAGATAAACGACCGGGCGATCTCACAGGAGCTGTAAGAGATAGCCCACTGTTTCCAATCTCACGTGAGCGTTGTTCGTGGAGGTTCTTCAGAGCTGGCTCGGTTTTTGCCGTGTAACCCCCGGTGTGTGTTCGCGGTGGAAGACAATGTGCCTGTGAGAAATACCCACTGAACGCAGCCCCAGTATGCAGCGCTTGAACACGACGTAGTCTGACTCAATAGTATGACAGACATTGCGTAAACGCGCTGTGGAGAGACTAAACGCCGACCCCTTGCAATCACGCGCCGTCAGCTTGCGTCACAGCATCGTGCTGCCCAGCCCGTGGCGAACAACGATCAATTCTCATCACCTACCACGATTGATTGAGCTCAAAGGACTTCCTGTGACAAGTACAGTGCAGGATGGAGTCTAGGTACCTGCCGAATAGCGATACACCGAGCTTGACAATAGACGAGCCGGACCGCCACTTGAAAGAGGCGCTGGAAAACATCATCACCAACCTGCCTCCTCAAGACCGTTACACTGGCAGCAATGACGTGCTCAAAGGCCTCTGGGCAGGTCCAACTGGATTCGCATACCTGTTTCTCGAGGCCTCCTCGCTGTATCCACACCTGAAGGTGGCTGGACATCACGCCCTCACCTGGGCGCGCAGGTACATGGAGGGCGCCAGAGGCGACCTGGGCCTCAACTCGAGGTGCGGGTTATCGTGTGAGAAGCTGGCCTACGAGGCGGTCCAGGCATGCATCACCAAGGATATAGCCTACGTCAATGCCTTCCTCTCTAGCCTGCCTGAGATTCTAGGGCCGGGCGGCTGGCCGGACGAGCTTCTGCAGGGTCGTGCCGGGACGCTCTACTTGCTGCGAATGATCCGCCACTGGGTCCCCGACAGCGCGGTCCTGCTAGACCGGTCAATCGACGCCGTCACCACGACCATCTTGGCGGGAGGCCCAGAGTGGAAGTGGCACGGGACGCGTTATCTGGGGGCTGTCCACGGTGACATTGGCATCGTCACACAGCTTGTCCTCACGACACCGTCGCTGGCAGGCCGCCTGGAGGGAAAGATGAGGGAGCTGTTGGGGTTCCAGTTGGCTGGTGGGAATTGGCCGACCTCTGTTGGCAAGACAAGTGCCTCGCTCGTGCAGTTCTGCCACGGTGCACCAGGGTTCCTGCATTCTCTAGTCTCACTCCGGCCCTACTTCCCCGGCCTCCAGCAAGAGATCGACGCGAGCATTGAACAGGGCCGTCTTTGCGTTTGGAAGGAAGGCCTGCTTCGAAAGGAGCCGTCCATATGCCACGGAATATTTGGCAATGCCCTGTGAGTCGTTCCGTAACCAGTGAAATCGGCAGAAGCCAAGCTGAACTGAAAAACAAGCACTTTACGTGATCCTGAGAGACAACATTTCCTGGCCATGGCGACGCCAGAGGCTGTCGCTGAGATCAGAAAGAAGGACGGGGCTGTGTTCGAGCCGGCAGACTATGGAAATAGGTATGCCACTATTGCAGGCTATGCACTGAGTGCTGCATGGTCATGGATGGTCTCTGGGGAGCAGTCACCAAGGGTGATATTCTACAACGATGTGTGATACAGAAGGTCGCCCATGGGGACGCATTAGTCCTAGTTCCGGTTGCCGATCTGACGCGTGTGACGTTGATCATTTTAACAAGCTCACCGATGAGCCAAGATCTGGCTGGGGCTCAAGGGTAGCTGCAGGCAGGCAGCAGCAAAAGCAGGAGCAGTAGCAGCGGCAGCCCGAAAATGGACACTCGCGTCCGAGAGACCCGGATACGTGGACAGAGGCAACATCACAGCTCTGACTACACGATAGCCAATGAGGGACTTCGCAACATGCGCAAGGATTACCTGGATATCACTCTTTAGCATCGCTGCACCCCGATGACCAAGACGTAAGGCTGACTTCTGGTAAGCTCATCAGTGACCAGAAGCTGAGCGAGTTTATACCTGGGCCCGTATTTCCAGCGACTTGGGAGATCTTGATAACAGAATGTAAGACGTGCCTTGGCGGTGAGAACCGGTCCCACGCCGGGACCGACCAACACCGGCACTCCGAGGAGAGAAGAGGTTTTCGATTTTCGTCGAAGCTAACAAGTGCTGATGCTTTTCAGCCGTGGATGTGCCGACTGGCCGGGGGAGTCGGCTCGAGGGAGGCCAGAACAGGAATTGGCCCACGTTGCACAACGCAACTGTCGTTCTGCTCTGGGCTGCATTAGATATTCTGCACGTCTTACAGCAGCATACAACTATCAGAGTTGTGGCTTGATTGTGTGATGGCCAGTCTTCAGACACGTCGCCCAGATGTTGATGGAGTCTCTCTTGGAAGCCCAAGGTTTCGAGGCTGAAGGATCAGTCACAAACTGCCAGTTGTGTTCAGCCAAGGGTTGCAACAGATCGCTGGGTAAGGGCTGGCTGGGCTCAATCCTTGTTTGATGCTGTCAGACGGCCATCACGCCAACCTTGAGCACTAGGTGTGGCAGGCTGTGGAGTCTTGAGACGACCAATGACCAACCTCAAGGCAGCCAGAGGATCACCAAAATAGGACAGTGATCTTCCTTAGTGGAGTGCGTCGCGCAGAAGCTCTGTGCCTAATCTTCAGCTCCTATCACAGGTCCCTGACGATGGGCTAGACTCGCCAACCTATGCGAGCATGCGATCAAGATGAGCCAAGGTCTGTTGGTCATCCCGAAGGGTGCTGTGTGGGCAGGATCAAGCGGGAAAATTGTCCCGAGGCTGCCCTCTATCTCAGAAGTGACCTCGAAGTCCGTACGGCACACACGGACAGTCCTCAAGGCCTGAGCTAATTTGCCGACTCCCGCGCAACCATCCATCCGAAGCATTGCAATTTGTATGATACTCGCCGTCGTCTTGCTCGGTCATTTTCCGGTGTCTTTCAGACCTCCCAAACCATATCGTCAGCACTCAGCCGATGTTTTGGAGCATTTGCGCCCTGCCCATTAGTAACGCACGGCGTCGTCGGCTTCCCGTATCGAGACTGGCCCTGAGCTTCCGTTGACATGGGCAAGGGAGTTACTAAGTAGCTGAGGTTGTTAGGGTCGCCCGTTGGCAGAACCATGAACCTGGGTACCAAAATGATCGACGGCACTATGTCCTGGGGTACGAATGTACGTGCGGTGACATGACATGCAAGACCATGTAGGGACTCAAGCCCGTTCCTAACTAAGGACGAACCGTCTCCGGCATGTCTTACTCCCTTGCCCTAGCGGCCCAGGGAGTGCAATCCGCCCTGAAAGACCCGCCGAATCTGTGCGGCAAGCGTTGAAATACCCGCGGGCGTTTTTCAGTCGCCCGAAACTTGAACAATGCGAAGGCGCTGTTGAAGGAGAGGGGGAGGGGGTCCCTCGTGGCGTGCCCCGGCGCGCTACGTCCGCTCCTTTGGCGACTTGTTCCAGTACTGTTCGATGGTCAGTGGTAAACTGGGGCGTGAAGTCGCGCCGCCAAAGCCGATGAAGGCAAGCGCTGACATGTGTGGCTGATGTCCTCTCGCACTCCAATACCTCCAGTCCTGCATACGACAGGTCACCTTGCATCGAATGTCCAGGCGCATATACGGGCTGGGGTCTCTGCTATAGGTCCAGGGATCAGGGGTTTGACAAGGACTGCATACGTCGCTGTTGATTATGTTTGATAGGGACACTTGGCGACGCCTGTTTGCATTCACAGCATCGCGCCTTCAGGAAAGGCTTAAACTCGGATGAATGATATCTTCAACACTCTCAAGGCTTGCCCGGGAGGAACAATAGTGTCACCTAGTTTGGTGAAGGTCTGTGCCGATCTCTGTGCGCCGGGGCCGTTGACGCGAGACCGAGGTGGTAGAACACATGTTGAAAGTCAAGTGCGTGGCCGTGCATGAGTGATGGACTGAACTTTGTCCACCACGGGCAAAAGTGGTACCAGAGTGTCGGGTGCCCTCTTTTAGCTGCGCTGAGCGAAGTAGCGAGAGCCTAGTATCTTTGAGGGCGACTCCGATACCCGCTGTCACAAGTGCCAAGATGCTGTGGGATCCCGAGCGTAGTACCTCGCCTCCTCCGTGGGCTTCCGCTATCAAATAGGAGCGCTTCTCACCTCGGCCGAGCTGATATCTGAAGCATCATGGACTTGCTAGCACGTCTCATCTTTTAGTGACTACCATCAGACTCCTTTCCGTGGGTGAAGTGGGGGAGGGGGGGGGGGAGCGGGGAGCGGGAGCGGGAGGCTGGATGGACACGAGCCTTGCTCGACCACCAGTAAAAGGGCATAGCGATCAACGTTGTGAGAGGTCTCCTCACAGACAGGACCCCTGTGGCACGGGCACAGGTACCGTCGTGCGGGTTGGGGGCCCATCCGCCGCGGACACATCCACATGTGAAACTACGTGGGCAAACAAACATTCCATACAAATTTACCCATTGGCCGGTTCCGCCGTGACGGCTCCCGAAAGCTTATTCCTTAAATCCTCTCCTAGTTCAGCCCTAGTTCTTACCCCGTTGCCTGTCTGGCTTCGGACATCTCCACTTCATGATGTAATCCCAGAGGACCCGCTGTCTGCACCAGATCCCTAGCCTTGGACTCGGTCCGTTTCTCGGCAAGCACAGAAGGGCTGTAGACAGCTGCCGGCGCCTTATATCCGGGCTGACGGGGCTATTGGAGGCTTCCCAGGTGCTTGGGAATGGCAGTTTCAGCTGGGCCGTCTGGGAAGAATGTCCCCTGTCCCCTGCCTGGGGTAAAAATGGCTGCTCAGGGCTGTTGAGCACCGCCCAGTGAGTTTAACGCCGATAAGGTGTACGTTTGTGATGAGCCTCCGTGACACCCACCCAGTGTACGTCGAGCACATGGTACTCATGTTGTGCGCCCTGGAGCCCACGGACTGGCCAACCAATCTCGCATACACCTACAGCAGCTCTCCCTTCCCGAACGTTCCTCTCAGGTGCGACAAGAAGCACCAGGGTCAGGCTCCGACCAATGCCAAATTCTCCAGACAGGAGTGTGAAATACAGTCATATCGTACAACAACCCACACAGATTTCCGCACTCACCACAAGGCAGATTAGTTCAGGAACAAAGATACAGAAGTGGCATTGATAGGTGATAGAACGTATCATTCCAATTATAGAATCGCTATCTGTTCCCCTTACTGAACCGGTGTGAGGAAAGACACCCCATCGAGCCCCGTACGCCGTTCCGTCTTTTCGCTCATGGCCCTGGTGGCAATGTCTATCCCAGCTCGCTCCCTCCTTCTCCCAAGTAAGAGTTCGATGGATCGACTGGCATGATCCTGTGTTGGTCCCAAGGCCAGCCCTGGGCATTTGCTCCCATCCTGCTTGCCTTCCCTATCGCGTGGCATAACGATACTGTCCTTGAATGGCAGCCTGTGAGTTCTTTCGTAACAGCTTCTTCCACCTTGTTCCGTCTTTGTGACCCTTGTCAGAGTGATGACTTCGTACACCAAATGAACCCAGCACATTGCCCGTGCTGTGGCTGTAAATGATTGGTCAAGAGTAAGCGAAAGCCGTTGCGCCGCATCTCCCGACCTACAAAGTGGCGGGGACCTGAATTAAAGAGTAGCAATTATTTCTTTCTTTTCCCGCTGAACGGCGAAGGATTCTGTGGTCGGCGAGGGAAAAAACATCAATGTGTCGTATCATGCCGGAGTTCGGAGTTCCATGTTTTGAAGAACTGCTTTGCGTGGGTTGTGCAGTGTTCTACCCCAACCCCCGACAAGGGTGGGGAGGACCCCGGATCGGATCGTCACGAGAAATGAATGTCGCCCTTCCGATGCGTGACAACTTGCATTGTAGATCCCAAGTTCTGGCCCAGATACCCGAGCATCGCCTTGCTGACCTCGGGGTCCTCTGACAACTCCGAGCACACCTCCCGGAAATTCGCATACACCTCTTCGAGCTTCCGAAGCTCACGTGCGAGGATCTCGAGCTCCAACCAGCGGCTGTCCTCGCTATTGACCGTGTAGGCGCCGAGACTCACGCCGAGCCCCGTCATACCGTTGCTTGTTGTCATCGACGGGATGGGAATCTGCGCCGTCATATGGCCGTTTGACGGCCCCTCATGATCGAAATAAGATTGTGAGGCATTCTTGTAGAAAGATGTAATGGTGCCTATGACCGTCGCCAGCAGCATGGCAGCTGTGTGAGTACCTGATCTCCTCATGCATCGTGTGCAGGCTAGGCGGATGTTAGTATCTGAGAATTTGTGAGCTTTCTGCGGAGACAGGCATACCTAGCATAGCTGCGCACCCCTCAACTGCTTTCCGGTTGAGGGAAAGCACCAAGTCAAAGGGCGGGGCCGCAGGAGAAGATGCATTATGTAGAGCCTGCAGCGACTGCAGACACACTGTAAAACACGTGCAAGAGCCGCCCGCTGAGTTGGATGGCGTTGACTTTGACCTCGGCGAAGTTTGTCTATGATGAGGTGTCACTGTCGGGCTGGGAAAGCAGTTTGGCGCCATGCTTGTTGTTGGTGTCGAAACCTGGTTGAAAGCGAAAAGCTCTGTCCCTTTTGCTTCCACCCAACCCATAGTGCCTCCACCCATGTCGTAAGATTGGGAACGACGATGGCTGTGATCGTTCGCAATGTTGTTTGTGAGAGTGGTGTCGGTGAATGAAGCAGGTATCTCACTCGGTGGTGTCCACGGTATTCCAGGGCCATACATTTCAGTGGCCATGCTGGGGTCCACATTCGCTGGCGGGCTGCCATCGACTCCTATGAATGCGAGACCAGATGATATTGAATGGGTACGGCTCATAGATCCATCAATGCTGGTGGGTGGGGTGACCCAGCCTCCCTCGAACTCATACATGCCCGGCATGCTAGCGGGGATGCCATACATCATGTTGTTATTGTTGTTGTTATTGCTGGGGACTGTGGGGCTTCCGGCTGAATCTTGGCGTACTGGTTGTTCCTTGGAGCTCTCCGAAGCCTTCGGCTTTCCCGCTCTGCTTGATGGCGAGTATCGACATTCTATGCCACAGGTGAGGCATCTGGAACATATTGGCCTTGCCTTGGAGCACTTGACTTTGGCGAGGAAGCATCCGTCACAAGATGCTCGAAGGCGAGGCTGGCGTTGTTTAGTAGCGGTAGCCATGGTGAGAACGGGTCGCCGCTCACTAGGTATCGTGGTTGTTGCTGTTGTGGATGACGGTGAGGGCAATTTTCCAAGTCGAAGTAAGAGTCAACGTGAGTAAGATAAGACGTGGAGTGGAAGGCAAGGCCTCGAAATATAAATCTGGTTCAGATTGCTGCGTGTCCGAAGCGACGAAGGATCAAAAGCGGGTTGAAATGTGGATGTACGAGAGAAGTCTACTTCAGCAGTGAGCAAGTGGAACTGCGATACGAGCGCGAGAGAGATATAGAAGCGGGTGGCGAGAGTGAATCCCAGAAGTTTATCAGCCAGGCAAGAAACACCAGGAGTGAAGTTAAATGGGAACCGGTAGCTCAAGAGTGAGGAAGAAGCTTGAATAGATAGCGCGAGAGAAACACAGACCCCGACTTGAGAGCAGAGACCGTCTTATGATTGTAATTCAGGATCTGGATACCCCAGGTAGGCTAGTCCACTTGGTGGTCGGAACTGGGGCCCAGGCAACGAACGTTAACGCTCGGCCACACTCTTTGAACAGCCCCTACGCAGGTGGCACCCTAGAAGGATGAGGAATCGAACGTAAGAGATGGGGTATTACCGCTAGCTATGCGTTGAAGTGTTCAACGCTGTGGGGTGGTCGGGTATGCGTCGCAGAACTTGGTCCCTTGAGCGTCCCCTGCGTGAACAGCCAGCCGCCTTCTCGAAGCAGTCTCGAATCGGCCACTGCGGGTCGAGAGGGTCAATTTTGATACTAAATCGGGAGTTTGGCTCTGCTGAACGGCCAATCCGTCGTGGGAAATTGTGCTGAGAAATCCGACAAGCGTGTTGGGTGCCATGGGGGAAAAGTGAACATGTATCCGAGAAGCGAGGGAGACGGGCAAGGGGCCCTCGAGCAAAAAGGTCGAGGTCTAAGTCGAAAATACGTGACAGGGAAGGGAGGTGTAGCAGGGGACACTTGACATGCTCAGGTGTGTGACAACATGATGCAGACTGCAAGTACCTCGGACTACGAGGACTAGCACTCACCGGGCTCCAGTACCTCCATCCCACGGTTCCGCACTGCCCGTCATCCATATCAGCCCCGACTTCGAGACTGGCGTGAGGCTAGAATGTAAGTCTGTCCCACCCCCGGTATTTCCACTTTTCGATTTGTTCTCCTCGGAGTGCTGTGGCCCTCACGAGCATCAAAGACGCAAGGAACTTGATCTCCTAGACAAGGTCGGAGTCTGGACGATTTGATAGTACCAATTTGACGGTTAGCTACCATGTCGTCTCCTCCCAATGATATTGAGATCTGCCCAAGGTGGCTGCCAGAGCGAGACTCCTGGATGCCAAAGGAGGGAATGATCTGCCCCTGGAAGAGGTGGTTTAAAAGAAAAAGCCACAGAGTGGCCGCGCTGGGTGGACCCCTACTTGATTCGGTATACGTCTGACCCCCGTCTTTTGATTCACATTGCTTTTGATGCAACAACGAACAGTGGGCAGGACCATGTTGCAACGGCTTTCTTCTTGTTTGCATATGAGACTCGGGGACATCTGTGCGTGGACAACGGCCACCGCCGGATTGCATTGTGCCCGTCACAGTGGGCGCGAAGTCGCATAGGTGCCCGACAGTCACCTCTCTTGGTTCGCAGCAGTTCGGCAGAAATGCCGCCGACACCATTGAGGTGTCTCAGGTTGTTCGGCAATTGGTTCTTTGCACATTAGCCTGCACCGCTTGGATGGGTTTTTGGTTTGAGCGGCGAGGCGTCCACAGGTCTGGTAAAACGAGCGGTGGGTGATGTTGAGAAGTCCAAGCAGAATAGGGCGCCCCCAACGACGATCGCTATCGCGCGCGTCGCCGCATTCTGTATCGGGTCAAGTGGACGGGGACCCAATTGGTCCCAAATACTACGCGAAGAGGGCCGGTGGTGTGCTGGTCTTGGAGCTTCCGCTGGAGCTAGTGCCTCTGCCGCTTCGCCAATACAACAATGTCCCGGATGCTTTCCGAGATTATCTATCAGTCCCCTTGGCTGTTATCGTCGAACGGGCACCCGTGCTAAGAGCTTGGTGGCATCTGGACGCTTTCCTCGTCTTCTGCGTGCATTCACCAATCAGCGCCACAATTGGCCGAGTGCAGTTATTGTGGCCTGGGAGCTGCCACGCCCAAATTGCCCAAGATGACGGGGCTTGAATCGTCGAGGTTGTTCAGGTAAGCAGTCAGCATCCACCACCACATGCTGCAGCATATCGGACCCCTGTCTTCCAGTGCCCTGAAGTCCAGGATGGGTGTCAAGCTTCAGTCTTGCAATGAAGGCGCTGCAATGGAGAACCTGCAGTGTAGGACATGCGATGAAGCTCCTTCAAGGAAGAACCCAGAGTGAGGGAACATGAGCGTGTGTGCATAACCTTGCATCTTTCTCCAGCTCATCGAGCTGACAGCCCACCGTACAGGCTGCGAGACCCCAGATATCGTGCGAATGACACATTCGGAGCTGGTTGGGCGGTGCAGCATAGCTGCCTTGCCGAGGTCTCCGTTCAGCGCGGGTAAGACGTGAGCCAAGGAGCGACAAGCCCATTGAGGGAAAGTACAAATGCTCTCGTGTGATAGCGCGCTGGCCAGTCTTGGTGTCTCGACCTGGACGGGGCAGAGGACCAGTGCTCGAACGAGACTGAGGTACCGAATTCCGATGCCCTATGTTGCTGCTACTGTTAATAGAGATAAAACACATCCTCTTCTCCCCCACCAATGCAAGCCGGCTAATTTCACAGCATGACAGGGGTGTAAATGTCCCGTGGGATAAAGGTTGCCTGGTGGTGGGGTGATGCTCTGTGAGGCTGTTGGGGCTGGCCGATTGTCGATCCTCTCGCGGGTGACGTTCCATAGCCCTCGAGTGCCAGGTTGGTCCTGTTCAGTTCCCGCAGCCCGTACCCGTGCGCTGGGTACCCACTAAGAACAATGCCCAAGGCTGAAGTAGACTAGGGCGGGCCAGCTTGTGAAGCTGAATTGTCCTGCCTGGTCGAACCTGAAGTCGCCTCGTGGCCACAAGCATAACCTATCGGTCGTGGAGAAGTGGCAGTGATCGACACCAGGGCCTAGCTGGGCTAGGAAGTGGAGGCATTGCGTTCCAGGAGGCAGGCCTGGAGAGCGCTCTGTGGCGCTGGCGGATTGCTAATGATGCCGGCGTCAGCTTTGCTAATGTGTAAGCAGTGATAAGACGCGCGAGCGGCCGGCCTTTTGCGCCTCGACACCTGGGCTGTGGACTGAGTGATGCCGCCCAGGCCGGTAAGCTGACGTCGATGTCCCACGATGCTGAGAGTGAGGTGAGTGCTGTGCTGTAGATGCGTGCTTGCTCGTGTTATCCTGCGTTCTGCATATGCACATGCAGGCAGGCTTCGCGAGTGGGCCCGCTACGCGATCAGGGCAGTTCTGGCGACGGTTCCGGTTCGTACGCAACGCCCAATTTCCCCTATGGGACAAGGCACTGCGAAGGATCCTCCATTCCTTGGGTCTGGATGCTGTGTGCTGGGCAAGTCGACGCGAAGCACGACAGTTTCTTGCATGCGCAGGCTGCAGAGAGTTGCACTAGGGTGGTGGAGTTGACAACCCATGCTCTTGGATTGAACACGCGAAATCTTCAGCCGCAGCAGCTCGACGTGGTGGGGTGTACCGTGCGTCGGATCTGGGCTGCCCGGAGGGCTCGAGGACGAAAGAGGAGGGGGAAAAGGGAGGATGCAGAACAATCGTCCTCGTCGCGTCGACAATGCATAGCACCTCGGAGTGGGGAAGCAGCCTGGGCACGGCACCCACTCGCTGAAAATGTTAATGTCACGGCAGTGAAGGGGCGAGGCTGGCTAACAGACTCATTATGAGACCCCTGCTTCAATGAAAAGCAACCTTAATTCGACTTCACGATCCAGAACCGGGACGGCCAACGACCTCACAACACAACCACAGACAAAGTCCCTGCAGCCAAGACAGGATGGCGAGCTCGGACATCACGACATCCGACTAATATGCCTGAAGTTTCACTCCCTGCGCCCATCTCGTGGCCACTCGACACTGGCAATCGGACCCTTGATCTCCGTGGATGAATCTGCCGTCGTCTCGATCCAGTCCACAATCTTGTTCCCTAATGCAGTTCCCCGAACCAGGCCGTATTCGTACCCAAGGGGGAGTCAATTCCAACTTAGCAGTTCCATACCCGTCCTTCCGGCCAGGAAATTCCATGGGCAAATACACGCTCTCCCACGTCACTATGCTCTGGTATACGAGGGAGTATACGAGGCGAAATCTAGAGAGCGGGTGGGACAGGCCGATAATCCATAAATTTCAGGGAATGAAGTTTACCCGATGGCGGCCGTGCTCGAGCTGTGCTCAACTGCAGCAAAGGATTTAACGCCCAAAAGCGCTGCGTATCTGTGCCCGAGCCATCTACGCGCCGTGTTCGCAATTTACCGTGTAGGTCGCGAAAGAATACTGGTATCGGGGTTAAATCAAGGGCCGTGCAGATGGGCTGCTGTCCGAATATCGACAGGCTCACGATTCCTACGTCCTGATAAGATGGTGTGCTCAGTAATGCGAATAGCAAAATAAGGATAGCAACCAGAGGAGAGAAGACCAAGGCTCCAAGCTCCTTCCCTCTCCTAGCTCCCTTGTTTCTCGTGTTGAGAGTCATCTCTGACTGCATTAGCAGCTCTCCGCTGGCCTTGCGATTCTGGGGTCATGAACATGGACATGGAAACCTGGCAGGCGCCGAGAGAAGGGCCAGCGCAGAGACCAAATCCACAATTGAGCACGCCGTGTCACAGTCGAAGAGAAGAAATAAAATAAGTCTCATGATCATCGAAAGCCCGCGCTACCCCAGGCGGGAATCTTGTCTTGCTGCCATGCGGTGGCCACGCCCTTATCGCTCCAGCGAAAGCATCGCCCGCGTTCCCGACATGCATGAGTGAGCACGCGGAATCTTGGACAGAGGCCGCAAGCCGTGGACTGGGAGAAACCAATTATTGGGCCCCGTGTCACTTTTGGACCCAGCCGTGCGGGGCGTCTGTCTCTGCTTTTCTTCTTCATCGCTTGCTCCGCTGCATGATCAGGATGGGTGGGATATACAAAGTTTGAGCAACAGAACAGCCTTTCAGGTGAGCGGTGTCTCGGGTAAGGTAGCCCCTCACGAATACAGCAATTCGATAGTCCATGGAACCCAACTTGTGTAGCGGCAAAGCTGTGGGAGTCTGAGACTCACGACCCCCTCTAGCGCTGTCTGCTTTTCCTTCGCGGTTGCGTCATGATTCTGTGACTTTGACACGGGCTGTCTAGGTAAGAAGATGGTCAGCCCGATGTGTTGGAAGCCACGTTCACGGTCTCGTGTTTTGGATAAAAGTACCTGGTTCCGCTCACGGCTTCGGTGCGGCCATGGGCGGAAGGACCACTCGTATTTCGCGTCGCACATGAGTCTGTGCAAATGGAGTGAAGAACGAGCATGTTATTTTCAACGGGGAGCTAAACTAATACGTATGAGATCGACTAGGCGCTAAAGCCCCTCGGCGTTCTCGTGGCTGTTTCGCCGTCTCGGTGCCGGAGCCTAGTTCTCAGTCCGTGGGCTTTTTACCCCTGTTGGCGGACCGAGTCTGTCTCCTTGATGCTCGTGCGAAAGCAACATGTGAATGAAACATCTGCAAATGATGGCGTTAGCTTTCTTCCTGACTTGAAACATATTGCTGCGATACTGGCTGGTGACCTGGGTGGGCTGGGTGGGTTAGGGTCCGATGAGTCCTGAAGTGAGGGCATTCAGAGCTCCCGCTCGCGCACCACTGCACATGCTCGGGAGATAAAACCGAATGTAAAATAAGATTCCAATGTATAAGAGTATCTCAAAGTTTAATTCGAGAAAGTGCTTCACATTTCTCTGATTTAAAAGAGGTAAATTGGCAGTAGAAAGTGCTGTCAATGTCGTCGCAAAGTGTTAGTGAATCTCGCCGCCTGTCCTATGAAGCCTCTATATATTATAGTCGAGTGGTGAGTCTTACTATACACTTTCAGCCGCTCTTTATATAGACAGACCACATAGCTATAGTATTGTGCAGTCGCACCCCCATAGCATATAGCCGCCCTTGAGTCCCATGTGATGAACTGAATCCATCGGGGATGTGTGATTCTACAATATATGCCTCTCAAGGTTCCTAGTATTTCCACCTTCCTAACTTGAGCATTCAATGAAATCAATCTAGATTCCAGTATAGATGCGAAGATGAATTACTTGTACATACAGAGCGGAATGCGACATATCTGAACCTGACACTGCACCCCCCAGCAGTTGACACTTTCGGAACCAGGTCTTCAAATGACCTGAAAGCCCCTAAAAGCCCTCAAGAATGCTTTTGACTGTCTACTCATTATTCTAATTATATTTTGAATCCATAAAAAGTCAGGAAAAGACTTCTCGGCCATGTAAATATAAAGTCATACCGTCACCCAGACGTGGCAGTCGTCCCGTGGCAATTGTGATGCACGCAGACATCACTTGAAGACCAACAGACAGTCGAAAGAGGCTCGCTTCATTCAAGAACAATTCCATCACTATTCTTCATGGGTCTCTCTTTGAAGCTATCGTCAACATCAATGGGTCAGTACGCGTGTCAGAACTCAGCCAGCTGGCGCCCACCGTGAGCGACATCCTCAGCCGGGCTGTCTTTCCGAGTGATCTGCCCGAGAGAAGACCTGATCTCACAAACCAAGACTGCAGTTCACAATACTCACTCTGGAATCTCTAGATCTGATTCGGTACCTCCGAGAAGGTAAGTGTTACTGGAGGTTAAAAAGATTCCCGAGGTGATCACCAGTTCAGTTGACTGTGTGGAAGGCTGGACTCACGCCTCCGAGGCTACCACACGCCCGACGATTAGCATCTCAAACAAGTGGAAGAGTGAACCGATTTGTTGTAAATCTAAGCAAATATTTCATTCTGGTGTGTAGGAACTAAGACCGACATGATGCCACCAATTTCAAAACCCCTCCATTAGCATCGCAGTCCATGACAGTGCATAATTCCACCGAAGAAATATAATCGAGGAAGACATCTATACGGAAATGTAACAAGACCAAGTTCCCCCATCCTTATCGCTGTGCTAGACAAAATACAGACAAATAACAAAAAAAGGAACGTGATTGGTTGGGCTCTGTGGTGCCAATCGTCTGCGTCTCCAGTGTTGGAAAACGCTTTGTTCGCAGTGAGTTTGCGCTGTCTTCCCGACGGTCTACATATACATTTGATGTAATGATGGCATGACGACTCTACAGGAGAGCTTCCCTGAGGAACGAGCCTAGTTGCTTGGCCTGTGAGGTACATTAGCATTCTGTTGCGGATCAAAGAAATAGGAGCATATGTTACTCACCAGATCACCATGCATCATCGAGAAGTGGTTCCCAGGCATATGCCTCATGGTCATCTTGTTTACATCAAGGTACTCATCCCACCGATTTGGTCCAAAATCTGACCTGTTGTCTAGCAAGAACAAGGCATGTCCGGTTGGGTATGGGTCAGGTCTTGGGTCTGAAGGCAAGTGGCAGACTCCATCCTCGCACCAGATCGCCATGACGTTGGGGCATCTGTCTTTAGGGATTGGCTCCGCGGTGTAGTTGCTCAAGGCGGTGACCGACGCCGCGAAATGCGGAAGCAGCCATGAGGGGATCTTTTTCTCATCACCATCGCCGAGAAGACCAATGCTGGCAAACCAGGCATGCAAGCCCGCCGGGAGTGGCTCGATGGTGACGGGGCAAGGCGCATCGATGATGACAAGGTTGTCGACGCGCTCACCGGCCTGTGTCAGCTGCACAACGATTTCGTAAGCGATCACACCTCCTGCTGACCATCCTGCAAGGTTGTAGGGGCCTGAAGGCTGCCGACGCTTCATCTCCTCGATGAATTTGGTCGCCATCCCGTAAACACCACAATGATACTCTTCGGGGGTCTTCATGAATGGAGAGAACAGGCCCCAAACAGCCCAACTTGGTGAGACATTTGAGATTTCGGTGTACGATGTTGCACTCCCGCTACCATCCGGTACCATGAAGAGGTGTTTTGTGGCAGTGCGGTGGCTTCCTTGCAATAGCACAGAGGACGCCTTGCGGTTTGGGAAATCGTCAACAATGCGCGAAGGACGAGGCGGCTTGGGGATGGTGGCGGTGACCATTGAAGGGGGCAAAGACTTAGGGGACATAGACGGCTGCGGGGCCTCAAACTTGACCTGCTTCACAGCAGGCTTTGGGGCAACCGGCTTCTTTGGTGCCTCACTGATTCCTAGAGAGCGCTCAACATCTTTGAGAGAGGGGTTGGCGACGAACAGATCTGATGGAATGTCGAGACCAGTCCTTTCTCTCAGCGTTCCGAGAATAGAAAGGCTCATCAGAGAGTCCATGCCGAGGTTTGCCAAGTCAGGGGCTGCGATGATCTCCTCAACCTCAACACCCATTTCCGAAGAGATTGTCTCCCGGATGGCTGACCGCAGACTAGCATTGCCATTGCCGCCCTTGGAAATAGTCTCGGGTTTGACTTCGGTGCTCTCTGACTCGTCGTCAGGTGTGGTCACATCGGAATCAGAGTCCATCAGCTCGGGCGTCTCAGTCTCGGAGCTGGAATCAGCAGAGTCCCCAGATGAGTGGATCTCTGTGGAACCAGACCTCTCGAATTGCTGGAGATAAGTCTTGAAGCTGCCGATCGACGAATGTTCCACAAACACGTGGGAGTCAATGTCCAGGTCCAACTCCTCACGAATACGACCAGACACGGTCAGACCCATCAGAGAGTCGACACCCAGGTCAGCAAAAGCGATGTTGTCAGCGAGCTCGTCATGGCTGACACCAACCTCCTTCGCCAAGATGTCCATCACCTGAGAGACGACGGATGCTAGCTTCTTATTGACTTGGGAAATGTTGGATGGGGTAAGCATCTTCTTCTCCTTGACTGGAACGGGCCTGGCAGCCGGCTTAGCGACGGGAGCAGATCGAGCGCCAATGGCCGCGGCCCCACGGGGTGGCAAAACTATGTTGAGGACCTTGCGAGGGATGGCTTGGAAGCGGATATCGCCAGTGATGCCGATCAGTCTCTCACCATCGAAGACGTACGAGTCACCTGCCATCATCTTGGTGCCCTTCACAGGCTGCATTCGGATGTATGTGCGATACTCCTTGCCAGCCACTGGGGTTTCAATGAATCTCATTGAGCCCCAGCCGTGGGAAATGAAGACTTGTTCCCTAGAGTCAACGGCATCAGTGCCATTGATGATGAAACCAGAGATGTGACACAGGCTGTCAATCCAGAAGGGACTGAAGTTGTAGGAGCCCTCTTTTTCAGATGTTTGGAAGACGACCTTGGCTGTGGCTTCGCAAGTATCGCTATCGAGGATAACCTCTTCCATGCCTCTATAGCGGCGGTCATAGTCGACAAGAGCCGCGAAGAGCTTGTAAGCGAGGCCTCGCCCAATCTTGGACGCCTGGCCAACCTTCTCAGCTGCCTTGAGCGATTCGATGCGGCCTTTAATGAGGTAATCAGCACGCTCGAACTCATTGGCCCACTCCTCAGCACGTCCGTAGATGACCTTGCAAATCGCGTGATCAGTCTTCTTTGCTCCTTCTCCGGTGGAGAAGACAAGATCAGCATAGCCAGCGGCTACATTAGCTGTAGCCTTGACACGAAGGACATGCTTCTCAAGGGTCTCGTCAAAGATGAGACTCTTGGGAACTTCCATGTGAGCAACGTTGCAGCTCATCTTCTCCGCGTCTGGCCGAGCCAACTTGTAAGCATAGTCGCAGACAGTCATGGCCATGTCACCGTAGAGAGATGATGGGCACAGAGGCGCGCCGTTGACCAAGTGGCCGGTAACAACAAGACGCAAATCATCTCGAGAAAGGTTGGATTCAGTCTCCATGGTGACAATGTCACCCTTGACCTCTTCACTGAGAATTTGATGAACCGAACTTGTAGACAGCTTCGGCTTGGCAGGCTCAACTGTAGCGGGGCCGGCAGTCAGAGCACCACGGTTCTTGGTGAGAGACCAGTCGCCAGTGTACTGCAGCCAGTAGTTCTTCTCATCGAACGAGTAGCTGGGCAGATCCAGAATGCGCACCGATGAGTGGAAGTCAAGGTGAAACTCGTTCCAGTCCATGTTCAAGCCAGCCGAGTGCAGCGTGCAGAGTGAAGAGCTGAGAGTCTTGTAGGCAGTTTCGTTGCGACGCAGGGTTGCAACCGCAATCGTTGCCACCCCAAAAGCAGCTTTGACCATGTTTGCACAGACAGGGTGAGGTCCAACCTCTAGCCAAACTGTCTGCTCATCAATCACTCCAGACTGTTGCCCGTGAACCAGGCCACCCAAGAAGTTGACAGCATCCCGGGCGTGATTTCGAAGATATGTGGCGTCAATGGGCTCAGACTCGACTATTTTACCCAGAAGAGGCGAGATGATGGGAACCTTAGGGGCGTGGAAGGTGACTGACTGAGCCAAAGTCTCAAAATCGTGGAGAATTGAATCAACCTGTGCAGAGTGGAAGGCGTACGGCACGTTCAATTGAGTGCACTTGAAGCCAGCAGCACTCAACTGATAGGAGATCTCAGTCATCTGTGCGGCTTCACCGCCTAGGACAGTCTCCCGCGGGCCGTTGATGCATGCCACCGTGACACACTTTCCTTTCTCGCCAAGCGCCTCCTTGACGGTGTCAACAGCGCCTTGAATGGCAAGCATGGCATGTGTATAAGCGGTACACTTCTCGGTGAGGAGACGAGCACGAGCACCGACAAGGTAGATTGTGTCGCTAGCAGACAGAACGCCAGCGATATTGAGCGCAGCGTACTCGCCAAGGCTGTGTCCAAGCACAACACTAGGCTCGACTCCCCATGATGCCCACAGCCTGGCTAGAGCCATCTCGAATGAGCATAGTCCGAGTTGAATAACAACTGGGGACAGCTTCGTCATGTCCTGCTCACTTCCATCAATCAACGGCATGAATGAGGGGAAGCCGTGCACGCGTGCGATCTGATCAAACTCGTCTATGTTTTGACGGAAGACAGAGTAGTGCGCGTAAAATTCCTTGCCTAGGCCAGCATAGTGAGACCCCTGGCCAGTGAACAAGAAAGCAACCTTGGGCTGTTGTGTGTTGACAGGGGAGAATTGCTCCTTTAGCCTATTGTTGATAGCACTTTGGGCCTCGGACAGATCAGACACGGCCACGTTCATCCGCCAATAGTGTTGAATCTTGCGAGCAGTTGTGCTATAAGCAACGTGAGATAGAGGAGTGTTCGGGTGCTCCTGCATCCAGGCGACAAGCCTTTCAGCATTGCGAATCATGGCGGCCTTGGACTTTGCAGTGACCGTCACAACGTGATGGCTCCTGGGATCCTCTGTTGCTGGGTTCAGCTTTGGAGCGTCTTCCAAAAGCAAGCCAGTGTTTCCACCAGCTGCGCTGAAGTTGTTGATAAAGACCCTTCTGGGCTTGCCGTCCCGTCTCTTGAAGGGGGTGGTATGGAACGCAACGTTAACGTTACGATCGGAGAGGTCCTTGGGGAAGCCCTTGTTGATTTCACCCTTGATACCAACGTGTGGCGGAATGGCGTTCTTTTGGAACATCATGAGGACTTTGCAAAGGGCAGTCACTCCGGACGCGGCCTCGCCGTGCCCTACATTCGCCTTTACCGCGCCAAGATACAGAGGTCGATCTGCAGGTCGCTTCCGAGCAGGTGGAGCAAACACATTCGTGACAGACAGCATCTCCGTTCCGTCCCCAGCCTGGGTACCAGTGCCATGCATTTCGACGTAATCGACATCGATGGGGTCGACTCCGGCTTGATCAAGGATGGCGGATGACAGAATCGACTGAGTAGGGCCGTGCGGGTGCGTGATGGAAATAGCATCGGCCGAGTGATTGGTCGCAGTGCCGAGAATGACGGCAAGGATACGATCTTGATCCGCTTCGGCATCCTCTAAGCGCTTGACAACAACCGAGGCGCAGCCATCACCTCTGCAATAACCATCTGCCTCATTATCGAAGGTAGCGCATGGGCCCTTCTTGGAGAGGAATTGTCCTCGACTCAAGCCGGCAAAAATGTCGGAGTTGGTCATGCAAGAAAGACCACCCACAATGGCGGTGTCGCAGTCGCGTGCCCAAAGTGAAGAACAGGCTACGTTCATAGCAGCAGCGCTCGATGAGCATGCAGTGTCGATATTGAGACTGGGCCCACTGAAACCGAAATGGTAGTTGATTCTACCGGGTCCAAAGGCTCGAACACCACCAGTGATAAAGTAGGTGTCGACTTCTTGAGCAGCGTTGATCTCACGCCAGTCGTCCGAGGTCTGACCGTAGAAAGTACCGATTCGGTCCAACCTCGTGGAGGGTGTCCTGTTTGGCACATATCCAGACATCTCCAGAGCCTCGTAGGCGGTTGTCAGCGCCATTCTCTGCATAGGATCTGTCTGGAACGCCTCCCGGGGAGACATGTTGAAGAATCGCGGGTCGAAGTGACCAGGCTTCTCGATCCAGCATCCGTACGGTGTGTGGCTGGTGTTGATAGCCTTCCCCGTTGGGTCAACGTGGGTGGCGACGGGGAAACGGTCCGCAGGAACGACGCGATGGACATCCAGCCCCTTTTCAAGGAGCTCCCATAGCTTTTCGTGGCTTGCGGCATCAGGGAACCGTCCAGCCATTCCAACTATGGCCAGCTTACCCCTTCCAGAGGATCCATGGTTTCCGATCGACGAGTTGATGCTCTCTCTCGAGATTTGTGGCGGGTTTCGAAGAACGATTTCGTGCTTGGTTGTCGACTTTAGGAGGCTGGCCAAGGTGCCGGCGTTCTGTGTTGGGCCAAACGGCATGATGAGGACTGTCTTGCCGTTGAAACTCTTAGCCGTCTCAAGACATCCATCGAGGACTTTGCTGAAAACCAGGGTATCATTAAGAATTTCATGAACAACTGCCTGAAGAAGCGGGAATGTATCGGATTCGGCCAACGGCTTGCCAGTGCTGCAAGAAATGATGGGCGATCTCGGCTTTGTCTTGTGAAACACATCCTTGACTGCTGGGTCTTCTAGCCGCAGAATCCTCGCAATGTCGACTGATGAGTGAAGATGTGCTGCATGGTAGGGTCCGTAGACTGGTATCGATGTCGCCTTTGCCGGCAGACAGTGTGACTCGATGAGCGCCCTCAACGTGCTTGGCGGGCCAGAGATTGCGATGTTGCTAACCGAGACAGCGCTAATGTAGGCTTGACTAGGAATTGGAATGTGCTTTCCGAGGTGTCAGTGTCGGGACTATATTGCATGATACGAAAAAGTAACTCACGTTGGACTGGTGGAACTCATCAATTTTTGACTGGGCCACCTCTTCCTTGATGCCGGGGAAGATATAGGTCCAGCTCTCAGAATGCTCGACCGGCGGGCATAGTCGTTCAGCCAAGGCAGCAACATGTCTGCCCGTGCGGAAAGCCATCAAGACAACTTGGACAGCAACGGGGACAAGAGTTGAGAGGGTTGGTGTGGAGTTGATGGCAGCTGCAGCAAACATGCCTGAGCAGAGACCGAGGAAGTAGGTGTTGTCATGGTGAACGATATCTTCATGATGCTTTTCCGCATGGCTATAATCCAATTAGCTTCAAGACGCTTTGTGTGTCTACTACCTGTGTGGCACGTACTCGATATAATGAGCCAACTGAGAAATACATAGTAGGGCTCCGTCGACTCCAGGGTGCTTCAAGCCTTGCGCATGATATCTCTCATTGAGGTTCTGGATACTGAGAAACTTGGGCAACTTGGATCTCTCCACCCTAGGCAGGCCCTCGATCTCCTTCCTCAATGCGTGCCAGACTTGCTCGAGGAATGCGTTGGCCAGAATGCCTCGTTCGCGCTGGCGAAAGAATTCTGCCAGGAAGCCATGGGTATCAGTTGACTGGTCTCCAAAGAGGAGAAATGCCAGCTTGTCAGCCATGGTGAAAACGTGTTGACATGGGTTGGAGCTTTGCTCTGTTGGTTCGTTGCGAGAACTGAAGCCAGGGGAGGGCCATCCTCGAGCATATATACGGTTCTGCAACACGGCCCAGTGACAAGATACGATGCGACAGCTTCCATGCGGCATCGATGATCCGATCTATCCTGAGCATCCATCACGGGGGCGTGGGCCGTGAGGTCAAGTGTGTAACTACACCCCCCCTTGGGGCCTTCCCCCTTGGCACCGAGTGACTAGCTCTGTCCGGCGGCAACGGGTTGTCGGTGACCGAAGTTGATGATGGACAGCCAGGTACCTGTTTTCCCAAACTGGGCATATGGCACAGGCAGAAGGCGGCCATGATTGGGCCTGGTGTCCAGACAGCGGCTCGGGTTTGGGCTCTGGTTTGAACAGGCTGAACTGCCACACCCATGTAACGGGTTCCTCCAAGCTAGGAAATTCTGAGCAAGCTCGGAATGTCCGTGTGAGGAGGAAGCCTGAGCCTGAGCCACGATGTGGTGGTCGTCGCATAGCAACCAAGCGGGAGCAGTGAGCAGCGTCGAAGCGCTGAAACCGAGGCGGTCCTGCCCTAGCATGTCAGTGCCACGACAATCCAGGGTACAAGGACGAGGGCATGAGAGCGATGTGAAACAATGGACTACAGGGCGGGCATAGCATGGGAGATTGAGTGCGAGGCACGGGGCAGCGAAGGGGGCTGACCTCATGGGGCAAGTGATGGGCTGGGCGAAACTGGGCAGATAGGTTGGGAGCTGGGACCACAGAAGGAACCCAGAAACCTGGCGTAGCCAATGTCGAGAAATCTCGGTAGACTCCCTAGTCTGGCTGCTGTCAAGACACTGGTGGGTCGGTGCTGTGACCTTGGGACCTGGGACCAGGGACCGGACGTCCGGACATCCCCAATCATCCCATATGTGGTGGGCATGCGAGGCGAGGCGAGGCACCACCATCTTGAGCCGCTGTCACCAACACCCAAAAAATGCAGATGACAGGAGGCCAGGCCGTCGGCACGGCAGCAATCAGCTTACTGTGTCCCATTGTGCAATGAGACTGGAGGTGGTGCCTGGCAGACGATGTTTGCGGTGGTGGTGTTGGGAGTTGAATGTGGCTTGGGCGTGGGCGTGTGTCGTCAGGCCAAGTCCGGTCCGGCTTACATAAGGGAGTAGGGGAGCCCGCCACGCCCTCTCAGCCTCAGCGGGACATCGGCCGAGGATGGCACGGGCCAAGAGGTTGGGGGGATCAGGGGTGGACGGCGGGAAGGCGAGTGGGGGGGAGGGGGGGCTGCTGGGTGGGGAAGGGAAGGGGAAGGGAAGGGGAATTGTCAGATTGTTGTCTGTGTCTGCTTGTACCACACACGGTGGGATTCCCTATGATATCTACACCCAAGAGGATTGGTACGGCGACCTCTCGCACTCAATTGATCCCTTGATCCCCTGGTCCCTATCCGGGTGCCGGGCACAGCAATGCTACCCACAGAATATTATGTTCTGACCCGCCTGTGATGCCTGGGCCTGGGCCGCCTGCACCGCAACAGCAGCAGCAGGAACCGCTGCACAGCCAGGCGGGTGGTCAGGTACATGGGCCCTGTACCTACCGCACACGGTACGTACTGTTGTCCATCTAGTCTACTCGCATCCTCTCAACGACGCCCGTCACGTCACCCCACGGGTGTGTGAAACGAAACAAGCCCAACTCCCCTAGTCGTGTTTCTCTTTTCTCCTCCTCGTACCGAACAGCGCCTCACCGCCCGCAGAAACGACCGCCGCCCCCGTCCGACCGTCTACCAAAACAACGGTTGGCGACACTTGCTGCTGGACTAGGCGGCAGGCTACTTTCAGTAGCACAAGAACGAGTGTGTTGACCCAAGGATTCGGATCCGTGGGCGCCGGCCGCCAGCCGCACTGGCATTTTGGTCCCAAAGCAGGATTACCGCCAACGGCTACGCCCATGCCCACGCCCGCGAAAGCGCCCGCGCCCACGCCCATCGACACCCATTTCTGGGCCGATCGGCCGAAGCGGCAAAAGTCGATGGCTCATCATGGCCATTCTATTGCTTCTCTGCCCCTCTTCGGTCGCGTGTCACTGGCCTACAGCGCGCTGATTGATTGTCTTGCGTAGTAACTCGGGCCTGCCGTATGACCGGCCTCTCAGGCAGCTTCTTCAGCGGTGCAACCTCCACCATGCGCTTCCCGCAGTTGAATCTCTATCTGGCCGGTTGGCTGGTTGACTGGGTGACTGGGCGAATGGCTGATAAAGCAGTGCCTAATAATATTTCCGCCTTGGCCTCTCCTGGCCTGTGGCTCAGGCCTCAGGAGTGCCCATTTCTGGTGTTATCCCTCGGCTCTCGTCGCGGAATACGACAACACACTGGTGGTGTTCTGCACAGATCGGCATGCTCTGGCCACACTATTGGCATCTCTTCCTTATCATGGGCCAGGGAATAGCGCCGATATGCCCGATGATTTGGATCGCCAAATCCTCGACCGCTCTTTGGCACGTTGACTACTGTTAGAACCTCTGGTGCTTCCCCTGGTTTCTCGGGACGCTTGATCCGACCATGCGCGCAAGCGGAAACCTCCCGCCGACCACAAGTCGAACTAGCCCGCTCCCGTTGTCATAGCTTACCACTGGTTTCACGCGCCGAACCCGGTGTCCACTCCCCATCTCGTCTCATAGGGGGAAGCCCGGCTTACGCAAAAAATATCACCGGCTCCATGCTCAGAATAGAAACAAGCAGCGCCATCGCGTCATTCCATATCAGGACGGCCGTTTGTTTCAATCCAGTCCAAGAGCCAAAGCCGCACTGCGTGCCTTTGCTCCGTCATCGTCTGATACGATGTGCTGGGCTGCGGGAGCGCTTGGTTTCGTTTGCTCTGGACAGAGTCATGGCAGTGAGTGCAGCTTGATCCTGCAACGTTGCTCTCGGACGTCCGTTCCCACTCCATACAGGTCTCATGCTAAGTACTGCCACACTCGGATAGGTTTTCGTCAGACCACTATCGCTAAGCATCAGGAAAATACGCCATTGAGCATTTTTGCCCTTCGAACCCATCGGCCCAAGGACCCTTGGTCGGAAGGATCTTGTCTGTATTGAAGATGAACCGGGTCCTTGGCCTCCATCACTGGGCGACCTCAGGGCCGCTTGCATGTCCGCAGCATCTGACTTGCGCGATTGCGAGGAAGGCCTCCTGGAGCTTGGGTAGGACGTTCCCTTTCTCTCGCGTGTAATCGATTTTCCGGCGGACGATGAGGCTTTCGGTGAAGGGATGCCAGTCGGTCTACTGCCCTTCACCATTTTGTGGAGACTACACATAGCCAGTGCCCCGAGGGCCACATAAATCCTTCCTACACAACTTCTTCACCGGTCTACTAGCTCTCTCATGATATGTTCCTATCAAAGTCTGTCGTGAGCGCTGTCCAGTCCACAGCGCGGGGTTGGACTGACAGCGGCCAGGCGCATCACATGTACTGGTGCGTGGGGATTTGCGGACGGCCGCAGCATCTTGCCTCTGGGCTAGACGTTGCGACGGGCTGGGGGACAACCTCGGTGGCTTCCAGAAGACTAGCCCAATCCTTTCACATGTCTCTTCTGTCTCTTATAATCTCGCAACGGATAGGACAAGTGTGGCAGGACGCATGAATTTAACCCACAAGTTCAAATACCATCGAGTGATGCAGGATCTCAAGAGAAGGAATATAGACGATCTGAGTCTTTTCGCCAGCAGCTCGAGCTCGAACATCGTTTCGGAAGGCTGAATGAGTGTCTACTGTGGGGCGCTTCAAAAATTACAGGTCCATGCTCTGCTGCAAACATGATGCCCTTTGTCTGTCTGAGAACCTCACGATCCTATGCCTCAAGTTGGGTATTCGGTGCGGCTCCAATGCAATAAGATCAAATTCTATTAGCAAGGTCAACCTGGGAAAGTCTCTCAGCCCAAGTCTATGCAGCCGTCCGCATGAGATCGACTCTCTTCATCAGTATGTGTCTCATCCGACGCGCGCCTTACGCAGCCCTGGCTCTCACAGCAGTCATCCCGGTAGTACGGAAAGGCGTTCTAGAAGACCTCACCCTGCACTGCCAGTCATCTCGGAAGTGAACGTGCCTTGCTCGCATCAGTATGCTTTCATCGGATCAGCCCTGGCCCATCGCGCTGCACATGCCGATAGGCCTATCGGCGCGCAGCGCCCTTTCCTTGATCGAGGAGCATGTGCTGTGTCGTCAGAGCTGTCTTCCTCTCATGCCATAGTGACAATGATCGGACTTGCTCAGAATAGAAGAATTGATAACTCTACACACCCCACACTAGGCGGCCGTTGATTCCCAGAATCAAGGCAAGGGTAGGAATCCTCTCCGCGGGCTGTGTGTTAATGCGCCTCCTCGCCTCCCCCGCATGCTAGAGACTACTCAACTTCTCACGATCGAACCATTACACTGGATTGGTAGCTTATCGATTACGCTGAGCTTACACCTCAAATCCAGCCGCACACAGAGATCTTAGGTTACCCGAGACGGACATATGTTGAAACCATGGCAGGCACCAGTAAGAGTGCAGCGATGACAGGTCGGGCGCCCGCCCATCGCTCCAATGGATAGGCTGACCTGGGTCACACACTCCTCGGAGCTGAAGTTTGCTTAGGCTGGCCTTGTGCGATGGTTACCATCGACTATGATGGCTCCCCAGGCTCTGATTGAACTCTAGGACATGCGTGGGGACTCCGACGCCCTCCCCTCATGACTGTATATACAACGACGTCCTTTCTCCTCTACCTGCGCCATGTGCAGCCATCATCGCAGCCTCCATCCACCAGCATAGAAGCGATCTCCTGAGATCACGCGCAAATTATTACCCTCACCGAATATGGCGAGGTATCAGCAATCACGCCTCGGGAGACTGCGACACATTTTGAGCAAATACATGCACTCAGATCTGTTCGCCATTCTTCTTTACATCCCCTTGTAACATACGTGGAAAACGCCACAATTATCTCGTAAAGCCAAGGAGGGATATAAGCCATTCATTACTACTCATATATCTATCTTGCTTCCAGAGCACTCAAATTTACAGCCTCTATGATCAGGTATGATTACGCTCCCCCGGTTGAGTTGATCCTTTCAGCCCAGCCCCCCCCCCCCTCAACTATACAGTGTCCTTGCCTCATAAAAGGATGAACCGATGCATGCAATAAAATCAGATGCGTAGCGAAAAACATGCTAACGTTCAATCGCACCCAGTAATCACAACTTGGTGCGGACAATACGAGAACGAGGCCTGGGGACAGCGGTTGGTTCATACAGAGCCCTGTTTCAAAGTCAGTCAATCACACGTCACAACGTCACAACGTCATGCCGCAAGGCAGATTCCAAAGGTTAAAAAAAAAAGACAAAAGCCCGCAAGACTCACCCGGTATAAGTAGGAGGGTTCACAAATAACATCCCCGTTGTGTCGGTATAGTTTACGGTGTTGCCAGCCGCGTTACCCTGGTACGGGATCCCCTGGGTCTTGCAGAGGTCAATATGATCCTGCGGGAACTGCAAGCCCTGGAGCTCGTTGGGCGCCTCTATTATGGTCGAGGTCAGCCCCATCTCCACGTGCCACTCGTTGTGGCAGTGGAAAAGCCAGGTGCCCGGGTTGTCGGCTTTGAAGCGTATCACCGCATAAGAGTTGCTGTTGATGATGACGCCGTCTTTGTACGCCGGCTGGGCGGGGAAGCTGGAAGTGTCTCCGGAGAACACGCCCGCGTTGGGGCCCGGCGCTGCCAGGAGCTGGAACTGGTGACCGTGGAGGTGGAAGGGGTGTGACCCGGGGTCGAGGTTGTTGACGACAATCTCGATCACCTGGCCTTCTGGGGCGATGTATGGGTTGACACCACCATACACGACTGGGTTGGAGTTGTCATCGCCAGTGGTGGCAGCGGAGTATAGCGTCGGTACTTTCTGGGGCACGTATGGGTGGCCGTTGAAGCATGAGCGCGGGATGCTGTTGTTGTCGAAGCAGAACTTTACCTCGAGCGTTATGGTCGTTCCGACCGGGCTGAGGGGTCCTTCCCCAGCGGGGTTGGTGAAGAGAGTTGTGTCGACAGGGTTCCACACATCAACAACATCTACAGAGGTGCTGTTCTCGGATGGGTTCCCCACAAGGTATCCCGTTTTGTTATAGGGGAAGCCGAGTACTGGGGCACGGAAGTCTGGATTAACATCCAGAGCAACGAGGAATGGGTAGTTGCAGCTGTCCTTAGACGAGAGCAGGACGTCATGTCGCTGGCCAGGAGCCAGATATATCTGAGAAGCCTCGGCTTCGGTTATGTACGACCCATCTTGCATGATCACCTGCATGGTGTGATTCTGGAAGTGGAAGAAACAGGCGCCAAAGGCGGAGAAGTTTAACACCCTGAGCCGGTAGGTTTTTCCTTTGTCGAATTTGATTTGAGTGCTTCCTCCTTCGTTGACGAGGATACTGTCTGGCAGCGGAGGTCGAAATTCAGTGTTGCTTGGTTGAAGCATAGCCTGCACAAGAGGAATAGTCTGGGAGTGGTACCTTTACAGACACATTTTGTTTTAGCAATTGACTTTTGACTTTCCTTCTAGGCTTCGTGTCTTACCAATCAGTACAAGTAAGAATGACTTCCTCGTCGACCTTGCCCTTGTATGGGTCCTCAGGATCGTGGATAACCAATGGCCCCCTGAGTCCATCGGGATACTGGCCCATTTGATGGGAGTGATACCAATACGTGCCTGGTGCATCAGCCTGGTTGAGAGATAGTTAGTCTCATCTCATCCAGCCGCCTTAATATTTTGCAAAGAATACATACCAACCACTGATAGGTCGCCGATGAGCCGGGAGGGATAGAACATTGTGTTGTAGCGGAGGGGCCGTCCATCTCCGGAGTACCCTTTTGGTTGATACCATGGAAGTGAAGACCTGTTGTCTCATTCCCCAACTTGTTGTCCACGTGGACAATGACTGTGTCGCCGACATTGGCCTCCAGCACAGGGCATGGCCATTGCCCGTTGACACCTATCACCGGCCTCGAGTATCCGTCTGGTGCGGCCGTAACCCACGTGATCTCCCAGTAGACTTCGACAGTAGCAGCACATGCGAGCTGCAAGGAGCCTAAGAGTGGTATAGCGTATAGAAAATGCATCATGATAGGGTGGACGTGCCCAGCCACGACAGACACGTTCGCAGACAAGGATCGAACTTTGACAACAAGGAGAGAGCGAATACCGAAGAATACCGGCGGAGAGACCACATATTGTGCGCAGTTCAGAAAGTGCGAGTCGACATCTTTAAGCAGACAGGCAGACACGAGCGCTCAGCTGCACAACACATGGGTTGCCCATTTCGTCTAACGTGCCTTGCCATGTGGCGGTCCTCAGGTGTATACCCCTGCGGGACCTTAGTCTCCAGGTTCCCAGGAAAAGTTAGCCGATATCCTCAGGGCATGCATAGTATGCAGGGTGAGATTTGAGGCTGAGATGAGAGGGTGCTCATCATCATGGGCGCCGTTGGTCAGGTCGGTCCAGGCAAGCAGTATCAGTATGCGAACTGCCGTAGTCCATGGAGCTTTGGAGCCTTGGGAACCTCGGGAGCCTTGGGCGGGTGAAAACCTCCCGTCTCGACTTCACGGATGGGCAGGGAAGTTTGCAGACAGCTGTCAGATAATGTTTACCGGATATCCCTGGCGTTCTAGAGTTGTCCTTACACGTGTGTTGCAAACCCCTCTCGCAGAGTCGTTGTGAGCTGCTCAACTCTAAATGGCAAGCGATCTGCCGGTACCCGTTGTTACCAAAAGCCACTGTGCCAGAATTAAATTTGACGCTCATTGATCAGCATATAGAAGCATGATCTGCAATACCCTAATACGGAACTTTAATAACAACGGCATAAGAGAGTCTTACCTACCGCTTCGGAGAACCCTGCCAAATTGGGATGAGAAGTAAGTGACAGCCTTGGGAGTAAGCACAGGTGCGTTCGTCTCAGGCCTCTGAGGAGAAGCAAACCCAGAGACGACTTGAGTGTGGGGCTTAGACAACCTTGAAGGCCGGTATATCGGGACCGTTAGGCCGAGGCCGTGTTTTGTGTGAGGCACAGTTCACGCGGGTGTTCAGCGTTGGCACGGCACAAGCATTGATTGGAAGAGCATCGCCAGTGGGTGGCTTGAGCTCAAGCCATGATGTCGAACAGGTGGGCCAACAAGCACACTTGTGATTGTATCCGGCGGGCACTGCGGAAGAAGACGAGAAGAAGAATGCCGGGGTTGAAAGCGGCAGCGCCAGGCAACGGAATTTAGGGTGGTCTCGCTCGTCATGTGGGCGAAGCCTCCGGTCGTTGACGCCCGCAGCCAAGGCAGCCGAGGCGCGAGAGAGGAATTGTGGAGGTCTCAGGAAGAAAGAAATGTCGGAGCAGCTCATCTCCAGTTTCAAGTTGGCTGCTTAGTGTCTGCCATCGCCCTGGGAAAGTGGCCCGACGATTGTCAGCCGTCAGCCCCAAAGTGATGATGATGGGGCCTAGATGGCCTGTTATTACATTTCACCGACTAGGTCTACCACAAGGTTTGAAGCCATCCCAACAGCTGAAGACCTAAGCTGCTTACTTGGTGGGTGAGTTTCGTAGACCCAGCCTCTCAGCCTCTGGCATCAGCGCGGAGGCGAGGGGGTGGGTCGCATTCTGCGAGTCTCTCCAGAACCAAGATATGGCATGCATGTCGGCGTGTTTTCTGCAGTACTTGGCGGGTCTAATGCAGTGTAATCACACATGCATATGATTCCAGAGAGAAATTTCCTTGGCCAATGGGCTTCTGTCGCTTGAGAGTACGAGTACGAGGGTGCCGTGCCCAGGCAACGAGGTATGAGCAGACCGAGACAGCGGCCAATTTCCCTCATGCAGCCTGCTTCGCGCTCTACCGGCTCCAGCTCCTGTATTGAGACCTGAAAAGGGAAGAGAGCAGAAAAGATGGAACGAAATAATGCGTGAGGTGAGCCGCTGCGGTGAGGTGACGTCTAAAGAAGCTTGTGCAAGGTCAGGGACGGCTGGTCAGCACCAACGCAGCCCTTGAGCCCTTGAGTCGCCGTGAAGCCAATCAGATGAGCCTGTGCATGCAGCGTGCACACCCATTTCCAGCAAGGCCAAGCTTGCTTGACATTCGAGTGCCGAGCTCTGCAGGCCAGATGCCCGCATCAGTGTTGACATCTTCATAGACGCCCGCTGGAAAGCTCAATGTGGTTAGGAGAATCATGCGTTGGCAGATCTGATATCAGCCTTGGACGGCTGAACAAAGAACAAGTGTAAGGTTGTTGATCCTTCCAGCTCATCCACCGCTACGATGCAACCCTCCCACTTCCCGTGCTACTGTATAAGCATCATCAAACATGGCAATGCCTGGCTGAAGATCATATGCCCCGCTAGAGACAATCTCATTTGTTTGTATCAAGCCCAGCCGGCCCGGGTTGCTGGGCCGTGTCGGCGATGTGTCAGCGTCGGTGGCGGGGAGACCCTCAGTGAGCCTTTCCAAGTTGCGTTGCTCGTCAAGGTCAAGGATGGATGTACCCAGACACCCAAAAGCAAAAATCACACATGCATTCTCTCTCTCCCAACCACCCGTCGTAGCCAGCCACAGGTGGCACAAGCAACTTGGAAAAGCCTGCTCGAGATTATTAGCAGGCTCTCTGAATACGGAAGAAACGTGTATGCAGATACATGACGGGACGAACCCACAGCATGCTATCATCCTGGCTCATCTCCCACATGCGGGTAGGCAGGCCGTGCAGTCTGAGATAAGTCGCACAGCACGCACAGCATAATGAGCACAACGCAATGACTTCAGTAAGCGGTACTTACACTTGACTTCGTTTTGTTGCATCTATTCACCGCCGGCTCAAGTACAATAAGACTCCGCGGGCACCATTATTCCTCAAGCCTAGAATTCTCGACAAGAGTAGCCCTTTACGTCGTGCCGTGAGGGCACGGCAGCCGGGCACGGCGATCCGGGGCCAGCCCGCTCGGGCCCGATCATCACCGGCAGCAAAGGGGGTGGGGGCACTGCTGTCTGTGGAAAGCAAAATGCTACCCCCCCCTTGTCGTTTTGAGCCGTGCCAAACAGTGAAAATTTGCTAGTAACATCAGCAACACAATAATATTCCTCATAAACACACCGCGTACACCTTCAATTGGAATATAATTAATTGAAATTAATTCTACAATTTTAGAGCTTTCTGAATATATATATAAAGTAAGGTTGATGATAATGCGCGATATATTGTTTTGATGAAATGATGAGGATATTTATGAGTTGCTGATACTGCTAGCAAATTTGTACTGTTCGGCACGGCTCAAACGACAAGGGGGGGGTAGCATTTTGCTTTCCACAGACAGTGGAACACGGGTCCCACGCGTGACACCTTACACCGCATGAGCCGTAATGCCTTTCTTTCCCCTTTGGGCATATAAGAGGCCCCCAAGTGGAGACAACCCACTCTTGAGCAACCGCACCCGGCGGGCGCCAGCATTTTGTTCACGAGATGCTGTGCCCGAGCGTGCTGCATTTTGCTTTGATGAAGACCGCGAAAGCCCCAGCGTGGAACGTTGGGCAAGAGTTTCCGAACGATAATATATTTCGTCCGAGCAGAACCGTCCATTTCTCTCGTGGTGCAGACTAATGCGGCGTCGCTCAGATGATTTTCTCCAGTGTGCAACGGCTCAGCAGGTCTCTATATCGTGCATACGAGGCTTACCATGACCACAACGCTGCTGCTGCTGCTGCTGTTGTTGGCCCTCCTCCAAGCGCCGACCGATGTGCTCGCGTCCCAAGTCAGATCGCGTCAAAGCTCTGATAAATCCGAGACACTGTTATATTTCGCGTCGCGGGAGATGAGGGTGGCGGTGTGGAAGACGTCAAGAAAGATTGCGGCTACGAGAGCAACGTACCATCTGCAATGCATGGCCTCTTATTAGGCCATGCTTCCTGCATGCGGGTTGTGCAAGGGAATGTCTCTCACAGGCGTGGGAAAAAGTATAACACACATGAGGCCAATTTGAGCAAACCTTGACCGGTTTGTTCCGTCATATTGTTTGTGGTCTCATGATCCTCCCGTCTGAGACCTGACCTCGCAGTAGAGGCCCCATCACGTGGGTTCGACCGCTTTTCCCTTACTTGCAGCAATAGCTCCTCAAGACGGTGTGTCATTGTGCATATAGATTGACCGTGAGATTACTGACGTAGAGATTGACTCTCGAATGCCATGCCCACATTCGCATGTGCTTCAGTCTCACACTGGATCATAGTTCAGCGCCATTGCCAAAAGCAAAGAGCGTCGATAGGCGCACTCCCATTGCTAGATCTGCACCCAGTCTGCACGAAATTGTTCTTAGTTCTGCATCTCTTGGAGGTTATTGAAAGTCGAAGCGTCATGAAAGAGTGGTTCAGCTTGACTTAGGCCCGTGGAGGATATATCGCCTTCACTCTCAGACAAAGCTTCACTGTGAGAATGACGATACTTGCGGCTCAGAACCTCAGTAACGTGCTATGCTATAGTGTGACGTCGTTCGCGATTGAGACTGGCGTTGCTTCGCCCAGTATCAAATAGCATGTAGATATATCCGGCGTGCCCAGTAGGTAGGACCATAGATATATGGCCAATGCATCATTAATCGTAAAGCCTTTGCGCTCTATACCATGCTCGAGACAAATTCTCTCTGAATGTTCCCGGCCAAAATCTCTAAAACAAGACCTCTTTGACGTTCCCCGTCTTCCCAATCTCGTACTCGACCCATCTCGCCATGCCTCTCCTTCCGGTGACAAGCAGTGCTCCTGGATTTACAACATGGCAGCCTTCGTACGTGACGCAGAAAGCCGGCGCTGTAGTGTCCACGAGGATCATAGCCGTGGGCAAAGGATATAGATGCATTGAGCCCGCGTAGTCCCAGTGCACAGGGCGGACCGACTGGCGGAACGGTGCGAGGTAGCCTTGGTCCAGGACAGTCTTGACCAGCTTGCGGGCAGCGAGGGTGTCGTAGGGGACCTCAGGTTCCGAATGCTTTGTTTTCTTCCGCGGCGTCGAGGGGTCCACGTCCATCTCCTCAGGGACAGGCTCGCCTTCGCCGTTCTCTAGCTCATCGTTGGCGCCCGACATGTCCATGTCCTCGCCGTCGGGTGACGCGTTGTCGTTCTCTGCACTCCGGGGCCGCTTCAGACGAACGGCTGACCTCCTCATCCTGGCCGAGATGTCGTCTCTGAAGAGGACTATCTCGTGGCATGGCCCAAATAAACTCAGCCGACTCGGGTTTGATGTGAAGACCGCCTCGCCAGTGCTCTCTTGCCCTCCCTTCCCGGCCTCGCTGTTTGCACTCGCAAACGTCCTCCTTATCCTGCTCGTGAACAAGTCCGGAACCGATTTCCTAGGCAGTGGCGTAGCCGCACCCGCCGAGAAAGCTGAAGCCCAGCCGTCGTTGTCTCCTGGCACAAACACAAACGTAGCAGATGTCAGGAGCATGGGAAACTCTGCCAAAACAGCTGCTAAGGAGTCGAAATATTCCTTGTACTCCACGCTGCCTCCACTGCCACCTCTCGCCATGACCGCATGTTGTGTAAAATTTCCCGTGAACACAAAACAAAGCGGTGTTTCTCCCTCAGGCTCATTGGCGTAGCCTGATAGTATCTTTTTCACGGCTTGTAGCGTGCGTGGCTGATCGAGATTCATCTCCCCCAGGACCACGATTCTTCCTCTTCCCCTGTCAGGGTCGTCCTCAGTCAGTGGCCTCCGGAGCAGTCTCTGCTGCACTCTTCGCATGCGAGAACCCGTGGCCCGCTCGCTGCCCACGCCCAAGAAGTCGATCCACCCGAAGCCGCCGCCGATAGTATCGCTGTCTGGCCCGCTTACACCAAGAGTTACGCGCCGCTTCTCGCACGGTGGCTGACCTATCAAGAAGCCCTGGAAGCGCCCCCCCACGACGCCTCCAACGCCAGAACTCCCACTCAAGCCAACCTTGCTTCCGACTGAAGCATCTTCGTCTTCCTCATAAACACCGTCGATTAGGACGATCATGCCGGGTGTGAACCACGACGAATCTTCCGGGATGGCGACTGCTTGACGGAGATCGAGCTTGATTGAGCCGGTGAGATCACTGACGGCGAGATTCCCGGTGGGTAGGACGGTAAGCATGCCTAGAAGCATGTGTTGACTACCGTGGCGACCAAGTAGGTTTGCTATAGGGGTGATTTTGTGAAAGGCCGATGCGCTAGAGTCACCTTTTTTGGTACGGGCGGCAGAGACAGCGGATGTTTGGAAGGACTCGTTGCGGAGTAGACGTTGGTGAATGACATTGAAGCGGTTTCGAAACACGGTTGTCTTATGAGCAGCTGGTGGCATGAGAGATGGCTTTTTCGTTTCCCTGATTCCACAATCGTCAGCATATGTTTGAATCCTGGTGTTTGTATACCAAGTACTCACCTCTCGAAATGCTTTTTCTCCACATTGTAGATGTACCGTGGCTGCTCTAGCGCATTGATGACTTTCAACCACTTCCGCGGGTCATTTGTATCATCATCTTGCTCCTGGTCAACCTCCAACGCCGACATGCCGAAACTTGTCTGGCTCTCCTCCCTCGTCAGCGCCATCGTTGGCCTGAGGCCCAGTCTTGCGTTGGACACATCGCCATCCTCCTGTTGCGCATCCAAGAGCAAGCTGTTTTGCCGGCTGAGGCCCCTTGCACCAGTGACGACTCGTCCACCGCTCATGTTTCCCTCCAGCGTCTTAAGTATCTCCTTCAACTCAGGATTGGCTGCGTCAACGATGACGCCTCCGTTCCTGTTCTTCCATGATCGTGCGGCCTCTTCTAGCACCTTCTCAGCCAGGCCCTCTTCCCGCCATCCTGAACCGCAATGTCGGCCAATAAAGCTTGCCAGCTCCTGCAATGCGGAAGACGTTAGGGTGAGGGAGTGTTTCTTGGTGAAGGTCCGGAAGGCGAGAGGTCTTAAAGTTGCAGCCGGGAGGAGAATCGGCAATATGGGGGCTTGTTTGCCTGTCGAGATGCTGAAAGGTCTGACGGGGTGCACAGGCGTGCCAAAGGCTGGCGATGACGAGGGCGCCGCAGACGACAGAGGAGCAACGCCGCGGCCAGTGAACATGGCGCCGGCGATGTCCTTATGCTTGCGCCGTTTGCTTGGACTGAGATTCATGGCTGTCGCTTCTAGGCTATGTAGAGGAAAATGTAGTCTAATAACGAGAGAGTAGAGGACAGTGATATTACAGCAGGTTGCCTTTGCGCAGTGAGTTGTTCAGTCGTCCGTTCGTCTTTTCGTCAAGAACATGCAGACCGAGAATCAATTAAAACGCGTCTTAGACGCGTTGTTGGCGTGGGGCCGTTGTGCAAGGATTACAGCTGCAGCAGCGGTTGCAGGGGTGCTTGCTCTCCGATGGGATGGAACTGTCAGACCCCTGTGCACAGGTTCCCGAAACCTAGTGCTGTACAGCATCATTACCAGCACGAGTGCTCAGAATCATTTCCTCAGGAAGTTCAAACGTATTAGATCTCTTTTATAAAGTCTTACTGGTATGCTACCTCTGCATCCGACTGCGCAGACCATCATGGAACTTGCTTAGTGATCCCACATAACCGTGTCAACATGCTATCGCATAGGAGGTGGCATCGTTATGGCGTTGAGACTATCTTCTCTGCTGAGCCCGTTGCATTGCGGTACATGGCTTCACCAACACTCAACACACATCATCAGTACCTCGCAACAATGCTTTGTCACCACCGTTCCCTTGCCGTCCCCCCAGCCAGCACGCAGTAGTCTCGATAGATAGGTTGTAGATCAGAGCTTGAGGATATCCCCTAATGGCTCGCCCCAATACCAAGACGCGATAATCATCGAGCCCAGCGACATAGTGAACGCCATCAGGAAGTTGACATCGTTGTTGTCAAGAATATCCCATCCAGACTCGATCACTCTGGAGGGCCTCTCATCACCAAAGCTTGACTTCCGGTGCTTGTCCTTGGCATCGTACTTGTCCACGCCCTCGGTTTCATCCACTGCCGAGCCACCAGTCTTCTCCACTGCGCGCTTGCCTTCGCCACTGAGAATGGCGGCCTTGATCTCTGCCCGCTTGAGGTTGTGCTCCGACTTGCGGGCTGGAGAAGAGACGAGCACACGCTGGCCGCCCTCGCCTTCGACAATCTTCCCGCTCCGGACGTCTCTCACGCTGCGCTGGAAAATTGCTCCGAGGAAGGAATCAAGCACACTGCCGAGTGCACCCCAGAGTGTCAGAGCGAACATTAGGGTGTTCCTTTGTGAGGGAGTCCACGGCTGGCCGCCGCCGAGCTTGCCCGCTGTTGCCTCGTTGCAGAAGGGCACGAATAGCATGGACGTAACGACGATTATCATGCTCCCCAGGAGTCCCGCGCCAAGTCCTGTAAGTGTGACACCACCATTTGTGCCCGGTGGCACCTTGCGAAAGGTAGGCGACGTGATGAGTCGTGGCGGTCCCTTGGCGAGTATACCGAGCTCTGACGAGAAGGTGTCGGCGGCGACGGCGGCGTAGTTGGCGATGATCCCAACCACGAGGATATCGCCGCCCCAAGCGAAGCAGAACGAGCCGTCGGGGATCGCTTGATGTTGGGTAACAGACGCTGTGCGTTGTCGGAGCTGGTAGGCGTGGAGGATAGAGAGGATAGAGGCGACGGCCGAGTTCGCGAGGACTGCAAGGGGGGCACAAGGTCAGCCACTGCTATAGACAGCTTGCGTGGAGCAGATATGTTGACCTTGAATGTGATTTCGAGGCCCTTCACCACCAGAACTGCCTTTCGAGGCCATGGTCAGCTTGGCCTTGACATCTTCTTTGACCTGGAGGCGCATAAGTCAGCTCTTGTCGTCGGCTGGCGAGAAAGTCCTGGGTACTCCTTACGTGAGTGACTCGGGTTCCGGCAAGGAAAAAGACACAGAGAAGGGCGAATGGCAGGTTCCATGGGTGCACCGCGTGGGCGATGCCTGTGAGGGTCGCTGCAATGAGACCACCGGTCGTCAATGATTTCTTGGAGTATGCCCGATAGATCATCAGCCCGAGAGCGGGCGCCGCGATGAGGGGCTTCATGGTGTTGGAGCAGTGTTTAGACCGGATCTTTGAAGCTGGGAGCCGAGGAGGATTTAGTGTGAGAGCATCTTTGTCGGGATGAACGGAGCAGAGATGGAAATGGAGGCGGAAAGGCTGACGGATGAATTTGGTATAGCTACAGTAACAGCTGACCTTGCAGCCTGCTCTTTGACTTGGGTGCTATGAAGTCATGCCCCAGGTGCCAGCTAGAGCTCTTATCAGGCGCCGGCTTCTGAAAGCTGCTGCTTATCAGCGCCCGGGGCCAGGAGAACCGAGCGCTATTGCAAACCACCAACATAATGACCACTTCCAGGAATAAAATAAATTTCTTGATTTTTTTGATTTTTTTTTTTTACCTTTGTTTTTTACTTCGCACTTGTACACTGCATAGGCCATATCATAGGCTACAGTTTTCCATAATAGGTGTTTACAATACAGCAACAGAAAGGTCTCTGTCGATGACTTGGGATATCCGGGAATATCTCATCTTGTACTGTTCTTGCTCAATGCACTACATTTTGTCGATTCCAGTTCTGCTCTTCATGTTGGTTGCTGAAGTCTCATGGACTTAGCTATTCGACTGCGTCAGCTTTGTTTGCCTCCATTTGCCTCCATGATGTCCCCACATAGGAATGCAGTCTAGATGGTGGATCAACCTCGCAGATGGACCCCGAGTTCCGTATTTCTGACGGCCGGGATTCCTCGTCTCTACTTCGGACCCGGTGACAACCGGGGTGGATTTCCGGCCGGGCTATCTTCCCCACTCCGGTTGTCTCGCCTTATCTGTTTCTCCCTCAATTCCTCTGCGCCACGGACAGACTCATGTCCTCAAGATACTAGTGATATCTTCACGGTCTAGATCTTGCTTTTTCCCTTCCTCCTGCAACCTAGGAAGTTGTCCCATCTTTGCAGACAACAATCCCATCATGCGTGTCGATCTAGAGTTACCTTCCACGGAGCCTTGCCCTCGAGGCTCCAATAAGCCAAGGGAAACAAACCCTCAGAGCACTTTCACACATACAACATTTAACGGTCAATCCATACTAGCAGCAACAAGGAAAATCATCTCCAAAAATACTCTTCAATTCCAATTAGGCTTGCTCAAAAGCACCGGCCGCTATGACTGCTTCAAGCTGAAATGGCACCCCATATATGACGATCATAGGTTCTGGCCTGTCCCCCCTCACTTGTTTTGGGACAGTGATCTGGCCAAGTGGATGGAAGCGGCCATCTACTTCCTGTCACATCAATACGACGCCGAGCTGGATCAGGCTGTGAAGCACATCGTGGACACGATCAGGTCCGCTCAGCGGGAGGACGGCTACCTAAATCTACATTACATCCTGGTCCAGCCAGGGAAACGATGGACCAACATCCGGGACATGCATGAGATGTGAGTATCCCTAAATCTGGATACCACTTCGGCTCCTTATATAGACTCGCAGGTATAATGCCGGGCATCTCATCGAGGCAGCCATAGCGCATCATGACCATTACAAGACCGATGACTTCCTCAGCGTCGTGACCAAGTATGTCCACCTATTGCACGCGAACTTCGGCCCAGGTCCCGGCCAGAGAAAGGCCTACCCCGGCCACCCGGAGATTGAACTCGCCCTTCTGCGTCTGTACAAGACTACAGGTGATGTCAAGGCCTACGAGCTCGCCAGGTTCTTCCTCGCCGAGCGCGGGAATCCCACCGGCCAGGATGGACAGCACTACTATGACTGGGAGATGGTTCGCCGCGGCGAGGAGGAGCACAAGAGGCCAAACTCATACCCCATGTCCCGGGACTACTGGTACTGCCAGGCGCACAAGCCGATCCTCGAGCAGGAGTCTGTCGAGGGCCACGCCGTGAGGGCCACCTACCTCCTCACCGGCGTCGCAGACCTAGTCTGCCTGCACAAGGACGGAACCCAGCCGCTTGCGGACGCCGAGGAATGGACCGCGGCCCTTCACAGGCTATGGGACAACATGACAACCAAAAAGATGTACCTTACTGGCTCCATCGGGGCAATGGCCCAGTGGGAGGGGTTCGGCATCGACTACTTCCTGCCGCAGGCCCCTGATGAGGGCGGTTGCTATGCCGAGACCTGCGCCTCTATTGGTGCCATGATGTTGGCCGAGCGGCTACTTTATCTCGAGCTGGACTCGCGATACGCGGACGTCATGGAGCTATGCCTATACAACACTGTCATGGGTTCTATGTCCCGCGCTGGGAAGGCCTTTACCTACGAAAACTACCTCGCGAGCTGCTCTGGTCACCTGAGCCGTAGGGAGGAGTGGTTCGAGTGCTCATGTTGTCCGCCAAATGTAAGCAGGCTATTTGGTAGTCTTGGTGGGTACATTTGGCATTTTGGGACCAGCGACGAAATCAGCGATGACGGTAGCCGCGTCGAAGAGGAAGAAGCCTCCCACATCAACGTCCACCTGTACACGTCCGCGAAGCTCGAGTTCAAGACACGAAGAGGCCGTGCCATCTCCCTGGAGCAAAAGACCAACTGGCCCTGGGAGGGCAACGTGATGTTCACACTCACACAACCCCGGGCCACCTCCCTACGGACGACAGTCCGCCTCCGCATCCCGTCCTGGTCCCGCGGCGCCTACGTCCTCACCCCGTCCGCCTCCCCGGAAACCCCAGCCGCCCTCGAGAACGGCTACCTCGTCCTGTCATCCGAATACGTTGCCGCCAACCCGTCCTTTTCGCTCGCCGTCGGGGGCTTCGAGCCGCGCTTTATCGCGCCGCACCCGCGCACCAACCAGCGGACCCTGACCCTTGCACGGGGCCCGATCGTGTACTGTGTTGAGGACGTTGATAATGGGTGGGAGGAGGATCACTTCAAAGACCTGGTGGTCGACGACAAGGCGCTGCCCGTGGCGGAGGAAGAGAGGGAGTGGGGCGGCGAGAGGTACGTTGCACTTCGGGCAAGGGGTTGGACGAGGAACGTTGGCGGATGGGAATTGGGGGGACGTGCTCAAGATGAGGAAAAGGGAGTAGAAAGGGATTTGGTGTTTGTGCCGTATTACTTCAGGGGCAACAGAGGCGGCAAAGGTCACATGAGAGTTGGGCTGCTCAGGCCGTGACAGATAGAGCGAGAAAATGGCGTATTCCACCTGAGTAGGACTCCGATCATTCCATTCAGTCATCCAGAAACCTTGCCCTTCTAGCTACCCGGTCCGAACCTTATTAATCCAATAAATATGACCTGCGACCTGCCACCCATCAAACACATGAAGTCGCCTGGGTATCCTGCTCTTCCTCCTTTCCTCCGAACTGTTTCTCCCCGCGCCATCGTGGCATGTACATTCTTTTTTGGTCAACTTCGCGACTGGGGGTATGGGTATAGTCTATAACACACGGTGACCAGACAAGCAAGCACAAGACAAAGGAAATATGGATGCCGCTGGACTCCTTATTGAAGCCAGCAGCTCGTCTAGGCTGTAAACGGAAACGACCGTATCATCATAGCTTCATGGCAAGGTGTGATCTGGACTGCTCAGAGCCAGCCATCTCGCATGAACGCCTCAACTCAATCGTTATCATGCAATAAACGACGACACCCGAAGCAAGCGGGATCAGTAACTCATGCTCGGACTCTCGGCGCCGTTTCCCTCAGGACTCCCACTACTCGATGAGAAATAACTCTGATCAATCTTGAAAATCCAGTCAAGCTTGTCGCGCTCGCTCCGCGCCGCGAACAGCCACGTATTGTCCGTCCCGTAGATGGCAAATACGCCGGCTTGCAGCCTGGGAGACAGCTTGGCGAGACCGGAGCTGACGCTCTTGTTTCTGGCGTGTGACGAAGCAGTCCCGTCGCCGTTGATGTTACCAACGATGCTCGTGATGACCCGTCCCGAGGAGCCTCTGCGGTGGTGTGTTGACCTGCCGCTATTCTGTTGAGAACGAATCTGCTCAGGTGACGCGGTCAGGGCAGCATTCATGTCCATTCCGCCGTCTTCGTCATCAGCCCCATTCAGCAAATCCAGAATAGTCGGCTGGCTGTCAACTCGAGAGTTACGCAAGCTGACGACCGCAACCTCTTCTCCATCCGTAACGTTGTGGATGTGAAGATATGGTCGGCGTAGCTCCACGAACCGCTTGATCCATCTGGTGGCATCGCTGCTTGGCACCAGGAGATAACCGCCCTTGAGCACAGTAGGGTTCTTGGCAACCCTTATGATGGTTGCCACGAGCTCAGGTGGTGCAGCTGCCTCGGGATTACCATTCACAGGTGGCTTGATGTTTTCTTCGCTCAAAATCTGGTTGAGGGGGTCGGGATACCTTCTCCACAGCTTCAGACATCGCTCCAAAACGAACGTCTCGTGCTCAGAGTATTCCGACTTTGAAGGCTCCGGTTTTGAAGGTTCCACCGTTGTCTCGTCATCCTGCATTGGACGCTCTTCTTCGGTTTGCTGTTCTTCATCCTGCTTGTCTTCCTGTGCGCCCTTCTGTTCACCTGATGGTTCATCCGATGTTTCGGCTGATGGCTCGCCGTACAGGCCGTCAGTTGGCTCTGGGGGTTCGACAGGATCCAAAACTTGCGACACGTCTGGAGTTTCTTGCAGCAACTCATCGATGGAGTCAACGTCATCGTCTTCCCCCAAATTTAGCGGCGAAAAATCGGATTCCAGCCCTTGACTTTCACCATTCAGCGCTATTCTCGGCTGCGGCAGTCCAACCTTTTTCAGGAAGTTCTGCATGGCACCAATCTCAGCTATGCGTCTGCGCTTCTTCCGTGCGCTGATATAGTCACTGATCAGAGAAACACCTCGCGGAGTCCAGGTTGTCAAATTTTCCTCGCCCTTAACGTAGTCATGCTGACTATTCATCCTCCACAAATCCCCCACGCGTTTTATGGGCGCTGGCCGCATTTTTAGCGTGAAGATGGCGGTGCTGGAGTGTACAAAGCGGACACTCTGCCAGAGCGCAGACAGCATAGATGTTTGCCGCACGAAGGAACGGGACAGGATCTGGCAGCAGACGTTCTTTGAGAAACGCATTGGCTCAGCAAGCTTTTGGGAGCTGATTTCCCAGGTGATCGTCATCTGGACTCGATACTTCTCGCCTGTCGTGCGATCCAGCAGAAGGGAATTGTGCAGGCTGGAATCCCACTGGCCAGTGAGGGTGATGCTGCGCGTACCATTGGCGTTGTGTCGGAAGACGGGTTCTGACACTAATTTGAGAGCAATGTCTGGCGAGACGGCACCCATATCTGGATTTTTTCCAGCGGCGTCCACCAGCTGGATCTTGCCGACACGCACGGAAACCACATTATCCCAAGGCAAAATATCACCAGAGCTGTGGCTCAGATTGATAGTTATGCGTCTCTGCAATCCCTGGTGCAGTTGGAAGGTTCCACTATCCAGCTCGCCGGTCTGCGCAACCTCGACCGGGACGTATTCGCCGTTCTCGTCCATCTCCAGTACCTGGATGCGAGAGAGCAAGTCATGTTTTTCCTCGGTGTAAAAGTGAGACTCGTTTATCCGGGCCGACTTGGACTTCCCTCTCGAGCTGGGCACAGCATCTCGCATATCATCCCAGCTAAGGAGCTTGTCGAGGTGCATGGAGGACACCTTTGCAAAGATAGCAACCCGTAAAACCACCTCTGGAGGAGCAAAAAGAGGTACGTTCATACTATGAACACTTTCAAATCGAATCGCATCTTCGTCAAAATCCTTGACCATCTGCGTGGTTGTGATGCCATCTTCTTCCGAAATGCCAGGAATGAAAAGTTGAGCATGCACTTCCGTGCCTTCGCGTTCAGCAAAGCCCACCATTTCATGCATTACAACATTGAACTTGAGAGAATTTGTAGGTGCTCGGGCCGATGATGGTTCAAGTGACAGCTTGATAATACCGATGGCATGAGACGTGTGCGGCGAGAGCACATCGAGATGAAAGTCTTGGACTCGGCTCTCGAATACTGCCTTCAGCGGAACGTCTGCCTCCCCAATGAGGGTGTATTGAGGCATACAAGTTTCGATGAAAGGATTGTCGAGACTCAGGTGCTGAGCGTACTCCGGTTGGTCCAGGTACTGATGCATCTGTCGCATTTGCCGGACCCGATCGTGCAACTTGTGCAAGCTCCAGAGCCGAACCAGGCTGTGCTTGTAATCCACAACGCGGACGCCGATACAAGGTTTGATTGCTTGCTCGAGTGCGAAGTCGTCAGACTCCCCGCCGTTGAGGATCATGTCGTAAGAAGAGCAGAGATCGTGCCCAGAGTCGACGACGCAGAATTGGAACACCACACTCTCGTCCAGCTCTTGGCTCATGATCTGTGCCTCTTTCAAAGTTGCGGCATGTTGCAAAACCGACTCGGCCATCTGGACGTACCGGCGACCTCTCCAGTGTTTCACAACTCTCTTTGCCAGCTCTATCTCATCGTCCGACAACTTGGGGTTAGCTTTCGGCCTTTTCAGAGGGTCGAGCTTTTCGATTTTGGCCTCAAATTCGCGCTTCTGGACCTCGAGCTGTTTCTGCATGTCTTCTTTCATCCTTTTTAATGTTTCCTCCATATGCGCCTTCTCTTTCTTGATCTCTTCAACCTCGACATTCGCTATTTGAGCGGTCCTCAGCTGGTCATGGAACTCTTCTTTTTGCTTGTCCAGTTGAGCCTGCATCTCATCGCGAGCGTCACGCATCTTGTCATCAGAATCGCCTTGCTTTGGAGTCGATGGTATTGTCAAGGCTGTGTCAAGTGAGAAGTTGTCGATAGTGCCAGTCGACATGTACTTCTCCCTGACCGGATATGACGCCAGGGATTCCATATCGTCCTCCCCTTCCTTCCCGTTAACACGTTCAGCTCTGGCTCGCTGTACATCCTCAAAAAGGGCATTGAGCTCTTCGTCTGTGAGGTTGGAGAGGTTCTGGTCCGAGCCGAGGATGGCACCTGCAGCCTCTCGTCTCGCGAAAGACCAATCCGTATCCCGTCCGCGGGGCGCCGGTGAGTCTGAACGGCTCTCACTGCCAAACTCAGACCCTGCTTTACTCCAGCTCCTTTCATGCGGAAGCCTTGGGCTAGGTGTAGGCGATGTTCGTTCGAGTGATTGCAGTTGGCTGGCTGTGATCGACTGGCGCAAGAGACTATGTCGTTGTGTTTCCGTCCTTTCTGCTCGCTCCGCCTGGGCTTCCATGGGGTGATTGAATCTGAAGATGTGGAAATCACCAAGAATGACGCGGTATCCCGAGTGCAGCTGTTGAGGCTCGCTAATGCGCTTGCCATTGATCATGACAGCCGCGCCTTCCATTGGAGTAAGAGTGACGGTACCATCCGCGGCATTTTCAAACGAGCAATGCTCAGCTTGGATTCTGGTTCCTTTCAATCTTATACCTAAGTTTTGATTGGTCTCCGACTCCACATTGCCAACTGTTGTGATTCCAGGTTTCAGGTTGTAGACAAGACATTCTGCCAGGAGAGGATCATCTGACAAGTTGACCAAATGCGGCATCCTCTTGGGGGTGCTGAGCCCAATGAATCCTTTTTCGATGCTGATACCAAGCTCTTCTAGAGCAGCTTCACGCTCTTGGTGGATCTCCTCGGTCTTGGCCATCTTCTGCTCCCAGGTCTGGTTAAGGTCTGACAACAGCTTTTCGCTTTGGCTCAGCTGCTCCGCGATCTCGGCCTTCGAGACCTTCTTGGTGCTGCCGTCGGCCGCAGTGATTGTGACCAGTTGCTTCTCGAGGGGTGTGCCTTCGGCGTAAACTTCATCGGCCGGGACACCGACACCCCCCACAGCACCAGCAGCACCTCCCCCAAGCTTGCTTCTGAGTTGAGCTAGCTCTTCCTTCAGTTCTCTGATCATGCGAGCATTGGCATCCTCGTTGACAACAGCGTGGTTCTTGATTCGTTTGGCGGAATCGGCATATCGTAGAGTACTCAGTGTTTCGTCGTAGTTGATATCAGCAGGACTGATCGCTGCTATCATTGCAGTCATACTGTTACCACCCAAAGAATCCTTCAACAACCATGTCAGTACCGAATCTCGGTAAGGCACCTGTGAGGCGGCGCCCTTCTTCTTCTTGCCGGTGGAAAGGTCCGCGAGGGCAGCGATCACACGGCCGAGCGTGGACAGCGATCTGTTGATTTCGGCACCTTCTTTGAGACGCGCTCCTGTGGCTCCTGTAGACGTCGCTCGCTCGGAACCCGCGAGATCGACCAGACTGATCTTGGCGACCTTCTCCATTTCCATCTTGGTATCAGTGTCGACTGTCTTCTGAGTGAGCATCAGTGTAAAGACAGCATGACTTCGACTGGATGTTGCGTTCATGTTCGTGGCGGCGACAGTTCTGGCCTTGTTCCCTTCGTCCATGAGATTTTCGATTTCCTGGAAGCTGCCAACAACGAGCTTTGCGAGATCTTCGACGTATGGACCAGTGGAAGGATGCTCTCGTACTTTCAGGTTCCCCTTGGTGCCTGGATTCAACAAGTCCTTTACTCTTTCATTGTAGATTTCCAGGTACGATACCTCAACAGTACAGCGAGTATTCGGGTCCGCCTGCGTTATGCCCGTTATTCTTTCAAACATGTCTTGACAAATCATTGGAATGATACCATGCTCTTTGCCATATCCCATCATCGAGTATGACTTTCCAGAACCGGTCTGACCGTATGCAAAAATACAGTTGTTGTAGCCTTGGAACGCATTGTCCAACAGCGGCTTTCCCAAGTCCTCGTGTAAGTGATGCTGTTCGGCATAGTTTGAGTCGCTCTTACTGAAAGACCAATATGATCGATCGAATGCGAAGACTTTCTGGCCGTTGTCTTTTGAATTCTTCCCTTGAGGAGCATCTGGCGGAGGGGTGAGGATGGTTTGGGCTTCTTTCATCTCCACGATACATTTTGCGCCGCGGTCGATCTCTGAGAGAGGCACATGTCAGCCCTAGGTCACTTTGCAGCAAATACCATTGTTGAGAAGCCAGGGGAAGGCTGCTTGCTGAGAACTAACCTCTACTGTTAAAAGGCCGCACCCTCACCACCACCTTGATGTTTCCTCCAGCCATGGTGACTGCGTTTCACGTGCGCGTGAGAGCCTTGTGAAGGCCTCACACACAGAACAAGCCTAGGAAGGGCCCGGTGTAAGTCAACAACAAGAGATTCGAGAGTCTGCGGTGCTCGGCACGGCTAGCGACAGCTGAGCACAGCGACAGGTCTCAGTCTTTGCCCACCCCACGGACTAGCTGCAGCTCGACCGGGAGCCTTAGTGGAAGTCTCTTTGTGGTCCCAGCATGTGATCCCGACTATTTGACGCGAAACCCAAGCTCATTCTCTTATCCAAAAGAAATCGGCTCGGGTCGCGGACGGAGGCGGTCGGTCGGGGCTGGAAGACCAGTATCGTGTCGGTAGGGGATTACGCGTGACTGGCGCAGTGCAGCGCGGCAACGTCTTGCAGGAGAGATGAGTCGTTTGGCTCGCGCGCACGAGGAACCAAATGGCCCTGGCCGACAGGCCTCAGATTCGATATTCGGTAGAGCGGTGTGCAGTGGGCAATAGCTAGGGTTGATCGGTCTTGAAGATGGGTTGGGTGCTTGTTCGCCCTGGCTTTGAGGATCGTGGAGGGGGAGAGCGGCGTCGAGGGTGTCGAGAGGGTCGAAGGGTGCACGGGCGGGAGGCTCTGAGTGGTGGTGGACAGGTTGTCGGGTTAACTTGGGGAATGCCCCCCAGATCTCCAAGCGACGGTGTGAAAAACGGGCGTTTTCGTTGATCAACAAATTTCCCTGCTAGAGAGGGGAGCATAACGCGACTGGACGCACCTCGCTGGGCTGCAGGCTGCATGACCGCGAAGTGCCCATCCTCCTTTGGGCCTGGGGCACCTCGTCATACCCGTACTCGCCGTAGGAGTAGCGGGAAATTGCACTTCACGTGTCACGGGCAGGCGGCCTGCTCCCGCCGTGGTGGCCCCTGTCACAAGGTAGCAGCCGGAACAGGGGTTCTGAACAACCCTTGGACCCTTTCTTTTTCCATGACCTTCTCTCTGGCTACACCATCAAGATGGCATTGATCTAATTCATGGTAATTACCGATCTCAGGATGACTGGACGCCTACAAATCTAACCAGTCTTGGGTCTCACAGTAATTGTTCCAACCAACTACGAGGGAAAATTCAGTAGACACCCACTGCTCTTTTCCAATCACTTCCTATCTCCTAGTTTGGTGGTTTGATCCAAATCCCACAGTGTTTTCGAGACGATCTATAGTTTTGATCAAAATATTTCCCAAGTATTTACAACATGAGTCTGTCTTTTATTGCCAATCATGATTGTGCCAATATTTCTCTCAAGCCTCGAATACGGTTCTATGCATATTGTTTTTGGTATATCCCTTCAACTTAGACACATTTGAACCGCACTCTGGTCTACAAGTCAGATGCTCATCGTACTCTTCTAAAACTTCTTCTTCATGAACGAGATCCTTGATAGATAGGGATATATGGGGCTTGTGGTTCCCCGGATGAAATTTTGTTATTCCAAATTCTTAAGATGCTGAGCTTCTGTATTATACAACATGTTTTGGTTAAGTATTTAGTATAATAATGAACAATATCATACACTGTCAGTTCCGACACCTTCATCACATGCGCGACTCGCTTATTTATCAAGTCTCTCTCTCTCTTCATCATCTTCTCTCTCCTCTCTTTATTTATCTCCCCCTTCCTCTTCAAATCACCCGGCATCAACTCCCCTGTCCGACAGGCCGATCTCCAACGCCGTCCGTCCCCCCATCTCTACAAGCCAGCCACCGCATCAGTTTCAGCGCGCCCTCCATCCCCTTCTCCGCCACCTCCCAGCTCTCCAGCCCCATCTGCACCAGGCCGACCTCCAGGCAGTTCTTGACAAACCGCTCGTGGGGCGTGCCGCGCGACGCTGGCGTGACGCACAGCACGACCCACACAAACACCCCAAGCAGCGCCTTCCAAGCGCGCAATGGCACCCGCCAGACCGTCGTCCACAGCCGCAGGAAGTCCTCACCGCTACACACTCTCTGGTCTCGGAGGGGCTTCCGCAGCATGATTGCCCGTGAGTAGATCAGCGCTGCTTGGCGGACCGCCTGGTATATCACGTCTGAGGCGGTGGGTGTTGCCATGTCCTTTAGTTCTGGTAGTAATGGCCCGGGGATGCGGGCTGTGTGATCTGGCAAGACGCCAGGAAACATGAACCTCTGGCTCATAGGGGATTGTTGCTCCTGTGTGTAGAAGAATCCCGGGCCTTGCTGTTCCGGCAATAGTCGTGGACTTGCTGCCGATGACCCGTGGCGGGCAGACGGTCGTGATCCATATGCAACTGTAGTGCTCTCATTTTGCAGTGAGTCCCCAGATCCTCGATGTTGGGACCTTTGAGCGGCTTCTTCCGGGAGACCTGAGATCCTGTCATGTATCCACGTCGATGTGCTCTGTAGCTTTTGCAGGTCCTTCTGGGAGCAATCTACCGGCAGGTTCAAGACGAGCCCGATGAGGAACCTCATATCATCCAGGATCCGAGCCGTGGCCTCGTGCAGCTTCAGCGGCTCCGCGCACGTCTTGAAGGGTACGAGAGGCGATACGAGCGGCGTGTTGAGGAAGACACGGAATGGCACGTGTGCGTAGTCCTGAGATTCGAAAGGGAGATCCCCTTGCAGATATGGCTCCACCTCGAGAGACAACGCGATAGTGATGTCAGTCCTGAGAGTTTTGGGATCAGCATGGGCAAGACACGAAAGAGCGTGATCGGGGCAACGTTACATGATGATCAACTTCGCCAACAGGCCTCCGAGCCCCAAGTTAGAAAGTCCGCCCCTGGACTTCACCATTTCCCTCAATCCCCCCAGGTGGGCCTCGAGCTCCTTCCTGCCGCCCCAGTACCATTCGTTCAAAATCAGCTGCAGGACTCCCGCGATCGCCTCGTCCGTTGTCGACCCCGTGGTGCGGAGGTGTGTCTCTAGCATGCAGATGGCGTCGCCCTTCCGCGTCATTGCAGTGGTGTTGTCGACTATGCTGGGGCAGGTGTCATTGAGAAAACAGGCGGCCGTATAAATGGCTATTTGAGTGAGCATTGGGTTGTGTAGGCAAAAGGGGATATATTGCTTCATATACGGGTTGGCAGCGGGATCGGGCTCGCCGTCAAGAGACGCTTTGAAGCGAGAGATGAGGTTGACGACTTTTGATTGTGACCAAGGCTCTTAGTCTGAGTGCTTTACCACGATGAGACTGTGGAGTGTCACTTACAGACGCGCAGCATTTCGGCATCCTGTCTTGTGGGTGGTGCCGGCTGATATACCCGACCATCTGCGCTGATGAGCGACGGTGAGGGTGGCACATGCTCTTGCTGAATGAACCACAGCAATATCTCATCTGTCATAGAGGGCTGCCACCCTTGGATAAATTGCGCTGGTAACTCATTTCTCATGTTCAACAACGTGATAGCATCATGAAAGGCCTCGGTGTGGATTTCACAGTCGAGATTACACGCGGGCGCCGCGAGGGGGCTCACGACTTCTTGAGATACAGGTGGCCAGAGACTTTGCCTGTTGTCTACTGAGGCTGTTGGGGATTGAAGCTGATATTGTGTGTCAAAACTCACGCTTGACCAGTAAGTCGGGCTCTGGACAAGAGGAGACCAGGCCACCTGTTGGGGCGAGAAGACTTCTCTCGGCGGTAACAGAGGTTGATCGACGCCGTCAAGAGAAACATGCTCATCTCCAGTGAATGGCAGGGGGAGCAGGCCAGGGCTCGATGACATGGGCCGGCTCGACGGCCCGGGTCCGTCAATGTGCCTGTTGTCTGATCAGTCGAAGTAATCGTCTCGTAGCCAGTCGGAAGAGACTCACCTCGGTGTGCCTGATTTGTATTCACACACAGGTGGCGGATATCTTCTCGCACAATTGCCACAGGGCTGTGCCTGGTTGCACTGCTGCGAGTCAGTCATCAATGCGGTTTTGCTGGCAGGATACACGTGAAGACTCCAGTATTTCTACCACGGTTCATTCCATAATCTAGAGGAATATCGGCATACTCTTTGTTTTCGCCGTCGACATTCTCCACATGATGTTGGTGTCCTCTCAGAGCGCTGAGAGCGCTGTGCAGATTCAGACATGACGCAGTGCAAGCCTGCCCATATACTACTCGAGCTTCTGTGGTGCAGAATAAAATGTGTGTTGAGCCACCTGTCGAGTCAAAGCCACATGTGGTAGCGGTGGGTTGCAAGAAGTACATTGACCGACAGAGGATGTAGAGAGGTTGGACTAGCCGTAGGGGAAGACAACTTGACTTGTGTTTTCTCCCATGCGCTGTTTGTCTGTGGGTATTCACTCAGGACAATCGCATGCAATGTTTATCACGATCCTCCAAGGTTGACCAGAAAGAGTTGACGATAATACTGAAGCACATTGCTTCATCTTTCGAGGTTGGGGCAAGAGAGATGTGATACACTTCTGACATCAGAACGCTGAATCCCGAGAACTGTTAGGGCCTTTATCCCAGAACAGCGTCCATAATTAGCTCATGGGAAGATCGATCAGAGTAGAGCCTCAGCTGAGGCGCAACGTTAATGTTCTGTGATAGGTCAAGCGACCACTTCCCAGGCCGTAAGCAGCAGCGTTCCCTCGTCTCTACGACCCTAGCGACTGGCTCTCTCAGACCAGCTACCTAAGTATGTCGCAGCTTGCTTCTGCAAGAATATGTTTCGCTTCTCCAGCGAATGACGCTGCTCCCAACAACGTTCAAAGCTGCGGCATCGGAACCCCGACAACGACCCGAACTGTCAGAATCACCCGGTTCATCCCATCCCCAGCTCACTGTAGCAAAGAAGCCACGCGACAGCTGCCTGGAGACAAGTTACACCACCAAGAAGGACCCTTCGTAGGGCAGGCCATGGCACCCTGTAGAGTGCCGGGCTAGGATCGAAGGCGTCCCGCTCCGCCCAGTAGTGACAACTTTAAACGAGAAAGTGGCTGTCAAAAATCCTGAGGCGGAACGTTCCATGCAGCCAAACATAGGTATTCCCCGGGTCAGACCAGCGCGGTATCCGGGGATGGGAGTCATAATAAATGTCAGGGCACCCCCTTCCCACATCGTCGCTTGGAATGCTATAAGCAAGGCTACCGACTTGGCGCGCCGAATAGTGACCCCTGAGAGGGCAGCTCTACGAGCTGTGGCGCCCGCATCCATGATCAGATGCGGTCTGCTGCAGCATTTCCCCATTAGACTGGTCACATCTCAGACAGTCCAGTCGATAGAGGTTGGGTGACTGTCGCGTGGTGAGCACAGGCAGTCACCACGAGAGCATCCGTCGATTATGTACCCTGGGGCCACTTCTCCAGCAGGAGAAACATGAAATCACGAGACCGCGTGCCTAGGGGCAACACCCATGCCCCTCTCGTGACCATCCTGTCCCCCTCCCCTTTCGAGCCTGCGTATTACGAGAAGCTAGTCGCAAACAGGCTGATCTCCCGGGGCACGACATGCATCTCCTCCACGATCGGAACGGGGAGAGGGCTCGAACGGGCGGAGCTCAATATGTCTTGATTCGCCAAGCCATGCGGGCTTAGGACGCAATTTTCAGCCACCGGTACAGCTGAGATGGAGCTGATACTGGTTAGGGCCAGGCGTACAAAGGGAACTCCAGGATCCTCCGCTGACGTTCAATGCAGGCTGGCTCGAGGTCTCGCGCGGCGCAATATGGAGGGCATGGCAGAGGACGTATATTGAGTACTTCGGTAGCTTGATGCAGATGTCGCCTGCTGGTATTGGATGGAAAGCGAGATGACGTGACTAGTTCTACTCCGACTCTAGACGTCGGCGAGGCTCCCAATTAATAGCACTTCTGAGTAAGATGCTCCCAGCCTGAAGGAGGTGAAGGAGGTGAAGGGATAAATGTCAGAATCAGTGATAGGTGACGTTGCAGGGTGATCGGCGCTGCGGCAGTTGCAAGGGCTTAGATCCACCCTGCACCGAACTGTCGGGTCAGATCGATCTGTGTGAGCAGGAATTCCGGGACCACCACGTCTTACCGTCCGATATCTGAGAGCAGAGACGCGATTAGCGAGAGTGAGCACCTTAGTTCTCCACCCATGGCAGAATCACTAGTGAATGATAAGCTCGGAACAACTACTTCCCATAGCGAAACGTGCACTATAGTTCCTTGGAATCCTGCCGGCATGATGGAGGAGGATAAGGAAGCCTGGAATGGAAAATGGTCATCGAGTCCACATGAAACTAGTAAAGCTGACGAAGCGTATGCCGTACAGCTGCACTACAGGGATGGTTCGGTCGAGCAGTGAAATGACGGGCGGGTTCATGCTATTACCTTTGTAAGGATTCTCTCCAAAAGGCCGGCCTCCATTCCACAAGATACTGGCAGATGCTGTGTAAGAGCAGCAAAAGTTCCTGCTCAAGTTGCTGGACATGCTCGATGAGCACAATGCTTTATTGTTCGTACATTCATTAGATCGCTCTCCCGATCACGCGAACCGAATAAATGGTAGAAGTAATTATTGATATTATTTCATCAAGCGTCAAGAAGCATGTTTACTGAAATTGGTATCCTAAACAAGAAAGAACCCCCGAGCCGTAGAACGCCTGCATCCCTAGTTTCTTAGCCAACAAGCCTGAGAAATGCACAGTCATGATTTTTGTCCACCTCGCGATTATACCCCCGAGGACAAACTCAACGACCCTGATAGACTGGTTTCCTACCAACAGGCGGGGGCGGTTCATCATCCAACGGATAGGGCGGTGCCGGACCCACGGGGGCCGTGCCTACACGCCGCGGTGCTCTCGGGACTTGATTCTCCGGGAGTGGTGTCTTCGGCGGCAGTGGCGGGGGTGCTACCCTCGGTGGCTGCGGGGCAAAGTCCTGGCGGCTGGGTCGCTCATCCGTGGATACAATGGCGATCTTGTCTGACCCAGACGCATTCCGCCACTGTTCGGGTGTTGGCGCATGTATCACGAGTTTGTCTCCATCTCCGTGATGCTCGGCGGCGGCGGCCGAAGCCGGCGGGGCTGAGGGCGGCCTCTTACCGCTAGAAGGCGGCGATGCTCGGCGAGGTCCTGTCGGCTGAGGAGAGCCGTGTATGGAAGGCGGCAGGGGTTGGCTCTGCGGTATGGTAGGCAGGACCCGCTCGTATGAGCTTCTTGGGGACTGGTGTGTGTTTGGGAGCGACAAATTATCTGTCCCGGAGTCGTAAGATTGTCGGTCGAACGAGTGTCGGCTTGATGGTGTGTGAGGGGATGGCCAACTCTCTGGGATCTCGGCGGGAAGCTCGACGGCCAGTGGTGCTGAAATGTCAAACTCGGGCAGCTTGTACTTCAGGTCTGGTTCTGCGCTGAGTCGCTCCAGTCGCTGCCTTGCACGATGGATCTTGGCCAGCTTAGCTGAGGCGTCCTGGACCATCTTCTGCTCCGTCTTCCTCCCAAGGTACATTCTCGTCGAAGTGCTGATGTCCGACAACCGGTTCCACTCATTCATTCCAAACTCTCCCACACCCACCTCAACGTTAAGGCGATAATAGACCTCAGGATTGACTCCCCTGTCCGAAAGGTGTTGCTTCTTCATCATCTCGTGTGTCTTTTCGCATCCTTCAATTTTGGCGATAAGTCTCCGCTTGGCCTCTGCGAAGCCCCCAATGAAGCCTTCATACCACTCTGCCTTATTCGTGTCGCTGCCCTTCGGTCTCTTTCCTGTTCCTATGCTTAGGAAAACGCCAACGTCCCGTCCAGGCCACTCGTTTACAACGGCTTCGTCGAGAGCTTCTGGAGCTGGGTTGAATCGTCCATCGCCATCGTCGTGGAACACGGTCTGCCCAATTTGGATGGGCTTGAATGCTAGTCCTATAGAGCAAGTTGCTCTCCCGGCCTGCCAAATTTTGCAATCGAACTCCGGGGCAGGCTCTCTCCTTGAATCGTACGACCTCAGTAAAACAACGTCGACATTTTTGCTAGATGCGCCTTTGTATACGGCGGTCACAGCACTGCAATATCGTCAGTCAGGAGTTCCTGGCTAGGAAAATACGGAGGAAACATACGTTTTGGTTCGGAATTCTCTTTCGTCGTAGAGCCGTGCGTTAGGGTCACCACCACCTCTACCAGAGTAGTATGGCCGGGCCATCTGAGCCGCGGGGCTCTTGTTACTGAAGCTGACCACGCTTGCATTGCTGGCGTGCCTCCGAGGGTAGCTCGACCGAGAGTGTGAGCTCAGAGGGCTGTGAACCGAGGTGCCATCGTCGCCTTCCGACTCAGATGTGGTGTGTTCGGACACTGCGTCCTTGATGGCCTCCTCGAGCCTCGAGGCCTTAAAAAGGGTTGCGTGGGTGGGAATGCCGAGTATCGTCTTGTCGGTCTCGAACACCATGCGCGTGAGGCGTACGTAGAGCTGTTTGCAAGTCTCCAGATCCAGACGCAGCCTTCCCAGCATCAGGGCGATCAAGCCGCCTGTTCCGGTGCCGACGATAAGGTCGAAGTGGTCGGCGGGTTTTGGGATCTCGTGGCGCCTTGGCGCGCGACCCTCAATTTCGACGAAGGTTCGGTGCATGATCTCCTGTATGATGATGAACATGCTGTAGCCTCGGACACCACCGCCATCTGTGTATCATGTATGTTGTCAGCGCGTGCAAGTCAAGACGCGTGCGTTGGGTAAGTGTGGTTACAGGACCGCTGACGCGGGTGGGGGGTTGTGAGTGGAAGTGTGTGTGTATGTTAGAAGTGGTTCTCACCTAGCGACAGGATCCGAAGGGGCGGACCCTTGGTGGTGTCCTTTCTCTTCAAGCCAGTATCCTCCATATGTTCAACACGGTCTGCGAGGTGTCCTGGCGACTGTGTATTGTGCAGGAGGGAAGTATTCCGTCGAGTTGAAGTCGAGGAAGAGTCGGAGTGTTGGGCGGGACAAGGAAGGGATTCCGAGTCGAGCGCAAGTCCTAGGTTTGTAGGTTTGTACAATAGGTACCCAGGCAGGAGTAGGATAGGCCCAACTGGGGCGCAATGCGTCACTGACCCACAGTCAGACTGCACCTGTGCAGGTGCAAGACAGGGTTCTGGGGCTGGGGTGCGTTGGGTTCAGTTGAAGAAGCTTGGGCCGGGAGGGGCCAAAGAATCCTCAGAGGAACTCTCTCAGCAGCACCACCGCCACAGGCACCTCGGAGCGGGTAGGCGAGCAGGGATCGAGCTGCTTGTCACCCAGGCAGGCCTGGCAGCCCTGCAAGTGGGCAGCGGCAGCAGCAGCGGCAGCAGCAGCAGTAGGAGGAGGGGCGGGTTGGGCAGGTCAGCAGCACTCGAGTGGCGCTGGCCCAATTCCGTGCAGCGATCGGCCTGGTGCAACAATGCAGAATGCGACTCTGGCTGCGAAGACGTCAATATTCCGTCGTGAATCTAAGAAAAGAAGAAGGCGACACCAGGATGGGGAAGACTCTAATATTCCTCAACCGAAATCGAGATTTTCTCTTCACGGAGAAATAGTCCAGTCAGGCCGGAGTCGATCCGCGCCAAGGTGGGATGACTGGCAGAATGGCTGACTGGCTGGTTGGTCGACGGTGACGGTGGCAGTGCTGGGAGTGCTCCCTCCTACCTACCTAGCACGCCTAGGTACAGTTTGGTGCCTCTCGTACCGGCGTATTCCCAGCTTGATCGAGCCCACTATTTCGGTTCCCTGTTGTTTGCTGCCGACCTGTCTGGTTGAAACGCCGAGAGGCCTGCGATGACAATGAACACAATCAACGAACCTCGGAGGCCCCTGTCACATTCTCGGGAGCCAACTGCGCCTTGGTGGTTGGGGACTCGACGCGTTTATCTCTGACCTCGCCGGCTTTGAGCTTGATTTATTGATCTCGCTCAGCTACCCCTGTTCGCATCAGGCCTCGATCTCTGCACGCCAGACGTTCGACGACCTGGTTGCCCAGACATGTCTTACTGGTAGGACTTTGTAAGCTTAGGAAGGCTTACATACTTCTGGCCCTTCATGCGACTGTCGTATTAATTGTCCATGTTCAGCCTGGCGGCACACTGGTATCCGGACTGCCGAAGTGTGCATTCGCGTCTCAAACCTAATAATAAGCTCACATAGGCTCATGCCAGGTACACGCAAGCTGGAAACCACACATTACTGTGTAGCCATACCAGATCAGGGCAGCCGTTCGCGCATTTCTCCTCGTCGTGCTGCGCTCCCTTCTCCTAGCCCCGAGTCGCTAGCTGACAGAATCCGAACGCGAACACCCCGGGCCCGCTGTGTCGACCAAGCGAAAGACGCTACCTGGGGTCATCGAGAGAGCGATTGGACGTCTGAGAGGACTTTACGGTACAAGGTTGGTGATCAGGTTCCCATCAATCGTGGCTGAGCCGGCGGGAGCGGCGCGGCGTCCTCGCTTCCTCACGCGCCATTGGATCGCCACCGAGCGAGACAGGGCTTGGCAACCCAGGACGGTGCCGATGTCATCCATCCACCGCTACAGCTCCGCCAGCAGTCAGGAACTCGACTCCTGTCCATCAATGCCTACTTTTGGCGATGGCTTGACACCGGTTTGCTCATGGAAATATTCTAGAAAATTGCCTCATTCGGCGCATGGCATTTCGAAACATTGCCGTCCTCGCGGTGGAGCGTCAAGAGGCCGCCTTTGAGAACCAGCACATCTCCACTCCAGATACGAAGAGGAGTATTTCGAGGCGGCGGACCCTGCAGACCGCAGAATGTGGAGCACTCCGTGAGGACTGACAGATCATGGGTGCACCAAACATTCAGCTTACTGTACCATCACAGCATCTCCGTGGGGTAAGCAACTTCAAGGCGTTGTCTGCTTCGACACAGGTATCTGCTCCCACTGGCCTGCTCGCCTAGATGGTCGTAAACTTTAGTCTTCTCCGGGCTCCATGTTCAAAACACCCATATTCCAGTCCTGTATCTAGGTAAGCTTGGATTACCAAAGTCGGTGAGCCCGCAACCTCCGACGGTGTGCTTCAGCGCCTTATTATTGTAGGCCTCAAACCTTGTTCCACTTATTTTCCCACAAGATCAGAATTAGGTGCTGTTCCCACACATCCGCGCAGAACATCCACCTAGATTCTGGGACTGGTTGTCAACCACACGAACGGTTGGAACCCGCCCTTTGCGAAAGTCGTCCGGGCAAAAATTTATTTTTAGAGTTGCGCACAGTTCTCTTGCCTTCGCAGTCACTTCACGGACCCGAGGTGCGGTTCCTTTTTTTTTCGGTTTGAAAACCTCACATGAAGTCTAGTATCTCGGCGTGGCTCTCAGGTCGGAGAGGGTCATGCACAGGTTGGAGGTAGCCTGGGCAGTCTGTCTGCCTAAGACAGTAAATCGACGAGGATCACAGTCGAAAGTGGCCATTGTGAATAGATCACTGTTCTTTCGCAAGCTCCTGGCTCTCGCCTGGACGCACTTCTGATTGCCCGTTTGCTTCGCGACCTGGCGGTTGCTTTGGAGAGGCCAACTTCATAGACAACAGCATTGGCATACTCACACGCCAGGTGGACCAGACTCCCAGGTTCATCCGGTGTTTGCAAGTAGATCTAAGGAGCGAGCATCCCCTTCTTCTACAGTAGCCATATTACAACCTTGCAGCAATTGATATGCTTTGCGCCCACGACATGGATGCGAACGGTTAATAATTGTATTGATACTGGAGCAAGTGCTTCCGTCACCGGCTAGCTGACTCAGCAACCATTGACCTTATCTTATCGGCCATCTTTATTTTTGCTACCCCTGCTGAAGAGTAATGCATTTCCAACACAACCGTCTCTCTTGCTAGTCCACGAACATCAACCACACAACACCACCAGAAGTTTGTCCTAGACAAGAGCTACCATGGCCCAGGGCGAGATCAAGAAGAAGGCAGCGCCAGCTGCTTCGAAAGCAAAGCCTATGAAGGGCCAGAAAGTCAAGAAGCCGAAGTCAACCAAAGCCGACAAGCTGCAGAAGAAGTACACATCAGGGATGGTCAACAAAACCGAAGCTCTGCTGGGCGAGCGCGCCGGACATTTGGAATTGATCGGGAAAGGCAAAAAGGCCAAGAAGGACGAAAAGCACAAAGGTGGCTCGAGGAAGTTTGGTTGAGTGGGATCAGTCATGACACTTGCGGCGATTGACGCGCAGATGCCTCAAGTACACGGCGTCCGACCGAATGACGGCACTCTTCCTTTGAGCTTCTATTTGTGTGTGTGAATCGATTTGGGACTCGTCGGAACTCGGCGGCCAGAAGGCGGTCCTCGAAGCAGAACTTGGAGAGGACAACCAGATACGACTCCTCAAATGTCGTTTCGACAGACGGATGCCGAACTACAAGTGTCCCTTGTTGAAGATGCACACACACACAGCGAAACGGAATGCGAAACTCGACACTGAGTCCGGAGGAATCGAGTTACAGAAACACTATGTTTTTCTGGTTACCACCAGTTCATCAGCAAACAATGCGGCAGTTTGATACGGTGGTTGTGCACGATATAGTCCAACCTTGGAACAGCCGTTGGGGACTCGATCAGCAGGTAGATGTCGGGGAACACATTAATGGCAGAAAATAAAGCACCCCCGCGGCGATCAGCACCGGAAGTAGCTCTCGGCTAAAAAGGAGCTCATTGCCTGCATCCCCAAGTCGCATCACCACAACCTTCCCAGAATATTTCCCAGAATACGCCATGGAACGAACTTACGAGATACTTGCAAGGAGACACAATGATGGCGCTCTTGGGCACCACAAGATCAAAATACAGAACTCGGCAGATTGAAAGTACCAGCCCCAGCCCAATGGCTGAGAATAGGAGAAGCATCTGGCTGCGGTGCAAGGTCGCTGTCACGGCAGATTCCAAGCTCATATCCAATATCACTTATACAATTTCATCAAAAACAAATTGTTTGGCATCATCTGACCGGCTAAGCATACCAGACATCGTACAGCATCGTCGGTTGGGCGGAACGCCATTTGTGGTAAGAGTCTGCATCCTCATTTACAAATAAATACCTTTCCTGTGACATGCAGCACGAGTATGTTATAAGGTGGTCCCCGGGAGATTGGTCTTAGGAAATCGACTCAACACTGCGACATCGACCGCCGCCATGGGTTTCACGTTAGACTTCCTGATCTGGGCCATCCTAGGTGCTGAAGTAGCGACGGCACGGCCTGGACCTGGACATGGACCTGGATCTGAACCAAGAGGCTCAGTGACTGAGGAGCTTCCGCGAGCCGTCTCGTGCGCGACGATTCCGTCCCCGTTCCCGAGCTGGTCTCAGCTGCCGCAACAGACAACTTTGCCCGACCCATTCCTACCGCTTGGTTTCACAACTACAGATAATGCGGGCAACCAGTCAGCCTCAGCCTTCGCACAGGATGTTATGACAGGAAAAGGCAAAAACAGGATTCAGACGGCGGAGGAGTGGTACCAGTGCCGGCAGCCTGAGATACTGAACTTGCTGCAGGAATATCAGTACGGTTATTATCCGGATCACGCCCAAGAAACCGTCACGGCTACTCGTTCTAGCAACACCGTCAGTATCTCTGTAACAGCAAGTGGCAAAACTGGAAAATTTTCTGCGACGGTAAAACTTCCCACAGGAGCCAGCAAGGCAGCTCCAGCACCTGTGGTCATCAACATTGGGGGAATGCAGGATCAACCTTATCTGCAGGCTGGAATTGCTGTGGTGGGATTTGACTACACAAGTGTAGCCGCAGATAGTAACAGCAAGACTGGCGCATTTTGGAGCATCTATAACGGGAGAGACATTGGTGAGCACACTTTTGCATGGTCACTTGGTGATTGCACGGGCTGACTCTCCGGCCTCCTACCGCTCAGGTGTCTTAACTGCCTGGGCCTGGGGTTTCCACCGCACTCTTGACGGTCTGAACCTCACCGTCCCGGAAATTGATCCGACGCGCGTCGGCGTGACGGGCTGCTCCCGGCTTGGCAAAGGGGCCCTCGCTGCCGGCCTGTTTGATAAGCGAATTACCCTAACGATGCCTATGTCATCAGGAGTGCAGGGGCTCGGTCCCTACCGATACCATGCAATGAGCGGACAGGACGAGACGCTGGAGAACAGCAAGCAGGGCGCGCCCTGGTGGAGCGACAACGCCCTCGCCACGTTTATCAACCACGCCGAGTGGCTGCCGTACGAGGCGCACACCATTGCTGCTGCGATTGCGCCGAGGGCCTTGGTGATTGACCAGGGGACAGGCGACCAGTTCACGAACTCTAAGGCGACGGCGATCGTGGTGTACCCAGCTGCCAAGGTGGTGTATGACTGGCTTGGAGTAGGGGACAAGATTGGAATGAGTGTGAGGAGCGGTGGCCATTGCGACTTGTCAGGGTATTCTTCTGTCCTGCAATTTGCACAGAAGATCTTACTGGGCAAGAATATCACGCAGGATTACAACAATTTGGGGTCGTATGGCTCGCCTCTCACCACGACATATCCTTGGGCGACTGCTGTTCCAAAGGCAGCATGAACAGATTTACCAAGCAAAAGGGGCACCGGGCTTCTGAGCCTGAAGATAGTTTGACTCTACGAGACGCCGCTGTGGTGAATGTTTTGCATCGGGGAAATACTGTCAGGGGTTCTTGCAAGTCAGTCAGGGGGCGCAATACGACTGGCGCTCATTTACCTAAACGCGCTCTGCATCCCGAAGCTTACTCGTGAGCATCAAGGCGAGTTATAATTTAGCCCACCAGCATTGGATAAATTTACTTCCCTGGGGAAATTGCGTTAAGGCTGTACACTTGCAGGATCTTATACGGTAATCTCGACGTTGCCGCCGCTCTTAACTCTATCCTTGCACACCAACGTCGACATAGAGAAAAATGTGCAAGCCGTACAGCTGATCTAAAAGTCGAAGGCCTGCAGCAATTGCTGTGAGACCCCCAAGGAGCAGCGCGGAGATTTTTATAATCCAAAAGGGAATTCCCTTCACCTGTTTTCGACGCCCGGCCGGCTTCGCTCTCCACTTTCACATTTCGGGACCCACATCAGCTATGCAGATCCGAGATCAATGCGACACTCGTCAGAAAACTTAAACCACAATGTCGGATACGTTGTGTCCCGACCAACTGGTAACCGCCAGGCTGTTGGGGCGGGAGAGCGCCCAACAGGGCGCTGGATGTGTGGATACCACGGTATTTGTACCCAAGTTTAGCAAATATGCTCGGCAACAACTCAGAAAGTGTAATTACTTCCCACATTGACGGCAACGAAACAACATTTCCCTCAAGACGAGGCCACGCGCGTACGCACCAATGCAAATTCCACAGTAATGAGGTGCATTGACTGTTTGTTCCTGAGGACCACTTTTTGACACCCCGTCAGCTGTTATCCCCGATCCACTTGCTGTTTGTCCCCGTTTATTCACTTTCTCGCGCTGAGGAAAATCATGTTGAACTTGAAACGCGTACTTATTTTCAGTGACTGCCGATGATGTGAAACCCAGAATATCCTATTCAGGGTACTCATCTGTCGTTCCACTCACTCCACCAAGTCTCTCCAGCGCCCGTTGCCAGTGGCGCCTCCCCAAAGCTTGGGGCAACGGAACAAATGGTCCTATGTCTGCGCCTTGGGATGATCTCCTGCAAGACATCGCGGGCAGTGATGAGACGTGTTTCTGCTGGAGAAGTCCGATCGTCTCCCTGCGTCGGTGATGCCGATTTTCGCGAGCACCGTTACTTACACCACACAGAGAAGCTTTTGGCGCAGCTGTCTCGCCTCCTTGCTCAACCACAGGGGGGCACACAAGCCCACCATTTTTGATTTCTGTCCCGGAACTCTGGAAACCTTCCTTGCCAACCTGCTGGGAACCCTTACCCGTGTAGCTCCACGTCAGGCTCCGCTCAACCCAACCCTTCGGGTCTTCTGATATTTCTGGGTCATCCCAATCGAGACTAACGGACGTACTTCGGTGATCACCACTATTCGAGATTGCCCGGTCATGCAGCAGTCGTCGTGACTTTTCTCATCCCCTTCCTTCTTCTGATCTTCTATCTTCTTAGCGTGCCGTATCTTTATTCCAGACGATCACAGCAGGTACACATCCCATCACACACACACCCGAGCCCTCACTTAGCATCGAATATGGCGGCGAACAATCCAAACAGGCGTAGCCTGGACCTCTTCAATGTCGACCAAGAAGCTGTAGAGAACCTCGACCTCACCTTCCAGGAGGCTCTTCCCGCCAGTGGCAGCAACGTACGTAGTTCGTCAAGGAACATGCTCTATCTTCACCCCTTCCCGTAACGCTGACCGCTTCGATTCCGTTGAAGTTTGCAGAGATCCCGTGAGTAAACAGACCCCTTATTCCTACACCTTCAGCGCTGTTTCTCATCCCTACGATGGCCAGCGACACGCACACAATCTCAGAAAGCGTCCTCGCCTACCGGGTAGAGAATGGCAGAACCTACCACGCCTACAAGGACGGGTGTAAGTCCACACATGCATCGAACCCCATGAGACCGAGACCGAGACCAACAGTCCTCCCCCAGGGTACCTGCTCCCAAATGACGCGGAAGAGATCGAGCGGCTACGCCTGACGCATGACATCCTCCGGCGCGCGATGGGCAACCGCTCCCACCTGGCGCCATGGACCAAGGACCACTTCCCGCGGCGCGTGCTCGACGTGGGAACCGGGACCGGCGACTGGTGCTTCGACTTTGCCGAGGAGTATCCCCAATCCGAACTTATCATAGGCACCGACCTGTCGAATATCCAGCCAGACGAAGGCCCTCCAAATGTTCAGTTTATCATCGACGACTCCTCGCAGGAGTGGCTTGACGACGACCTGGATTATGTTCATACGCGAGACACCAACGGCTGCTGGGAGGTACGCTACCGTTCCGGTGTGCCTTCGATGTGCCTCTACCAGGCAGTTAGAGAGGGTCCAAATGCTGATGACGGAAATTGACAGGACATGAGTGCGCAAGTAATCCAGCAGGCCTTCCAAAAGTTAAACCCCGGCGGCTGGTTAGAGAGCCAGGAATTCGATATTGTGCTGCGCTGCGACGACGGAACCGCTCCAGCCGACCACGGCTTCAGACTTGTAAGAAAGAATTGAAAGAGACACATCTCTTTCCAACTTTACCCATACGCAGCTTGGTACTCCTGGATGTGAGACTCAAGCGAGCCTCAGGATCGTGGGTTACAAATGGCTACTCAAGATATCAATCCCGTTTGAAAGGTTCAGCAACGGAAGAAGTTAACTTGTGTTGTTGTAGTGGCTTTCAGAGTTGGACCGAATAAGCCGAGTAGCAGGGAAGCCTTGTGCCATCACCCCTTGGCTGAAGACATGGTACGAAGAAGCCGGTTTTGTCGACGTGCAAGAGGAGATTTTTCGATTGCCAACTTGTGGATGGCCCGAAGACCCTGAAGAGAAGATGATTGGGACATGGATGGAAGAAATGTTGAACAGCGGAATCGACGGCATTCTTCGAGCATATCAATTGCGGGTGGCCGGGCTGACTATGGAACAACATCAGGTATGTAATCTTTCTTGCTTCCTGGATCTTTCTTCACACATTTTTGGCAAAGAAGTCCGCATGTCGCCAGCTTGGCTGCACATTGAGTCTTTTGTATTGTTGCGCCATCGTTCAGGACTATATTTGACTAACGATTCAAAAACACAGGCGGCTCTGATTCCAGTTCGAAGAGACCTAAGGAACCGTGATTACCACACTTATATGAATTTCCACGTTGTATGGGGTCGAAAACCGGACGCAGAACCAAGTGATGAAAGAGGGAGTACACCAAAATCTACAGAGCAGCAAGGAGAAGAACAATTACAATAGCACGGGAACGGCTTGGCTTGGCACGGCTTGGCTTGGACATAATAATTGCACACAATTAGGCCAAAGAAAGCCTTATCCTCAATTTCGTCCGCAACGAATGAGACTGTTGTGTGGCGATCATCCAGGGCGAAATGAACGTGTCAACATAGATGGCCTCGTTGTGCATCATTGGTTCCTCAGAGGACTTTATATCTAGTAGCATATGTCCTGGATGCCTTTGAGCAAATTCCGGTGTCCCCCCTACTACGGCCAGCTTCCGACACAGCTCTCAGAGTAGCGACTTACATGCAAAATGCCTATCGTCCTACTCATCCCTCCTGACAAGCCACTCCAAACCCTTGGCCTTCTCCGCTCCCAGCAACTCCCTCAGTCCGTCCCTTGCGAGGAAGTCATGATCGCAATACTCAAAGCCTGGCACGACCGTCTCCGAGATCAGGAGCCCCTCGGCAGTCGAATCGCCTCCCTCCTTATCGGGGAGCAGGTAGCTGGCCTTGTAGTGGTCCCCCTCGACGATCCACTGCAGCCTCTCCCCGCGGCTGACGTCCTGCCCGACCACGAAGGTCTCGACCCCCCCGCGCGTGTTGATCAGGACATATCTACCCCGGCCCTTGTGCAGCGTGTGCACCGTCCGCGCGCGGTTGCGGTGGAAGTTGCCCTGGGGGGTGTTGGGGGTCAGGAGGTAGAAGATGGTGGTGGAGGCGTTGCGAACCTTTGGGTCGAAGCCTGGGCGCTGGGGTCCGGCTAGTGATAGGGTTGCTTCTGAGGCCGGGGTGACGGGAAATGGAGATGGGACGAGAAGGGGGTCCCTGTCCGTTTCGGCAAAGTAGCCTCCCTCGATGTGCGGGATCATGCTGAGGGCTTTGATGATGGCGGCCGTTGAGGGAGGCTCCGAGGCTTCGCCTTGGCTGCCTTGGGTGAAGAATGGTCTGATCTCCAGGCTGGCCATTTTTGCATACGACGTTTGAGATGAAGATAAGAAAAGAAGAAAGGTTTTGGGCGTGCTTTTTCAAAGGCAAGGCTTGATCGAAGTTGATGCTATTGAGCCTGACGGAGGTTCAAGATAAGGCGGTATGCGACGTCAGGAGCCAGAAGTCGTCATATTCAAGTAGTATCCCATAAAAATCAATGAATGGAACTTCAGCCAACAACAGCTGGTGGTTTACATAGAATAGCCGACAGGATAACTAGGCACCATGAGAGGAGCCGGAATTACACGTAATTCATATGTGCAAACAGGACCCAGGCATTTGTCAGCTCATCCTCTGTCAAGATAATGAGGCTCAAAATTTAGGTCGATTTGACACCGGATCGGTTAAACCGTGAAAATTGATGGTCGTCCACTCGCCCAAAGGTGTACACAATTAAGCGAGTTGTCAGAAATCTGGTTGGTCTCCTATTCCAAAATAAAAGGCCATGATATCTCGACAATATCGAGTGATCTTCATTCTGAACATGTGTCTTCCTGAGGTTGAGGTTCAGAGCTGCACCAAGCCTGGGGGCTGCATTGAGTCGCATAGTGGCTGCATCACATCAGTCGCATGCATTGTCATAGACCTATCTACTGGTGCCTACCCCTCCATCAAACTTCCATCTCAACACCATCACGTTATGGATTGATATACGCGCCCTATAACCAGTCTTTACAATCAAAAGCTTGCAGAAATTCAAGGCTCAATCAAATAACGCGTCACAAGTTCATAATCACTCCCGTTTTGCGAAGGATGGCACCAACGGCGCCCACCATCCTCACCCTCAAGCAGAACTTCCTCACCACCCAAACGCGTCTCCTCTCACAGCCGCTCCAGCCCAGCCGAGCCTGGCGCCGCGCAAATGAGGCAGCCGCCAATGACGACGACGCAGCCGCAGTCTCGGAGAGAGCCGTCGACGACGCGCTCTTCCGCCTAAACCACACCCTGCAGCAGCACTCGAGGCGCGTCTACGTGCCCCAAGCGACGCGCCAGATCGCAGAGCAGATCGACAAGCTGTACCTGAGCGCCGGGGAGCGCCGCGCTGACATTGGCAATGATGATGATGAAGACGACGATGCGGACGGGTGGAGGAACGTCGGGGCCGACTACACCGACGCGAAGGTCGTCTCGTCACTACCGCCGGACTGGGAGTCCGACAGGGAGGCTGCAGCCTACCCGCTCGAGGCGAAGCGCTACGCCGAGCTCGCCATGCGGCTGCGGGGCCTGTCAGCACGGAGGGAGGAGGCCCGGGCGCGCGTGGAGCGCCTGCGCCGGATGAAGGCCCGGCTCGCACCGTTCAGTGGCGCTGGTGCTGCTGAGGATGCGACTTCCGGTCAGTCAGGTGGCGTCCAGGAGAACCTCGTCACTCGCGACGGCGAGGTGGAGAAGGAGCTCGAGCGTATGCGGGTGCTTCTCGTGCGTGTTGGCGACAAGGTCGCGAGGCTAGAGGAGAAGGAGGCCGATGACAGTGATTTGTTCGGCGAGGGCGACGCCATGATTGTGGATGACGTTGAGGTTGAGGAGAGGAGGAAAGTCGATTCGCTATTGGACGGGCTGGGTTGACAGAGGTAGAGGACTTTGAAAGCACTATTCATCCTCAAGCGACAGCGACAGAAGGGCGCATTTTATCCCGGTTTCTGGATGAAGCACTGCTGGCCCTCGCCAGGCTGAAGTACCGAGCTCGAGGGCTCGACGCGGCGCCATGGCTCCCATTCCGGCATCCCTGGGTATAAGTCTGACCATAAAACTGTATCTGGGCCAATTTGCCATGGTCACATTCACGGTCAGAGCATAGCAAGGCTAAGAACACTTCTGCTGGATTCTACTTCTTGCTTGTAGACACAACAAATACGTTACCGAGCCGAGTTCAAACACGCATCATGTCCAGAATATGAGCTGGGTATCCGCCAATTACACACCTAGAAACCTTACTCCCAAAATCCAAGCAAATCACGCACCAGACATTTACGCCTGGTTCTCTGTCTTCTCTGGCTCTTCCTCTTCCTTAATAGACGTTTCCGCCGGCTGCTTAGGCTCATCAACTTTCGGCTCACCAGACTTCTTATCAATCTCGGTGTCCTTGGAGCCCTCAGTCTCATCCGCCTCTTTCTTGACATCCGTCCCGTCATCAGGAGTTTTCTGCGCCGGAGGCTCCCCTTCCAGAGCCTTCTCGTCCTCTTTCTTTTCCCGAGCAGTGATGTCCTCAGCAACGGCGTCCTTGGCACTATCATCGATATCGAGCACCTGGCTCTCATTGGCCTCTTCCTTGGCTTCTTTCCCCTTCTCCGCTGTCCCTTTCTCCTTCTCGTCGTCCGCCTCGTCATCGCTGTCATCCTCCCATACGTAGGGGTTCGGCCGCTCGATCCTCAGCTTCACGATCTCGTTGTCCGGGTCGTCCTTGCCGTCCGACTTGTAGTACACCCTCAAGCCGAAGACACCCACCGCGTTCCAAGGGTCCTTCTCAAACTCATTCAGCTCGTCCACACAGCTTGGCCCGTTCGGCGGCGGCGGAGAGCTCGTCGGCTGGTTCGCCTTGGCTGCCCGCGCCGCAGCGGCACGCGCCTTGTCCTGCGCTTCCATGTACAGGTCGATCTCGTGTTCGCTCACCTCGGACAAGGAGTCGAAGTCGTCGATGACGTCGTCGGTCGAGGCATCCGAGAGGTCTGATGAGGATGCGTCGGGAGGGCCTCCGAAGCCCCGACCCGGAGGCGGCGGCGGCGGCAATGAGGAGTACGGGACGGCGCGGATATGAGGCGGTAAATGGCCATAGTCCCGTGGAGGGTGGCGCCCGCCCCTTGGGTGGCCGTACAATTGACCACGGGGTGGTGGTGGCGGTGGCGAGTAGATATATCCTGGTGGTGGGCCTGGAATCCTTTGGCGCTCAGGAAGTCCTGGGCCGGTTTGCACGCCAATGTCTACTTTGTCGAGAGTCGGTGGGTGCGCTTTGTCAACAGACCGCTTGGGTTCTGATTTCTCAGGCTTGGGCTTGACAGCCCTGGGCGTTGGAGGCGGCTCTTCTCTGTTGGACGTTTCGGCAGATGTTGTTGGCTGGCTCCCAACCTCCTCCTCGGCGGCTGTCACGTAGGCATCTTCCTCCTGCGTATCTTCAGCCTGAATAGGTGTCCTTTCGAACATTGTGCTCGAGGCAGGCGTGTTCTCACCCGCCTCTGTGCTCGAATCGGTGCCGTCCTTGGACCCTTCTGCAGCGCTTCTATCGTGGCCCGGTATCTCGAGCCTGGCGCCTTTCTCGTCACCTGGCACTGTCTGAGCTCCACTATCTTTGGTGTCAAGCTTGTCTGCGCCCTCCGTATCCTTGACTTCAGCTGAGACAGTATCACCCTGGGCCTCGAGCTCCCCAGAGGATTTGTCTGCAGCTTTTTCCTGGGTCCCATTGCTGGAACCCGCCTCTTCTTTCTTCTTCCGCTCTTCCTCTTCAGCCTTTTCCTTTGCCTCTCTTCTCGCCTGCCGCCTTTCAGCTCTGGCTTTTGCGCGAGCCCTGGCTTTCTCGGTCGCCTTCTTCTTCTTCATTGTCTGCCTGATGGCATGCTTCCGATCCTCTTCTCTCTGCTTCATGATCAGTTTAGCCATCTTCTTCCTCTCCCTGTCTCTCTTCCTCTTCTCGTAAGCCTCTCTTGCGGTCTTCTCCTCAGGAGTCTCGATAATCCTCCCCTTGCTATGCGCAATATCATATGCTAGCCCGATGCGGAGCAACTTTTCCCTCCTCTCTTTAGCAAAAGCTCGTATGACATCCTCGACGGGCATTATCCGCTCGTTGCGCAAGGCGTCAATCTTGACCACAACAACGTAGTCGCCCGCCTCAAGTTCGAGCTCAACGTTGATACTTCGATTCATGCGGTAGTATCCCTGGCTACGCACGACATAATCCTCCTCACCGGACTTGTGCACCCTGAAGCTGAGCTCGAATCGGTACTGGCCTTCCAGGCCCTTGAAGTAGCGCTCGTCGAGCTGTGAGCATACAATGACCACTGGCCCAGGCTTTGCAAGCGAGAAGGCGAACTTGGTGTCGTGGTAGTCCAAGGTCCACGACACGTTCAGGGTCGTCCAGATCGACGCGACTTTCCAACTCTCGTCGAACAGCCTCGTGCGGTCGAATGCCTGATACTTCTTGAGCAGGTCCTCGTACGAGATCCAGAAGGAACCGTCGTCTCCGAACTTGTGGTCGAGCTTCTGCAGCCACTCGGCCGTCCACTCCTTGGACCCGTCGGACCATGCGCCTTTCCACTCGTGCTTTCCCCAGGGGTTCTTGAGGAGCACGAGGCGCACACCGTCGATTTCGCGGGCCTTGAGAACCGAGTACGCGTGGAGCTCCACGATACCTTTGCGCTCGCCCCAACCTAGCAAGGTCCGACTGTCAGTATACCACATTTTCCCAGTGCCAGGCTTCCAAACGGATGTCAGGATACTGTCTCACTAGGGCCTGGGTTGGTGGGCGGGGCTTCTCGTCGTAGGATTGAACGTGGAAGCCAGATACTAGGACTTGGCATGGGAACAAAACACTTACCGCGACCCCAGACACCAGTCGAGCAGCCAAACAGGAAATCCTGGTTGACCTTCATAAGCTCCTCAGTCCAGAAGTGCTCTTTATCGAGAATATCTGTGGTGTAGATCTCTGAGGTCACACCGCCGGTGAGATCCTCAATCCCCTCGCCTCCATAACCGCCTTCGATAGCTGAGTAGTCGCCGTGGGCTTTTGCGTAGGCCTTCTCGAGGAGCGGGAGCCACGTCTCGTTCGGGTTCTCGCATTGGGCAAAGTACTGCGCGAAGGAAAAAGAATTTAGTATCTAATACAGCTTCCAAAGAAAATGAGAGTATCGAGATGATTTGCTTACCAGAGCACCACTGTTAGACTGGTAGATCTTCCGGTACGCCTCCTCGGAGTTTACACGCTCTCGGTCCTCCCACAGGATTCGCTCGAAACACAGCTCATCATAGTCAGGTTTTGTAAGGTATAACTACACGAAAGTGTCAGTGAATATGTTACTCGATGCCTGAACACAGAATTACGATTTAATTTCGTGGAGCTAACGGTCCCGGTAAACTCACCTTGTCATCGATGATCTCGCTGAACCACTCCCCATCTCGATGAAACACAAACCCGTATACGCCCACCTCCTGATCATGCGCCACGCAGCACTTCTCGATCAGGCCGGGCTTGTTGCTGATGGTACACAGCGCGGCCATGAGCCAGCAATCCCCGTCTCTGCCCTGGCGGACATCGTGAGCAGTCGGCCCGTCGATGAAGAATTTAGGCTCGTCAAATATGTCCACGACCCTCTTGACCGCCTGCGGACGGAGCTTTGTCTCGGGGTCTCCGTCCGCAGGCACGGTGGTCTCCTTGTCGATTCGGTCCAGCATGCCCATGACGCTGGTGGCCGACGGGGGCGGGTTGCGGTCCTTGAGCGGCGGCTCCCGGCAGTAGTCATCGCTCCGGTCATCGTCCTTGACGTTGTACAACGAATCCAGGCAGTCCCGACGCATGAGTTTTAGGTCAATCTCCAGATCGAAGTGGGGGTCCCGGTACTTCTGGTTAACTCGCCGGCACTCTTTGATGATCTGGGCGACCTTGTGGCGACACTGTGCTGCGGCTTCCTCATAAGACTGCTGGGTGGTCTTGGCCGGACCAAGAGACTTGGCCGAGGCTCGCTTGGCGGCTCGCTCAGAGAAGTCACTCTGTTGAGGTATGATAGAAGTAGCTGCGACGAGGCTGTCAGCATGTGTGAGAAGCAAGACGGCTGGGGCCCAGACACCCCTTGGGCGCCGGGCCAGTACTTCTCGACTTACCTTTTCCAGGAGCCTTGGTCTTGTATTTATCCCAAAATTCATCTATCTTCTGTTGAGGTGTCTGGGGCTCCGGGCGTCGCCGCTTGCCCCCCTTTGAATTCCCCGGGCGCGGTCCATCATCCACCGACGAGCTCGACACCGACATACTGGAACTACAATCTGTGTGTGTCACTTGGAAAAATCTCTTATTGTGGGTAAATCGGCAGTCGAAGTTCAAGATAGGCAGACCTGAGTGTGCCTAGGTTTGAAAAACAGCCTCGGGCGACTGATGTGCGCTTTTAAGGCTTGCGAGGCGAGGCAACGAGCGAACCACGGTGAAGGATAGGGGTCTCGCCGCGTTGTGGGAGGCAAATAAGGTACGACGTTGGGTCAATAATTGTATACAATAGATCCTCCAGCGTCAAGGCCGGAATTGCACTTCTCGGGAATAATATAAGCGTCTGCGGAGTTCCCCAGTGTTCAAGCCTTGTTCCTGCACTGGCTGGCGCTGGGGAACCAGATATCAACAGGCCTCTGTTCTCTTGTGGCACTTATGGTATCATAGGAAGAAGGCAGCTTATTTGAGGTTAGATGAGAGGAGAGGAAAGAAATCAGGGGAAAAGAGGCCGGCGCAGGGTGGGGGCCAAAGTTATCAGGTCAGGTCAGCTCCTTGGTCAAGGTCAAGGGCCGGTACGGGTCGACAAGGCTGCAGCGGCTGGCTCCTCGCATCTCGTCATACATGTGGTTCGCGGGTGCAGCCTAGACTTGTGCGCAGCGGGCGGCCCACAAATGAGGCTATGGAGATCTGTAAGAAGGACTGGACAGGGAGAAGAAAGACAATGGTTCCCCCTCCCACCACGGACGCTGCAACTCTCCTGCTGATGAGCTAGCTTCTAGCCCTTCTAGCTGCAGGACGAGAGACGGATGGTGAGACAGCAGAAGCCACCAGGTAGAAGGATGCGACATAGATGAGTGTAGAGTGAGAAAATAAGACGTAAAGAGAGACAGAGACAGAGAGTTGAGAGTGAGAGCGGGATAGTTGACAAGTCGAACCGGATCAGCAGACAAGCAGACGTGCAGGCGAGGCGGAGGCGACGGGAGATGTGGTCGCAACAACAGGACCACAGCAGCTCTAGCCAAGCTGCAGTCTCGAAAGCAGCCATGCTGCCAGCCCATCCGGCTCGAAAGGGACGGGCGGGGGGAGGAGTGGTCCAGCCCGTATACACTCCCGGAGGGCAACACTGCATGAGGACTGAGACGCCACGGCGAATGGTGGTCGGCGGCGGCAGGACTAGCAGCAGGAATGGATGGGCAGGAGGGAGGTGGCATGTAACAAACCAAGCCATGAGAGTGTTTTGTGAGAGGTCGACCGGGCCTCGCTGGGTGCCACTTGGCCAAGATCCAGGACGGAGAGGCCGGCCGTGTCGTTGTCTTCTCTGCGTCTTGCATCTTGCATCTTGGGTCCCCCAAGGTTTCCGCTTCCGAACGAACCATGCCGTCAACACACCCACGATTTGTCGGCTGCAGTAAGACTAGGAGACAGAGAGGAAATAAAAAGCAAGGATGCAGCAGAATAAGGCTGAGGTGGGCTGGAGCTTCTCAGCGTGTCGAATCGGCGGTACGGTCGACCAAGCTGCTGATGACCCCGGATTTTGGTGCGAGACGTGGGGGGCGCGAATCTCCAGCGGATCGGTCGGATGGGATTATCCCTGTTTGCCTTTCCCAGCTGGATTTGGACGTGCAGCAAGTGGTAGTAGTGATGGACTTCACCTTACCTCATCCCAACATAACTCAACTCAACACGATTCACATGCTGAGAGACTGACTGACTGCATGTATGTATTTGTGTGTACACAACACGCGAGGATCCCCAGTCATCTGACATGAACTGACCAGTACACCCTTTTCCGTGACATAATCCTGTGTGGAACAACCCAGCACGGGATAGCTTCTTTTAGAATAATCAGATACCACTACCTTAGAGGATCATCCCAAGATGGCAGGTATCTAGATAGAGATCTAGATGGGTATCTGGGTAGATGTCTAGATGGTGATCTACGTAGATTTCGTCTGGTTCCCTCCTCCTCTCCCTCCCAAATACTATGGTACTCTCAAGCACCTAGCAAACCTTGTGGATCCATCCCTGCAGGCTATCTCTACACACAAGTACAACGGTACACAATCTCTGGCCCAGCCGAGCAGGCAACAAAGTCGCAATATCAACGCGCCCCCGCGACCAGCCAAGGAATGAAGCAGACTTCCTCGCGGGGACGCCGGGTATCGACGGAACCTACGACGTGGCGATCGCACCGGATCACACCGGGAGGCGGCCACCCGCCTCCAGGAGCAATATCCCGCCTGCGGGCAGTATTCCTCGCTCGCTCGCTCGCAAAGAAGTGAGTGTAGGGGGCTGCTGTCAGACGACCAGGAGAGCCCGGGATCCCCAGGGGATGAGGGGAGAGAACCTGTGTTCCCCGGCACAGCGCGCCAGATGTGACCACCGGGCTTACTGTCAGACGGGCGCACGGCACGGCCACTCGCGCCCACCCAACCACCGCCGCACTCGCCAGCAGAGCAGGAAGCTGACTGCATGCATCGTGTCGGTGAGGCTATCAGCTGTGCGGTCTTCCGCGCCAATACACAGGGGAACGGGCTGGGGGGAAACGTGGACAAAGAAGAGCCGGGCTGTGGCGCATAAACTCACGTAGAGAAAAGCGAGGGGGGCAGCAGCGCGAGGGGGAGCCGAGCCCACTGCAAACCTGATCATCGATCAGCGCAGAGCCGCCTCAACGCCTGCCATCACCATTGGTGGGATTCAGGGGGGGAAAACCCCCTCCAGAGGGGGCAGATGGGTGGTGGGTCCACCCCAGGTTGCTCTACTCTGCGCTGCAATGCACTGCATTGTGTCGTATGCATGCATGCAGACGGCAGCTGTGACACGGGAAACACCTTTGTCAACGAGGCTGTCGACATCAGACGCTGTGCTCGTGGTCGGATGTTCTTTGCCGGGAAGCTCGTGTCTTGTGCTACAGGCTCGGGGACACAAGAGGGCGGCTAATGTGCAGTGTCTCCCCAAGCTGATTGCTTGGACCGGCTGAGGAGAGCGAGAGACCGGTACAGCAGAGCCTCACCCTGCCCTGTATTTTTCTCTGGTCTTCATGTTCGCGTAGATTGGTGTGACCTCCTAGATCAGTGCTTTACATAGCTCCCATTATTTGATTCTCTCCTGGTATGTCGGCCCATACTCAAGGTCAATATTGTACAATAATTATCCACAGCTCCTCTACCAAGATGGAGGTATATACAAACCCAACCCCGCGTGCGCCTATGCGTCTACACTTACAGCGGTTGGACAGGTAGGCCCAGATCATACGCCTCATTTACACGTCGATTACTAATTCCTTCGATCCCATGCATTCCATTAACTCGTCACCGCATCGATCTTGCGCTGAGGTTGGCAAATGCGTCGGGACTGTGTCGTCCATTAGACCATTCCATACCAAGCGCCATCATGCTGTCCCGGCTTCTGTTGCCCACCACGCCGTCCATGCCTGAAGGCTGTGCCGCAGCTGGCTGTGGAGCCCCGCCCCCGGCGAGGAAAGGGTTCTTATTACCCGCGGTCGAAGCAGAGGCCGCCGCATCTGCCTGGTTCATGACCGGGTTCTGAGCATGCAGAACCTGGTTCATTGATGTCAGTCCCGGCTGCTGTGCTGGCTGCTGCGCTGGCTGCTGCTGCTGCTGCTGCTGCTGGTCAAGGCTGGTATTCTGTGTTTGAGGCGCAAACTGCGGCATATTGTATAGAGCGAGGATTGATGCCTTGTCTGCTCTCTGCGGTGCTTGTTGGGCCGCAGGTTGACCAAAGTGATTGAACTGGTTGAACTGAGCCTGTGGCATCGGCGCAGCCATCGCAGTCTGCGCAAAGAACGGATTGTTCATTTGCGGCTGTTGCTGGGGCTGTATTTGCTGTTGCTGAAGCAGTTGCGTGTGCTGTTGTTGCTGCTGGTACTGTTGCTGATGCGGGTGTGCTTGCACAGGCGAGCTGTAGAAGTTCTGCTGGCTTTGCTCTGGAATTTGCCCCAGCGACGTTGGCGTGGCGATTCGGGTCGGAGATCGCGCAAATGGATTGTTGGCGTAGGCACCGCCTGTAGGAGTCGGCATCAGATTGGTGTTCAAGGATGAGAGTTGCTGAGCTTGCTGCTGCTGCTGCTGCTGCTGTTGCGGCGGCGGTTGAGAGTTGGTCAGAAATGGGTTGTAACCAGTATACATGGGCTGTAGTGGTTGAGCGGGCTGCAGGCCTGGCTGCTGTCCATTCTGAGGCTGTGCATAATTACTATCGAACACCGAGGCAGAATAGTTCTGGGGTATTGAGGGTGTCGGTGGCTGCATGGACTGCTGGCTCATCAACTGCTGCTGCTGCTGAGGCACGCCGCCAGTATGGTGAGGGAACAGCGGTTGCGGAGCGCCGAGCGACATTTGGTTGAATGCTTGATTCAAAGCATCGTTCGACTGCGCAGCAGTCAGACCAAACGGATTGTTGGTGTAGTACGGATTCCGATTTGCCATATTGCCCGTCGACTGGCTCGATATAGGTTGGACTGGAGATATATCAAAAGGATTGTTCGAGGCGGACATGGGCCTTGCTGTCTCTGCTCGGGACACTGTCAACCCAGTGATGCGGCCAGCGGATGCTGGCGGCCGGATAACACTTGGGAACTCGTCTGTCGGGCTAGCCAAAGGTGATCGGCCTTCTAACCGCACAAGGGACTCTATTGTCCTCTCCAAGTTGCCATTGACGCCCTTGAGCACGACCTCGTTCTTGCGATCATCTGTGAACCCTAATTCCCGCAGCTTTGCCAGCTTTTTGTGCATGTCATCGTCGCTGTCGTAGCCGAGGCTAGCACCGAAAACCTTGGAGACCTTTGGTCGATGGCCCGAGTCGGGACTTTGTGGAGGCAGCGGACTTGAGTGTGCTGATCGAGCGGCGACATCTTTCTTCGATCTCGAGAAGAGCGGGAATGTCGATGAAGCAGAACGGAAGCTGAACTTCCCCGTGTTTTTCGGTGGTAGAGGAGGAGGCGTTTCGTCAGATGTCGTGCTTCCGGTATGGTGCCTTCTTGCGGCCGCGAAACCTTGGTTCATATACTTGGATCGAATGTACCGTTCAATCGCAGAATCGGCTTCATCGGCATCGACCGGAATCGGAGGTCTCTTATTGTCAGGGTTGTATAGCTTGTTGGACGTGATGTTTCCGACCTTTTTCATATTCTGCTTTCGACGTCAAACACCATTCCGGTAACCAAATGCCGGGAGAGCCGATGCTGGGCTTACCTCGACCTGCTCGTTTGACCAGCCGTCCATGCTGAGCGACTTGACCTTGGAAATGTGTGTGCCTAGCTTGCGATGGATCGACGCGCATCGCATGCACAGAAAGATGCCCAACTACCATGAATCAGTCTTGAGTGATTTCCAAGAGGGGGAGGAGCGTGTTGGTCGCGTGATGGGTGGTGTCGAGGCGTTGCGTATGGGGAATAAATAAATTGCACGTACACTCCATGATGCCCAGCCTGTATGTCTCGATGGTTAGCGATGGCGACAAGAAGGGCACGGAAATCCGGGACTGACCTGGGTTACGCGCCTGGCAGTCGGCGCACTGGTTGTTCCCGGGGACATTCTGGACGAGGTCCTGCAGAGTCTTTTCGTTGCGAGCCTGCTGGCGCTTGCTTAGAGCACCGGCCATCGTGACGGTGGCTGTAGGGGTGGACGCGAAGCCAATTGCCAGTGTGAAGGCGGTCTGCTACGGCTTTCGAGCCTTCCTCCGGGTGCCGACACGATGAGCTCGACCGCGACAGGAATGAATTTCGGTACGTAGTGGTGGTACAATTATTGTCTGGGTGTGCTGGAAGTCGACTCGGTTCGTTTTAGCGGTACACCGTGCCGTCGGAAAGAGGAGCAACAACAAGAGGGGCGCAGTCGTATGAACCCATACATAATACGTCAATCCAATCAAATCTTGGGCATCAGGGGCGATTCATACGGAATTAGGATCGGATATTAAGAACAGGGGGCGATCTGGAGGCGGGATGGAACCAACAACAGGACCACACAAACTGGGAAGGTGAGGGCAGCAAACGAATGATGCAGAGATGATATAAACAGAGCGAAGGAGCGTTAAGAAGCCGCCAGATTGTGAATACAGATAGTCCGAGATTGGGAGATGAGATGGATGAAAAGGAGCGGCCGCGTGGTGGATTGCTCAATCGATAAATCCCACCCCATCGCGAAAACGAAGCGAAGGACCGACGAAACATGGGCAGCGCAGCGCCAGCCGTCGAGTCCTTGGAACTACGGCCACCGGCTGGAACATTGGACCGGTGGGCACGGAAACAGTGGGCCGTCGATACCTAAGCGTGCCGTAAGGTGCTAGACCAGAGCCTAGGACTAGCTGACCAACGGCACGCTTAGTGGGAGGTGGCCCGTGTGCACGACGCCTAAGTCAGGGAAAAGGGGCTCACGGTGCTTCAACTCAACTTCACAGCTCGGTTCCGCTGCCGTCTTTCGGTGCCAACGGCTTGATCCAACGTCTGCTTGCAGCCACCATGACCATTCCTATCTCTGGTTTAGGCAGATAGGCGGTAAAATGCACTAGAACAGTGACAAATCTTCCACGTCCCAAAGGACAGCGCCTGGACAGCCGTTGAAGATTCATTACTTCTGCTCCCACAGGCATTTTTAAGAGTCAAGTCTCACTCAGAAATGCCCACACCCGTCTATATTTAGCAATCCCATCGTCTTGAACTGTTCTTCTCACACTACATTCAATCTACACCTCTGTTTCTGTTTCTGCTGCTCTTGAATAGACGTCAATACGGGGTATAGCTTGAGCTAACCCTCTCCTTTTCACCAGTCTTTTCTGAAATTTGAGGCCAAGCAAGTCATGGCTTTCGCTACTTAGGCACTCAAGTGGAGAATCTCATAACGTGGTAATTCTATCGCAGCGTTCTTTAAATGTTGCCAATTGATAGCCATTTGTGGACCTGTGCAAATGAATTGGGTCCGAATACGTAGACTTAAAGGACCAGAACTGAGCACGGAGTCTCCAGGTGCATTTGAGAAGGGCGCAACGCTCTGATTGTATCTTTACTTCTGATACCAGCTTGAAGAGCATGGCATCATAGTCGCAGCCCAATATATTTCCACTAAATCGTTGACTTTCTTCTTTGCTCTGGCTACTCCAGTATAAATGGGCTCGGTTTTGAGAGAGCCTGCACAGTATGGAATTAAATATGGTGTGCCCCTGTGAAATTGAACACATTCCGAAATTTGCTTGAAAGCAATAGCTCTGTTCCATGACGCACAAGCCCATGTCTTTTCAAAATGGTAATCGAAATGCCCTCGTCGTCCACGTGGTGGAGTGATTGTTGTCATTGACTCCGAGCACTTCTGTGCCATTTGACTTATGGTTCGGACAGCGTAAATACAGAAGCAAATGCTACACGACTACTCTGGCTGCTTACCTCCCACACTTTGGGGCAGTCCTTGCACTAGTAAGCCGTGGCTATTACCGAGCCCGATTTCTAGGCGCCAGGACTCTACAGAATATTGTCTATTAGACTGTTGAAGTACGGAAAATCATTCGGAACCTAAGAAGGATGTGTGAAGATAAGTTGGGCAAAGGATCTGCACAGGGCCACTTGCGAACATGTCAGCTCCCTTCTGGCCGTACTGGACGAAGTCGCACATAGTTCCGTCTTACAGCTACACGAAAAGCCTCAACGGAGCCAAATACTCCAGAAGGTGCCAATAAGCATAGAAAATCGTGGTACTGTGAGATATGTTCGGGAGCTTTCTGAACCCAGCCAACAGGACACTATACTACCATCATTATTGAAAGCTAGAAACAGAGCGACCGCAAAACACCACAAAAGCAGCCCTGTTCGTCATATACAGATCCTGCTAGACACACACGAGTTACGTTCCAGAATTCGATGCTTGGGAAGTGATTGCCATTTGCTCAATATCGGCTTATGTCATTCTCATTTGCATTGCAAGCAACGCAATTCATAGCTTTCGTATGGAAGGGTCACAGCACATCCAAAGCAGTAGAACAACTGCAAAGAGTATTAAAGACTAAAAAGTCAATCACTTAACCTCATTAAGGAGTTTGAAATGCATGACCTTACTGCACTTCGTCGCACCAGCAAGTGAAGGGCGCCCTGCTGACGACATTTGTAAGCAGGTTTGCTGCCGATATGCTTGATTTGCGTGTGCGAGCGAGTGGTGTCATTGCCAGCTTCATCGAGGGCAATTTGTAAGCGGGTTATACGCAATTGTCTAGGGCATCATCAAGTTGATTTCCACGTATTATACGAATATTAAAGTCCTTCCACCCTACTATAGAACTGGGAAACCATTTTAGTGAGTGATCGATACTCAACCAACGACAGTTGCATCGCCAATTAATCGCCACAGCTACTTTCAAACATAAAAGAGTAAAACCGCTCCACAATGGCCCCCATCCGTGTCGCAATCATAGGTCTCTCCGCAAGCGCAACAACCTCGTGGGCAGCTGAAGGACACCTTCCTTACCTACTCCTCCCCCGCGCCAGGGAGCACTACGAGATCGTAGCCCTCCTCAACTCCAGCGTCCAAGCAGCAGAGGCAGCAAGGGCTCACTTCGACCTCCCTGCCTCCGTGAAGGCCTACGGCGACCCAGCCGCGCTAGCCAAGGACCCCGACGTCGACCTCGTCGTCTGCAGCACCCGCGTGGACACGCACGCGGCCGTCGTGAAGCCCTCCCTCGACGCAGGCAAGGCCGTGTTCATCGAGTGGCCCATCGCGTCCAACTATGCCAGCGCGCTGACCCTGACAGGCACACCCGGGTTCGCCAAGAGCGTCGCGGGCCTCCAGGGCCGGGTGTGCCCGCCCGTCCTCAAGCTCAAGGAGCTCATCGACTCCGGGCGGATCGGCAAGGTGCTGAGCAGCGAGGCGCGCGTCTTTGCCAACATCCTGGCGCGCGACTCGCTGTCCGAGGGCTTGGCCTACTTTGCGGACCGCAAGGTCGGTGGCAGCCCGCTGACCATCACGTACGGGCATGTCATCGACTACGTGCACGATGTGCTGGGCGAGTGGGAGGGCGGGCAGGCGGCGAGCAGGATGCAGATACAGCGGCCTGAGATCCGGATCCTGAGCGGCGATGGGGCCGTGACGAGGACGGTGCAGTCCGATGTGCCGGACTTCCTTGCCGTTCACGGGCAGCTCGCGCCGGCCAGGAAGAACGTTGCGGACGGTGTGTCGCTCGCCGTCACGCTCAGGCTCGGTCCGCCTTTCAAGGGGCAGCCGGCCTTCGTATGGAGTATCAACGGCGAAAAGGGGGAGATACTACTTACCAGTCCCTCCGGGCCGTATATTTTCTCTGGGGACTCATACGACGAGCCTGTCCGGATCCAGGTTCATGACCATGAGTCCGACGAGGTTGTTGATGTGGAGGTGGAATGGAAGGACTGGCAGGAGGAGCTACCTCTGCGGGCGAGATGCACCGGCGAGGTTTACGAGCGCTTTGCCAAATGGTGGGACGACGGCGCTTCCTCAGACCCTGGGCAGCTGTCAGAAGCGGAAGCCTTCCCAAGTCTTACTCACTCGTTTGAGAGGATGAAGGAGTTTGACACCCTTCTGAAAACATTGGAGTGAATCGGCCCTTGAGCACTATTTTCAGTTCGCGACACGTAGTGTATATACTCACCGCGAATGTCTTCCCTCAATCTTAGGAGCGCTGGCAACAGATACCTACCGCGAATACAATGGACACAAATATTACTTAGCGCATCATGAAAGGCTAAACTATTCCACTTCACTTTTCTCTGTAAGTTGTGGCGGAGCAGAATATCTCGGTAAGGACTGTTGGTATATTTTCTTCTAGATTGAAATAGTATCATACTAGTGGGTCACTGTTGAAGTGGTTCCCAAAACGGCCGAAAAGGTGACCTTCACATAGAGTCAGCAGAGCCCACCGCGCAAGACCGCACAGGTAGACTGCTGTGAAAGAAAGTAAATTCAGCCGTGCCTGGAGATCCCTTCCTTGATGATCAAGAGAGAGCAGCACCGAGACACAACCTCCATTCCAGTCGCAAGCAGCTCAGTACAGCTTGTGTTCCAAGGTCATGTCAGACTCAGGCTCGAGGCCAACGCACGCGCGGAAGATGTTGGTCAGGGCGCCGCGCTGCTTGGCCAGAGAGTTGACGACGGGCGCGCCGGGGGGCGTGAGCGGGGCCTTGAGCATGTAGCTGAGAATGCTGAGGACGCTATGGAAGCCCTTGTAGTCGTCGTCGCCCTCACGCTTCCACTGGATGCGCGTCATCATCTCCGCGACGATTACGAGGTCGATGATGAGGGGCGAGGCGAGCAGGGAGTCCTCGCAGACGTTGAAGATGCTGGTGGCGGTTAGTCAACTCAGTCACTCATCTACGCAATTTCAAGAGGCAATCCATCGACAATAGCGAGGGACTTACGAAATCGTCTGGTGGCCGCCCATGAAGATCTCAGCATAGTACTCGTCCAGGGCGCGCTTGTTGTCCCCGACGGCGGGCATGTACTTGATGACCACGGTGTGATCAGGGTGCTCGCCCTTCTTGTACAGCACGGTGTTCGCCTCGACCATGTCGTCGACGACGTTGGACTTGGAGATCTCCTTGCTGCGGAACTGCTTGTGCGAGCTCAGGTTCATGCCGTCGTTGTTGCCAAGGTGGTTGTAGCTCGCAATGGACGTCAGCTTGATGCCCGCGTTGATCAGGAAGTCGACCAGGGCGGACTTCATCTTGGTCTGGCCCGACTTGAAGTCGTCGCCTCCGATGAAGGCGCCATGGCGCTCGGCGAGATCGATGGCGCCGGGCACGAAGGTGTTCTGCGGGCTGCCGTTGATGAAAGGCGTCTTTTCGAGGATGCATGCCACGGCAAAGACAGTAGACGGCGCGATTTCCTCATGACCCTGCTCAATGGACTTGAGCAGGTTGTCGGCAGTGTCATTCACGCCGGGGATAATATCAGCATAACGCTCCGTGTTGGCTGTCCATTGAACAACGACCTTATCGAGACCGTGCTGAGCCTTGAAGTCACGAATATCCTTGCGAATCTGCTCCACATGTGCCGTGGAAGCCTTCGTGCCCGGGATGACATTGTCAGCCCGGTCCTCTTGATTGGCGGCAATGAAGTCAGGGTAGTAGATGCTCGGCAAAGGACGCATCTCAGCCATCTCCTTCTTCACCATGGCCTTGAGCGTAGGCTCCAAAACAGCGGCACGATCCATGGCACGAGCCAGGTCCATGCCACTGATGTCCCAGCCACCAATTACCAGGTCATTTGGGTGCACCATTGGCAGCACGTTGTGGAATGGTATGTTCACGTCCGTGTTTGTCTTAGCATCAGTACCTAGCTTCATGGTTGATCCCATGATGACAGACCCGTAGTAGTTTGCAGCACGGGGGCCTTCACGAGTGTCCCACACGAGGCCACGACGATTGGCGATGATACCCGCGGTGACAGTGGTACCATTGTTACCACCCCAACCGACGAGCATCATACCAACCTTGGGAACCTTGCGGTCAACATGAAAGTTGTACACAGTCTCATGTGGGGTGGCCTGGTAACTGCCATCGTCGGCAGTGGTCACGCTGGTGGTGCGATAGGTGTACTTAGACAAGATCTCGCTGTCCGTGTACTTGACATTGGAGGAGTTCACCATGAAAAGGGGCTTCTTGTCGGTTTCATGGCTCACTCCATTGCCGTTTCTCTGTCCGTCTCCGTACGCAGAGCCCGCCGCGGCTCCCTCGGCGTGCGGCGCCATGATGACTGGTAGTCAAAGGCTTACTTGGTTTGCGCGTTGAATGATGACGCCCTTTAGTGAGTGAAGGGCGAGTCCGCTGTACTCCCTCCTCGAGAGGCACAACGGGCTCCTGCGTACGGATGATGGACGCTGAGACATTGTCAGTGAGGTCTGCTGCAGTTCGGAGCATGTTCATAAGGGACTTACGAGTTAAGGAGATTGGAAAACGTCTTGACGGTTCCAGGTGACCGCAGCCCGAGAGCGCGATCGATTTCTAGAAGATTTTTGAAGTTATGATAGCAATGCTGTCTTCACGAGCTGTGTCAGTGCCGATTACTGAAGAAACAATGTTATGAATGGACCACGACACGAGGAAAGAAGCTCGGGATAAAGCATATTTATTACTATCAATCTTGCATGCAAGCTTCAGGCGGTGAGAAGGCAGAGCTATCCGAAGATCCCGCTATCAAACGCTAACCAAGACCGCCAGCGAAGCACGCGATGTTTAACCAGCCAATTTCCCAAGCAGCCAGCGCATACTGCGCCATTGGGTCGAACAGCCCATTGTTGTTGCAACTTGCATAACACTGCAGCTGCAAGCAAGCGAGATGCGTGTTGACTTGAGGAGAGGAGACATGTGTGACATCAATGGCGGGAACGCGGCAGGTGAAATGCTTGGCTCTCAGCACACGCATTATGCCGCGCAATGCCGTCTTCAATCACTGAACACGACAAATGTCATCGGGGTGTTTTCGGGCCCGTCAGAACTCACTCCACACATGAGCCCGGCGACCGGCCGGGTTACATATATATTCGTTTTCTATATTTATTGTTCAGAGCAGAGGACTCGTCCTCGCTTGCTTTGACAGGAATTCTGCGTCTCAGGCCTGGGCGGGCCAAACCCTGCCCACTCGCTGCTTCTAAAGCCGAGAACCCTCCTCATGCGGAATTCGACATCTCATGCTCAGCCAAAAGCAGCTGTAGCGTTGCGGACCCTGAAATATGACTGATGATCTCGGGGCTTTTTAAAGTGCATCGAAGGCCAAGGGTCAATCTCACGACCTTTTCGCCCAGCCTGCCTGTGTCACGCTCGCTCAAAAATCTCGCTTGATAGCTATCCCTACTAGTATGGTTCCTTCGTTGTTGCCAAGTATGATACCGGGCGTTCTAGGGTCCTTTGCTAGCAGCGTGAGCTTGGAGAGCGGTGCACTCGCACGCCCGCAGGCCCGTCTGCTGGCACACGATGATGTGTCACAAAGGTTCGCATAATGCGACCAGATGGTCAATTTCACTACCCGGTGGGATGGCCTGGGCCCCCTCCGCACAATGTCCTCGAGAGGAAGCCAGCCGCGAAACGTGAGCGTGAGCTGTGTGGCCGACCATGAGCGTCACTTGACACCAGTGGCGGCTAGCGAGCTGTCTCGTAAGTCAGGTCAGACTCCGTTGTCACTGACTAACCATGAAATAGCCCCTGCGACGACCCGCAATTTGACATACTATTGAAAGAATGTGTATATGATCTGCCGTCATTCAAGATAGACCACAGCACACCCGGTTAGAAGATTCATACCCGGAAGATCTGGAGTGGTGGCTGAACCTGAAGCCCCGGCTAGAGGAAAGACCCGGGAGAATTGGTGGCGACCATCGTTAATGCAACATGGCTAGTTGCTGGATCGCCAGTGTTCATTTACCCACAACAAAACCGTGGGTGCCGCCGCAACCGTGTTTCATGATAGCGCCGCATGCCCCGGCGAAGATGAGACCGAACTCATCGGAGCTTCTTCGATACGGTCGCTCTGGACCCGTCACTTGACGGCCGTCCTTGGGTGAGATAGGCTCCCATTACTGCCGATACCCTTGCTCTCTGTAGCCCATTGGCTTGAGATTGAAGTAGACCCTTTTTCAGGGCCGGGCGACCTTGCCCATGCCCTCTTTCCACGCCTAGCACTAGCCGGGCGCCGGTCGATGAATGACATTTATCCAAAGCTTCTGGAAGCGGGTAGTCCGTGGCCGCATGGTGAGCCGAGAGAGCCGCTGCGGTGGCTCCGAAAGAGCCGATGCCACATGTACTCTTTCTAATTTGACACTTTATAGTCCATGAGGTCGAGACCACATTCCGGACAGAGACGGTCGAGGTCTGTGTGCTGTCCTCGAGGCTGGCTGCCAAGGTAAGCCTTAGATCCCCCAGCTTTGCCTCCCCAGAAGGAGGAGGCACACATCGGCGCAGGCGCCACCGGTTGGCTCGACAATGCAAATGAGATGCTGGGGAAGGGCGATCACTTTGACAAATGGGGTCTCTTGGGGTGGTGTGCTGATAACGAATTTGGTGGTAGAGCGATGGAGAGGGGGATTGATTTGACGGGCTGAGCTTGGATCGGCGCCGGGGGTGGACATGATGGCCTTCCCAAAGTGGCACGCAGAGAAATTGCATTAGCTGTGGGATGGGGGAAAGGGGATTAGGGGTCCTCTAATGGCGCCACATTGGCCGTGCTGGACCGTGTTGATTTCTTGGTTCATGACCACGTCGGGATTTAGGCAGTCGGGGGCAAGGTGGTGAATTGGATTGTGGTTCGCTCGGAATTCGCACGGCTGATTTGGTGTTGTGCCCGCCGTGTTCTGCTTCACCCCATCCACCTGACGACGGAGACGTTTCGAGAAGTGCGGGTGGAAATGATGAATGGACGGAGCCTCGAAATTAAAGCCCCAAGCCCGCTGCAACCACACCACTCAAAGCTGCTCCGATGTCAAGATCGACTACGACCTGAGTGCCGATGAATATGTCTCCCTCGGCCATCTGACTCGAGCGGCTGTCTGTCCCTTGCTGGGCCTGGCGGATCTCTTGGTCGGCCTTGGAAGGGATGTGGGATACACGTGTAATGAGGTGAGGTAAGGTGAGCATGAATGATGTAGCAAAGACAAAGGCAACTCGAGGTTTAGACTTTTTATCGATTGGCGGAGTTCGGATCTGAGTGTGGAAGGTTCCCCGTGCAGCAACCGTATCTAGGCGTTCGTGAGCTGGAGCCTCGAGCTTGAGGGTCCCATCGGTTGCGTACGTGCTGCAAGGTACCCGTGGGCTGCCGTGGGCGAGGGCTGGAGCCTCAAGTCGTTCGGGCCGCGAATTGCCATGGTGTGCCCTGGTTCGACGGGCGATGCAGCCCGGCGGCAGTGGAGTCAATTCTTCCAAGGCTGCCCGGTGCCCGAAAAAAGAAAGACCCTTACGTGTCTGTATATTTGACACGGCTGCGTGGCTATAATTGTAAACTCGGCCCACGGCTCAAAGCGGTGCATAAACAACAACACGTCGTCTGAATGCGCATGGTACGCAGCCTGTTTGGTGTTGGACAACGGGACGGTGTATGAATAGATACTGCACAGGGCTGGGCGCCAGACCGTTGACCGTAACGAGTCAAAAGAGGGAGGAGGGCTGGGAAGGGAGCCCAGGGCTGAAGTGAGGCGAGTTGGAGGTGAGGAAGGTTGGTTTGGTGAGATGAGATGGGATGAGATCAGCACACGGGTTGCTGGTTATCTACGTCGTCCTCGACAATCAAATGCCCATCGTGCTCTGCCAGCGATTAAAGAGCGCGGCACCCTCGCCAATTGTGAAGTTGCGCGATTAGTTTTGCACTACTGTTATAATTGCTGTGGTCCCCGTGGGAGCATCACCGTTTTCTCGATCCGATCGACGACGTGAATTTCCGCAATTGAAACGCGCCCAGATGCCAGCGCTGCTCAGGTGAGCCTGCCACTTTTCGCACATCACCCACTTGGGGTCTAGCCGACCTCTGCAAACCTTGGAAACCAGGGATTGCCAACCGATTTGCACAATCCAGGGACCACTTTATCCATCCTTAGACCATGAGGTGCTAGATAGTACTGCGTACAGTCGATACCACAATATCTGAGATATCCACCACACCACCCAGACTGACAGATTACGGCTACTGCTAGCATTGCTAGGTAGGTAGTCTGTTCTGCTCTGTTCTGTACTGTGCATCTACTGCACTGTAGCGCACCTCATTACCCTCATTATCCTTGCTGGCTCGCACCTGCGCATTTCACTTGAACTGGACCCGCTTGCCCACCATACCGCTCATCCCCCAGATGGACTAGCGGCCACCTGGGGCGTGCTCTCCCTCGAATTCAAATCCAATCCCATCGTCCAATTCAAGGCAAGGCCAATCCAATTCCGTTCGACGCAATCCAGCTGTCTTCGTGTCCTGATTAAGCAGAGTGCAGAGTGCAGACTGCATGCTGCAGACCGCGAAAACACTCTCCTCTTCGCCTTCTCGCGTCTTTTCTATCTACACGGCTCTCCCTCACCAGCTACCAGGGTGGTCTGCCACTCCACTCCTACACAGTACATACGAACCGACCGACCACCCCCTTGTCCATTGGGAATGGAATTGGTGCTCTTGGACACACACACATACACACACCCACACATGCACCATCGTCGAGTCCGTCACCTCACTTGTCACTGACTGACATCTGCGACCAGTCTGAGGGGCACTAGTTAGCGTCACTAGGGCCACATGTCACAATTTGTGCCTACCTAGGTACATGCACGGCGACCCAAGCCTAAAAGACCAGCAGCACCAAGAAGAGAGTGCATCGCGCCAGCGAACGAGAGGACACAGACTCAAACGGTCGCCAGGCAGGGATCTAGATCCCAGGATCCAGGTCCAACGATCTCCGAGTTGCTGCTACCTTGGTCAGGGGTAGCGTCGGCTACCACCAATCCGAGAGCTGCTTCACGCCCACCTCGGCCGCTTTTGCTCACAAGGGCAGCCCGTCTCGACGACCGCCCACACTCCACCCTGCCTGGCACACACCAGCACCAGGAACCTCCATCCACAACTCGAGACACTCTCTGCAACACCGCAGGCACAAACAAATTCAGACCTTTCCCACCCTTCGCTTTGTCCCTCGCAGCCAATTGGTCTTCTGTCGTCATCTGGTCTTCTGTTTCTTTGTTTTCGAAACGTGCGCTGCCCTTGGACTCGACCGCCAACCCGGAATCAATACTCTTTGTCCCACCAGAACCCTTCCACACAACGTCGTCCAATCCCGGCTACCAACCCACTGGCCGGTTTCACCACTCGTGACCACCGTCCCATTGTATGGACTCTTACCGATTGTTCACCACGTTTCGCATTGCACCGCGGCCTTCCTAGGCATCAGTATCCGATCTGAGATCCCAACTGACAGAGATCCCAAACTTTCCCCCTCACATCGCCAAACTCTGGCACTCACGTCACTTCCCGCCAAACCGGCTCTGCAGGAATCCTCACTCTCCCACCAGGACCACACCAGACGCGCTCAAGTACCACTTACCAAATCTCACTCAAAGACGATTGCGCTTCGTTCGCATTGTGAATTATCGTAGCGACAGTGCCGGGCTAGGCATTTCCCCGTGCCTTGCAGCGCTGTCGTCCAACACTTACAGCACAAGATGGCGGGGGCACCAAGAGAGTCGAGCTTCATGCCGACAATAAAATGTTCATCATGTGGGCTACAAGTCGAGTTGTCCATGATGGGCGACCACATCTGTGGTGGTGGTGCAGGCGGTGGCGCCAGCGGTGGTGCCAACTCTATAGATGCGTTCACACCTTTGTATAAAGGCATACATGACAAAATCAGTGTACCACCAGTGGACACTGCCATGGCCAGTCCGTCGAGCGCCTCACTCTACCCTTCCCCTCTTCAGTCTACTGACATTCATTCCACAGATCGCAGTTATTCGCGACAGCCATTGACACCACTCAGTTTCTCCAGTGGCTCAAGAAGCGTGTCACCCAGAACACCAGGTGCTCGTCCAAGTATCGGCAGGGCCGACGACTACTTTGCACCAAGTATCGCCAGCGACGACCAGAATCCTTCTCAGACGAGGAGATCTGGAGGCTATGGTGGCTTTGGTGATACGGAATTGTACCCTGCGTATGCGCCAGCAAGCCCGCAGAAAAAGGCACCAAGCCTGCTCAATCGCATGGACGATATCGCCCCGGGCCCCTTCGGAAGCGGACAATCGGCATCGCCGCCTAGAAACAGATTCGGAGGCTCCCCACCGCGGCGACCGTATGATGAGGTTGAGCGACCTGGTACTTCGGCGTCATCTGGTAGCAATGGAGCTGGGAGCATGGGTCCGCCTAGAGTTCCGAGGAAGAATGGTTACGGTGGTTTTGGTCCTCCGCAAAGAGATGACCAGGACACAGATTCGTTTGGTGGCCCTAACCGTTCCAAGACGTTCCCCAGGCCGAGCGAGGAACTCGAACCGCCACTGCGTACACCCTCTGCTCCTGGTCCGCGGCCAGACCGGTATGACAAGTACCGGAACCCTTCAACGGATATGAGTGTTCGCATGGGTCCGGTCACAACCCGTGCACCTCCACCGCGGACGAGCCTCGTGCGCCCCCCAACGTCTGGAGGGAACGCTCCAAGCATCAACCTCGCGGAAGAGTTCGGAGACATGAATCCGTATCATTCACCCTCAGTGTCCGTGTCATCATCGCTCTCACAGGGCTCCAGTCAACCCAGCTATCCAAGCTCGAGCACGAGTCCTGCTCGCTCTACGGCATCGGCGCGCAAGCCTTCCAACACTTCTGGGTTCGATAACCTGATGAGTGACATACAGGCGTCCATGGATGAGCTGAGCCCGAGGGAGATGAATCAGTCAGGAAGCCCTGAGCGGAGGCAGGCGCCGATGAACGACGAGCGATATGATCCTGCCATACAAGGAGGGCGGACCCCGTCGCCACCTTCCTCTAGGTATGACCAAGGTGGGCGATCCGATCCAGCGATTCAAGGAGGACTGCGATCAGGATCCTCACCTCTGCCACCCGCTCAGCCTCGAGCACCTCAGCATCGACGCGAACCGACTCTTCGGGGCTCACGAGGAAACTGCAAGGGATGTGGTGATGCCATTGTGGGCAAGTCTATTTCCAGCGCTGACGGACGACTATCTGGCCGTTACCATAAAGCGTGCTTCGTATGCACAGAATGCCGGGAGCCTTTCCAGACGGCGGAATTCTACGTGCATGAGGATCAGCCGTACTGCAAACGCCACTATCACCAGGTCAATGGCAGTGTTTGCGGATCATGCCGGGATGGCATTGAAGGACAGTACCTCGAAGATGAAAGCACCAAGAAGTACCACGTACAATGTTTCCGGTGCGGAGACTGCAACGTCGTTCTCCGAGATGGTTATTTTGACGTTGATGGCAGAGCATATTGCGAGAAAGACGCGTTCAGGCGGCTGCAGCCCCAGACATACAGAAGAAGCCCCTCGATGAGCTCGCAACGGAGCTATGGTAGCTCGAACCTTGCGCCCCCAGGCAGACCAGGAATGCGTGGACCTCCACCAAGCGGACCTTACCGACCTGGCATGCCGATGGGCAACGGTAGACTTGGACCACCCATGGGAGGTGGTCCAGGGAGAGGATTAGCACCGTCAGCGCCCATGCCCAGAATGGAGAAGAGGAGGACAAGGCTAGGAATGATGTGAGCGCCCTCGAGGCTGCACATCGCTAGCCACTTCATGTGACCCGCGCCGCCGTGGTTTCGACATTTACAAGACGCCTCGTTTGACACGGAGCCCTTTCTAATCCTGCATGCGGACAATATTGTCCTCTGTCTTCGGCTTTTGAATCTTGATTTCAACCTGATATTTCAGCAGCAGCTGGTGAAACAGCCGCCCTATACCCTGACTATTGCAATTGCATTCTTTTATATACCCCATTCGCTGGCGGCTCTATTGCGACGACTCTTTGCTTCGACATTGCCACCTGCAGTCAAATTGCGATCTTTTTTTCCACTAGTGGCATCGACACCTATTTCGATCTTTTAGGGCCTCTTTAGTGCACCTCAGCATCTTCACGGCGTTCAGGCTTTGGGTTTTCATTTAGGAAATGATTCATGTGTAGGATGGCTTCACATGGATACGAGGCTCAGACGCGGCCAGCCCTGTTTACTATTATTATTTGGGCGTGGTCTAATACTACCGAGGCATTCTGGACACTTAGAGGTGTCCATCATACACGAGCCAAGGGATCAAGTTGGGCAGGGTGTGAGAGGACGGGAGTGGAAGGGAGGGATGGGCCATTCCTGGAACTAGGCATGACGAGAGATTACGTAGGAGAGATGGCGGCCTGAGTATGGTCGAGGTCATTTGACCGTTTTCAGTATATATATACATACGTATATTCATCTAACCCAAGCCTTGAGCTGGGCAGATGAAAGGTTCCTCAGCCGACGCACAGTGGCTGTTAGGAATTGAATATTAAAAAAATCACCCTACCAGTCTTTTCATAGTCACCCACATGTTACGTGTCAGAACGCGCACTTGAGATTCTCGGATTTTGGCTCATTGGTGTGAGGCGCGCTGCCTGTTGCTGTTGTTTGTACAGTACGTAACGGCCGGTCGTTTTGCTGGCGACGCGCAACGGCTGCGTCACGGATGATACCACGGCCGGTGCTGGCAGTGCCACCCCCGTGCCAATTGTAACGGCCGGCCCCTCTCAATATGATTATGACTGATGTAATTCTTGATTTTTGTCATATTTGATAACTAGCCAAGGCCCATGTAAAAATCTATCACCGTTGCGTTCTGCCGCGTGTAGATGAAGGATTCCGGAGCAGGACCGGGGCGGACGATGAGGTGGCCCCACCGGAATTGAGACTCTCAAGCTTCCTGACGTCCCGTCTCTTCCCCCGCTTCTTCGGTCGCAAAGTGACGAAAGATGAAAAGCAGGAAAAAAAGATGACAGAATGTCATTCGGCCCGCCAAAGAGGGAGAAAAGGACAGACAGGTAGGTGCGGCGCTGGGACGTTGAGATGATTACCCACTGTGAGGTAGCTCTACTGCCGTGTGACCACACCACCCAGGGAAAGGGAAAAAAAGGGAACCGCCTGCGAGTCTGCGAGTGAGCGGATAGGCCACTGAGGTTCATTTGCGCGCGGTGATCTCTGTCGATCACAGCGATCGGTGTTTTTCTTGGCCCCACGGGGGGCGGCTTTGGGGAAAAGGGTCAGTCTGTTAGCTTGAGAGGCATGTGGGAACTGCCTGACAACGAGCAGCGAGAAACCAGAAGAACTTCGTGTGAAGCTTGCGGCGGCAATTGAATTTAATTGCAATTTGCTAATCTTTTGTTTTTTTGGTCCTAATTTCCATCATGGTCGTGTGCACTACTACACCACTCTATTCCATACTCCGTGCCTTTCTCTCCGTAGGGCTGAAGCATTGAGGTGATTTTAGCAGAAGCCTGGAAGGAACCCGGCCCGGGTGTGGCTGGTCCGGAGCGTCATGCAAGGAACCCCCCAGACGGCGGGCAAGCTGCTCGGGTGAGTGGGCGTTTCAGGTCCGTCAGGGACACTTTGGGGGCGAGGCGTGAGGAGAGGAGAGGAGAAGAGAGGGCCTAAATCGGGCCACAGTTGGGTGGATTTTGGATACACCGAATGTGGCAAGCCTTTTGGTCGCGGCCGAGAGAGAGACCTTGAGATTGGGCGACCCGGCCGAGGTCTGCGGCGGATGACGGCGCGGCAAGTTCCATGCTGGCCTCACAACGGTTCGGATTGTGCTATCTGCTGTCTATCTGCTAAATGCCATCTGCTGGCTCCTGGCGCTGGCGCTGGCGCTGGTGCTGGTCTACTGTCATAAACGTGGTCTGGGACCAACTAACGGACGTGTGGTAAGACAGAGAGTTCGGCTCTAGCCATGCGTGGAGGTCTGGAAGCATTGTGCTACTATCACCGACGGCTTGCATAGATTTGGATGTCTTAGGCAGAGACCCGACCAGTGGATTACTGGAGCTGCCTGTGCTCAGGTGAACTGTCACAGAGGCTGAGGGGATGGAAAAGACCAAAATCGGAACAGAGACCACCCACCGCACTAGCAGACTAGCAGCGCGACCCCAGATACCGTCAAGCTTTTTTTCCTTCTCTCGTCGTACCATCGTATTCCTCATCTCAATCTCATCTCGCAGGACGGATGGGATCTCAGGATGGCCTTGCGCAGGGTCACTTTGTGAATGCCGGGAGCGACCAGGGACGCGGGCTGTGAGATAATGACGCGGCACAACGCAAATTGGCATCAATTACGGGCGCAGTGTCGTGTGCATCTGTCTGTACATCGAGGCGCAACCGACTGAACACAGTCAGTCATGTGCAGGCTAAGGACCCGGTCGAGGTCGAGTGGCAGATGTCAGTGGCAGATGGCAGGGTGAACTATCGTCATCTGTTGTGATCTATCGTCGACGGTGTCATTCAACCATCTTTTTGGCTCCGAACCTTGTGGTCCCGTAGCTCCCGACACACGGATGCGTTAATATTAGAGGCCCCCCTCGATCGGGGAAGGCAGGCTTGCTTGCCAGGAAGAGAGGATTAGACTACAGAAACATGGTTTGGTAGGCACAGCAGGATGCTGTGGATGTGGAGCGCAATTTAGGGGTCCCGGGGGTCTAAATCGAGAAGGGCGCCACGGCCAGGAGGGGAAGCGGCGGCCTTGGCGCCCTCTCTCCTCCCCATGCTTGTTGCCGGCTTGTTTGACTCGTTCCTGGAGCTAGCTGCAGAAGCCTGACGGCAGGATGCGCGCTGCAAGCTGCATGGCTGCACGCCTGCACGAGAAAGACAAGAAAGATTGGCCAGTGGCCAATGGTAGGAGTTGGTAGGAGATGGGTCCCTCGGGGCTCCCCCTGAAAATCCACCACTACTGGCCCGAGATTGGCCTGCGATCGGATTAGACTCTGTTTGATGTTTGTGACTTTGGGCCTATACACCCACACATCCAAGTCATTACCATCCCACACCATGCCACTACACACCACACACCACCGCACTGCACGCCACCCAGGCCACACACACACACGTACAACCGCACACACATACTATGGAGGTAGCTTCCCCTTCTCAAACTTTCGCCGCCTACTGCAGCACCACCAGTCTTAGACGTAGTGTAGATTATCCGGGGGCACTCCTCTCCTTACTCTTGTTTTGTTCAGTGTCCTCTTCTTCAGTCTGGACTCCCCAAAACGGCCCTCCTTCCTCTTTTGCGGCCTTTCCTGTTTCTGTTTCAATTCGACCTCTGCTCTTTCCCTTCCCTTGCCTACCTCTACCCACCCGCTCCTGCCCTGTTTGTCACAGGCGCCCGAAACGACAGGACTGCACATCACCGTTTTGGCAGCCACCGGCACCACCTGCACAACCTGTGTTCTGTAGCTCGTTCCCTGTCAGGTCGGCTCATCAAACCATCTGAGCGAAGATCGTCCTCTTCCCGATTCATTACTTCCAAGCTTTTTCGACTGCTCGACCACTCCACAGCCGGCTTTTGTGGGTTCGGTCCGCGTCAATCTCTCCCTCTGCAACACTTGGGCCCCCGTCCTAGCGGCCAAGTCCACATTAGGCCTCCTCCTGCGAGCACTTGACGTCTCGCCGCCATCGTCATATCTGTCTTTGTTCTCCCCTTTCTTGTAGCATTTGTCTTGTCTTGCATTGTGTCCAACAGTGTACACGACCACACAGTCAACCCCATGACTACAACTTCTGTGCGATACCACCACTAGGACTGTCCTTCAAACGAGTCGTCACATTCATTTGACCTACCGACCCAATCCATTCGCGCCCCGACACTTATTAGACTGCCTTTCATCCCCGACGTCACCCACTACCGTACTGTGTGGGCCCGCAGGAAGAGCCACAAGGGCCAGATTACGACAGCCTTTCCGCACTCCACTACCGGCTCCTAGGCTTCTCCAGCGTCACTGTGCGCTCCAGTTCGCACTCTATCTCCCCCCTCGCTGCAAGGCATGCTCCATGAGCGTGGCCCCCGCTGAACCACGACCCGAGAGTCGGTAGTCCATCTTCAGACGACCATGCTCGACGAGAAGAGACCTGCGATCCGCTTCGACCCCCCTGACGCAAAAGCCCGTTTACGCGCCAGCTCAGTCACCATGCTGAGGCAGTCACGACGCCTCCTCTGGAGGTCGAGAGGCCTAGTCTATACCGCACTTGCCAGCGTCTTTGTGTGTTCGTTCCTGTTGAGTGCTTCCGGCGGCGGCTATGGCGTTGTTCCCTGGACCGTTGACATGAGCGGCACGGCGATGGGTTACGGAAGTGGACGCAAGTCTTCGAAAGGAAAACCAACGTCAGAGGATTATGACGACAAGGCCAATCAATGGCTGTTCTCCAAGGAGTACAATGAGACGGGGTTGTATGTCTCAAACCTTGCCTTCCACGTTGCTGAGCATTCCAGAGGCTAACATGCTCCCACAGACTACCCGACGCTGGCGTGATATACGGGAACACCCTGTCCACACTCACCGACAAAGACAAAGTTAGCCCCAACACGGAAGCAAATCTGACTTTATCAGACATTTCGACGGCCTTCACCAAAGACTCTCCTTACTACTTCAACCCATACCCGAAATATGACAGTGACGAATGGAAGAAAGAGCACCGTAGCGATTTTGTACCTTGCGATGGGCCTCTTGGCGAGATCAAGGACATCCAGGTGTTCAAGGGACACCCCCAGAATTGGCCTGCCCCAAGCTTCGGAAGCTTCGATTTGTTCGACATTGACCCGAATTTATGTTACGAAAGGGACACGAGGCTAGGCCAGTACGGAATGCAGATGCAGTTCGACAGGCCAGCTCATATACTGGATTGGACCAAAGTAAAATGGGGAAAGCTGCAGAAGGAGTGCGCAGAGAAAAATAAGGCCCGGTTTGAGAAAGACATTCCCGAAGAGTCTATCAAGGCGGACGACAAGGAATCAAAGAAGGGAACCCCTTCGATAGGCGAGAGCTCTGAAGAGCTCAAGAGGCAGAGACAGGCACAGCGCATTAAGCGACGAGGTTCCACGAAAACAGAAGCAACCAGCCAAGCCAACTCCACCACCGCAGTTATTCGGCCGGAGAATCCTCCCGAGTCCAGGACGGCCGTTTTGCTACGTTCCTACACGGGCAAACGCTATACCGACAACGAGAAGCACATGATGCGATCACTCATCAGTGAGCTGTCGTTGCGGACTGGTGGGCAGTATCAAGTCTATCTCCTCGTGCAGGTCAAGGACTCTCTCGAGGATCTTGCACTATGGGACAAGGAGACATACAAGTATATCATGCAGACTCAGGTTCCCAAGGAGTTCCACGATATTGCCATACTGTGGGGCAGCTACGAGGTGCAGGATATCTACCCCTTGCTCGACCCTCTAGATGCCGCGACAGTCCACAACGCGCAATGGCTGTCGGTGCAGAAGTTCTCGCAGGAGCACCCAGAATTCGACTACGTCTGGAACTGGGAGATGGATTCCCGATTGATTGGCCATCATTACGATGTTCTCACCAAAATAGCCGGATTCGCCAAGAAGCAACCAAGGAAGGGGCTCTGGGAGCGAAATGAGCGCTTCTATGTTCCTGCGTACCACGGCGACTTCGACACAAAGTATCGCAAGTTTGTTGAGAAGGCCTCCGGAAAAGACACGGTCTGGGGTGCGCCTGAGCTACCATTCATCAACCCTGTCGGACCCAAGCCGCCTGTGGCATCGCCATCGCAGGACAAATACGAGTGGGGAGTTGGCGAGGATGCTGATCTCATAACGCTTTCACCAATGTTCAATGTCGATGAGAGCAATTGGATCCTCCGCAACCAGGTCTGGCAGTACAACGACACTACGCACAACTCGACCGAGCTGCCCCGGCGGGCGACCATTGTGACGCAGTCGAGGCTCTCGAAACGTCTCATCGAAGCCATGTCAGCTGAGAATGTCAAGGGAAACCATGTTGGCTCTGAGATGGCCGCTAACACAGTAGCACTCCTTCATGGCCTCAAGGCTGTTTACGCGCCCATGCCGGTCTTCATGGACCGGCCTTGGAGCACGGAGCAGTTGCAAAAGTGGTTCAACCCCGGACCGGGAGGTACCAGTGGTGGACCGGGGAGCGCCATGGGCTGGGGCCGCGAGCACCGCTTCCAGGGCACCACTTGGTACTACCGAGCGCAACCGCCGCAGCGACTGTATAACAACTGGATGGGATACGAGGACACGGGAGTCGGTGGCAGGGCGTGGGAGAATCGCCATGGCCGTCCCTGTCTACCAGCGATGTTCTTGCATCCTATCAAAGATGTTATGCCAACTTGGTCGGGATATGCCAGTCAATCGGAGTTGCCGTACAACTGGTGGGAAGTTTTCAAGGACAAGGAGGAGAAGGAGAAAAAGAACTGAGTGTGTCAACGGGGCGAGGGGAAAAAATACTGTCTACCGCGGCCAACTCACCGGCTCCGCTAGAGAAGTGGCAGCAACAAAGCAACCCGCCTCCGAGAGGTTGGGCTTTTATACCCGGCACAAAATTTGCCAAGTACATATCACATCTGGGGCATTTAACATGCATGCGCTCACAAGGACAAAGCTTGCTGATGTGGACATCTATATTGGACTTTTGCTTTGTATCATACACACTACGACAATTTTGGTCGATTTCCTTTAGCGAGGCGTTTTTGGTCAGGGAAATTAGAACACATTTTGCTCACGGAATTGCCCCTCGTGACTTTGACTGGCGGCCTGCTGGGAGCTCGAGAGATTAAGCGACATTAACCAACAGCTTGTCTGTTTGCATTCGCAAGTCAAGCTTTTACTCTGATAAGCAAATGAACACTGACGTGAGGTTGGCGTTGTCAAGTAGCCTTGATCTACATTTTTGCTTTACTTTTTTTTATTATTTTTTGGCTACGAATGTATCTGCTAAGGTGTGCAGTTCCCTCCTCGACCTCTGACTTATGGTCTTCTCGGCATGTAGCCGTGTATTATGTGGTGTACGAAGGGCCTGCGAATTGTGGTGTCGGTGATATTACAGTAGGTGATGCTGGACTCTGCGGTGCTGGTCGCGCGTATTTGCATGGCCTCAAATCAATGACCTGTTGTGGCGTCTGTCATGATCGAAGTCCTATTCTGAGGCTTCCTGGAACAAAAACCGGCCCCATACCGGCACTTGAGCCAGCTGTTCAGGAAAGTTGCGTTGTTTCTCGCTTCTCGTTGCTCAAACTTCTTTCCTTGCCTCCCGTCTCCCTGTACTTTCTCGCGTGCGCGATGGCTGTCGATGACCGTGACTGGTCTCCCAGCTCGATTCCTGCGCCTGCTCAAGGCATTTCGGAGTCTCACAGGCGTGGTTTTGCTTTTCCTGTCACAGTCGCCCCTTCGTGTTCCTGGGCTGAGCATGATTGGCACGGATATACCTATGCAGGTGCTTGGGATATCCACGCCTGCAAGTCATGACGCTCCTTCAAGATGGCCGGGTCGCCAGGACGGAGCAGTAAAGCCTCATCAATTTCGTGCATGGCTCGCTGGGCAAAATTGCGATCGCCTTGCAGCCTGAAGACGCGTGCCATCCTGAAATGCAGTTTTGCGCGGAGCTCGTCCGACGGCCGCCAGGTAAATCCTTCCTTCCAGTACCCTGTCTCCAAGGAGCGAGTCGTTGCAGTCAAGAAAATGTTTGCTATAGCGGAGGCTTCAGTGGGCAGCGTGATAAAGATGGACATGCATTGATGGGCGAGGTTGAGGTGGAGGCGGAAGTACAGATCCGCTAATTGATCGATAAATTGTTGGCCTCCCTCGTGTACGAGTCTAGACCATTGATTGCCTTTGCGCAGCGTGTCTATGTCAGCGATAGCCTTCGTCCATGCCTTGCCGCTAAGAACAAAATCGTGCTTCTTAAAATACTGCGTACCAGCCTCCTTTCTAGCAGCCTGGCGATCCAGAACCTCCTGGGGACTGCTGTACTTGATCGAGGCGATTTTCTCCGAGGTCGACCTGGCAATGTTGTCCGAGACGCGACCAGACACCTGGACACTGTGAACTTCGCGTAAAGTTTCACCGAAAGGCTGCAGTAGTTCTTGTTGAGTCTTTTCGCTGAAATGCTGGGCCAACAAGTCGAAATCTTTGTATTCCGTACGCTGATGACTGGAGAGGACAACAGGGCCAACGATCAGTATCATAACCAATACCTTGCTGAATTCGGTATTGAACATCTCGCAGCCGCCGTCCTCAAGGCCTTCGCAAAGCTTGTCTAGATCCCTAGCCAGCATCATGGCTTCGAACGGATCGCACCCACCCGGCGGCGGCAAGAGTTGCCCTTGCGAGGAGGATGTAATGCGGACGTCGAGGACATAGCCGTTGAAGCGCCCGGCGCGCTTCGCGTCTCCGGTCACGATGGGGGTTGACGTGGTTGCCAGCAGCAGGCGCATAGGCGTACCCACAGACCTGACGTGGACGAAGTGGTTCATCTTGACCATTAGATCATAGGCTTCACGGTGGCCGTCTTTGCTGGTCCGCAGGATTGCGGTCTCGATCGAGTGCGTGGAGCGAAGAGGCTGTTCCAGAACGTCATCAAGCGCGACTTTTGCGAAACTGACTGCCGGTGGGCATGGATCAAAGTCGGCGAGGAGGAAGGCGTAGACCTTGTTGCAGATCTCGATTGGCAGGAGACCCAGGCTGCCTACGTTGCCTGGCCTGAGCCGAGCAAGGCGAGTCATCTCGGTCATCTTGACGAAAAAGTCTGCGATAGTTCTGGGCTTCGAGATGGTTGAAGTTGAGTCGTGACCTGTTTGGCAACTTTGCGACGGGCGGCGAGTTCGTGTTGGGGCGGATTTCGCTCAAGGTGGTTGAGGTCCGTCAAGTTCACAGGAGCCTCGAAAAGTCAGCGACAATTCAAAAAGGAAAAGCTTTCGTCATACTTTCTGGCGTGAGTTTGTCAAAAAGTTCTCTCGAGGGGTGCGTCTTTTTGGAAAGTGTTGTCGTCGCAGACTTTAGCAGGGAGTTGTCGGCTGGCGTTTGCACGGTCCGTTTGTCTTTGCAACACGTACGCAGCAAAAGTCTAGGTTCACAGAGAAGGATACCGACTGCGTGCTCACTTGACGCAAGCTGTGTTTTTGGTCACCCAATTCGTCAACAGAAGAGGGTAGCCAGATGTCAAGCCGGAGCAGCGCGAGAGCCAGGTGGAGCCAAGTACCTGCGCGTAGTCACTCCCCTAATACGAGCTCAAAATCGCAATGGTCTCAATGTCTCAGTAGTAAACTTGGGATCAATACGAGCAGCTGTAACAGGAAGGGTCGTTGATCCGTCAGTGCCTGCTAGCCCACCCGCGGAGGCAGACAACCGTGAATTTCACTATGTGTTGGCTGGGGCCATCAAGAGAAGGGCCTTGTTAAGGAGTCGGTGATACCGAAGATACCAAGGGTGAAACAAACATGGGCAACTTTGCACGTCTGAAAAAGAGTTCAAAACAGTAACCAGGCGGCTCATACCTTGAAAAGCAGTTGTCTTTGCTACATTATGCTATTAACAGTCAGATATTTTGTGAGCAAGCTTTCTGCAGAGGGTATAGCCGTAGTTTGCAACCACTAGAATACTTCTATGAATCATACATTTCTGGTCTAATCATTTGTTTTCTTGTGAGAGGGGACTGAAGAAGCATGCAACCTATCCAGCAGTTTTACGTGTAGGATAGCTTGCCCTGGTCCAATAGCACGAAGCCCCTCTTCGTCATCTCATCTATGTCCTCCTCGGGTAATCCCAGAGCCTCATTCGCAAGGCCGTGACGAGAGTGGTCCCCTTCACCTGTAGGGTAGAAGATCCTCGCATACATCTGCCGTGCGAAGCCATCTCTGTCGCCTCTCTTCATGGCCTCCTGACCCTCCTTGAATCTCTCCTCGGAACCAACGTACCCTATCTTCCAGTCCTTGTCGGTAGTGCCGGTCGCCTTCTTCACACTCTCGAACATGTCCTTCTGGCTGACTCTGAAGCTGGAGATATATAGCGCCTTATTTGCCCAGTTGCTGATGGCAGGCTCCTTGTCATTTTCGTCTTCTGGGTACAACTTGAGACTCAAAAAGGCTGCAAGGCCACGTCCGCACTGGTCCCATGTGGTTGTGGTGATCTTCTCCTCGCCGTCGTCATAGAAGGTCATCTCTCGCTTGTTTACGTCGCACCCGTAGCAGTTTGCGCTGCCGAGTATGGACCATTCGTACCAGAAACCACAAGCGAATGCCACCCAGCTGCTAACACCGAGCTGCTTGATTTCCTTCCTGGCCTGGACAAAGGGGAGGCCGATCAGGTTCTCCGTCATCATCTTCTCGTTGACGGGGTCCGGGCCATATGCGTTTGGCATCACATAAGGCACTCCTGCCTCTGCCGCGGCGCGGATGAGCTTTGACTCGGTGCCCTTCGCAACCATAGCCGGAAGGGTTATAATCAGGAACTGCTGGCCCTTCATGGCGTTGACAAGGGTGGACTCGTCATCGTAGTTGATAGCCACCGAGTGGACGCCTTCTGGGAGCTTGCTCTTGCTGCCCTCGCGGGTGAGAGCTGTGATCGTGTGCTTGCCAGCTCTGAGAAGCTCTTCAGTGAAGTAGCTGCCTATGGTTCCAGAAGCCTAGGTAGTAAACTCTTAGCTGATGCGCCTTTGGTCTGCAGGAGAGGCAATTCGCTTACCCCGACGATGGCAACTTTCTCGATGCGGTTGACGAAACCGGTCGGCTGGTCTTTAGCATACTTCGGTGACATCTTGATCGAGTGAAATTTCAAGCAGGCTCAATCGGATATTCCAATAATGTGAATTTGAGCTTGAGAACTGTTTGTATATGTTATGATGATCAATGACTATGAATGGATGAAAGACGAGCTACTGAGGATAACGGAAGTGAATATTATGTCGACTTTATATTTCAAGGAGCCATTTCCATCGGGCGCACGATGTGTCTACTCTTGGACCATTTCTTTGTGACAGTCATTAGCATCATCGGCTCGCGGAACTTGGTAGGGAGTCGGCTCAAAGTCGAGGCCGAGTGAGGCGTAATCACGTCTGAAGACATCTCCGCGAGCTCCATTTCTCACCCCAGTATCACCGAGGTCTATTGCAAGAAGGTTTCTCGGCGTTACGGCCTACCTAGGTGTGTCCCATGCGATTGCTATGGCTTAGCACCTCGTAGTGGGCGAGAATAGATTTGGAGGGGACTTAGGGCGGCCTTGAACTTTATCGATAGCTATCTCCGCAACCACGGAGAAGACGGAGTTGAGAGCTGCCTCATATGGTAATGATTATCTCCACTAAGCAAAAGATGATCGGCAATAAGACAGGCACTAGGCCGATTCTTCGAAACGTCACTACGGACAAGGTGCATCTAGAATTCCAGCCCTCCGCGGCTCTCGTAAGCAACCGCCTGCAGTGTACCAAGGATCGGGGCCGAGATTCCCGAGCTTGAGGCTGTGACGGCTTGAAAATAGTATGAGCCAACCGGCTTGGTGAAGTGATGCACTTTCAGCTCTTGCAGTAGTGTGAGGAAGAGAGATGCATTTAGGGAGTGCTTGATGAGAGGCCGACAACAGGTTGAAAATGGATGTTCTCGTGAGGCGCAACGGGAAGCCCACATGTGCACGAGACGGAGTTCTAAGCGAAGGGGCAGCTTCTGCCCACCGCATAGTCGGCCATGTCGTACTAATACTTCTTTCCTGTACTCTCGAACTGAATCTTTAGCCGAGTGCCACGGGGACTTGCAGGTCGGCGGCGTGGTCTATTGCCTTGTCACCAAAATTAGGCGCAAGCCATCCGAGTCTACAATCGAGGCAGTGACTCGCCTGATACCAGTCCTTCTTGCCTTGACTGGTCGTCCAACGCGGTAATGAGACGTACCTAGAGAGTTCCTAAGAGCTAATAAAGCCCGACAAGCTATGTCACCCACACGTGCCGTGTCGTGCGTTCGAACTTCCCACTGGTTCCTCGAGTATCTGAAACATTGTTCGGAAGTAAGCTGACAAGTATTGCCGGCGAAGCGAGCAATATGCATCCAAGAGGACGGTAACCGGCTCACAACCAATGCTTCGAGAGAAGCCCAGCATCCAATATTAGCCTTCTTCTGCTCGAGATTTAGGTGCTGACGGTTCGTCGTCCACCCAGACAACGGCGTTCGGGTAGCCGCATCGTCCCAAGGTCAAGCCTCCTCGCAGCGCTGTGAGCGCTTGGAGGACCGTGGTCACTACTCGTAACGTCACACGATTTCCCATCACACCTGAGAGAAGGATTTAGATGAGACCTGCTAGCTTTTCTTTTCTTTCCTGGCTCCCGACTGGGCTTCGGCAGCATGTTTCTGCTTGCCAGGTGTCCGCTGCAGATTTGATCCTCGCTAAAGACGGAAACGAGAGACAGGCATAGAAGAATTGGGACAATGGTGGCTTAGTAACACGTCCAATTCTTCCGACCAATCCAATCCAAGCCAGGAAGTACTGAAAGGAAAGCCGGGTTGGAGCCCGAATTGTTGACGGTTTAATATCTACAGCTGTGGACACGAAGAATAGGCGATTGCGATACCGACGTAAGGTCGGGGGAATCTCACCCGTTGCACTCGGATCCGTGTGCCGTCTGCGGAGACCAGTATTAATGTACCTCTACGTAATGAGCGTGACCATGCGTTCCTCACCTCCATGCGCACAAAGCTAGATCTCATCAGCCAGCCTCGCTTATTGGGAGGCTCCCCTAGGACAAGCGTGGACAAGCTATTCCATCCGACTGGCAACAACACAAATGGTCGGAAACCACAAGCGGCTTGTCATCCGGGGATATAGGTCTAGTACGAGAGAGTACTGGTGCTTGTTGTACTCTCTGTGCCTCGGCAGTGTCCCAATCTAGCAATGATCTCGTAGACCTCGGGCCCACAGTCGAGGCACTGCGGGGTGGTTGACTCGCTCGGCAGCCGTGGGCCATCCCTGCTCCACGCGGGGAAGCGATGGAGGATTCTGGGGAAACAAGCCCAATCGGTAGCAACCTTCTTTTCCTCGACGACTCTATTCTGTGTTGCCGCAGGCAGACGTTGCCAGGCCCTTCTCGGCGAGGGCGCGACCCGAGGGGGATCTTGTTGAGAAAGGAGCCTCATCCGATACGCTTGCCGCTACGTATTGATGGCTGCGATGGCGACCGCCCCTGCGAGGCGTTTCGTCACCCCGCCCACAATTATTCAAGGGTGAACCGGCCTGGTGAAGTCACCGTGGCTGCAACAGGAGTATCTCCTAGTGGTAGGACGCGGCACCAGACCGGGATACAGAAGGATGCTGTTCCCCCCCGTCCTAGTTTCCTAGTTCTAGGTAGATGCCTCGGGACATCTTGACTGAGAGGTCACATCCCGTACCCAGATCGTTGCCCCCTCCCTCCTCCTCCTCTGTAGTAGGCTATTCATCTTATCTCTGGGACGTCACTGCGGCTATTTGACACCTCTAACCCGGGCATTTCTTCTTCTATTGTGAAGTGTTCGTCCTTTTCTTTGTGGGCTTTGAATCAGTCGCGATCTTCTCTTCTCTCCCTTACTTCTGTCTGCACAGCCTTCCCAGAATCTTGGCAAAAATGGTCCTCAAGTCGCGCTGGAATATACCTATCGACAATAGCTCCTTACAACAATGGATCTTCGGCTCGTCAAAAGGTCCTCTTCCGGACCAAAAGACCGTTATCGATGCTGAACGTCCAGATACTCATTTCTTAACATTCACAGAGTATCGTCTCTTAGCAAAGCGTGTCGGGCTGGGGTTGCAGCAGGCCGGCCTGAAGCCTGGCGACAGAGTGCTAGTCTTCTCCGGGAACAATGTGTACTTCCCGTCCGTGTTTCTTGGCGTCCTCATGGCAGGTGGCATATTCACAGGCGCCAACCCAACCTTCGTAGCCCGCGAGGTCGCATACCAGCTTCGTGACAGCGGCGCCACGTTTATGTTTGCCGCCAAAGGCAGCCTAGACATCGCATTGCAAGCTGCGGAGGAAGCTGGCTTGGCGAAAGACCATGTTTTTGTCTTCGATGCAGAGACCGAAGCCTGGGCTGAGAAGCCCACACCCGGTGTGAATGGCCGGCAGCAAGGCGCAAAGCATTGGACCGAGCTGTTACAGGCCGGCCGGGCGCCGGCCGAGGCCTGGGACTGGGTCGAACCCTCCGATGCAGCGAACACGACTTGCTGTCTGAACTACAGCAGTGGGACGACTGGAGTGCCCAAGGGAGTCGAGATCTCGCACCGCTCATACGTTGCCAACTGCACCCAGGTCTTGTACGTGGCAAAGTTGGACCCTGAGCACGACGTCAAGAGGGACAGGGCGCGGGCTCTCGCTTTCCTTCCGATGTATCACGCATATGGCCAGACCTACTTCGTCGCGAACTATGCTCGTCAAGGCACCCCGATATATGTGATGCAGCAGTTCGACTTCATGAAGATGTTGCAATACATCCAGAAGTATCGCATCACCACATTGGCCTGCGTGCCTCCCATCATCGTGGCCCTTGCGAAGCACCCTGCCAGCCGCCAGTTCGATCTGAGCAGCGTAGAGGTTGTCGGATCAGGTGCTGCGCCTTTGTCTCATGATGTCGCGACAGAATGCCAGAGCTTATTCACAAACGACGTGGCAATAAGCCAAGGCTGGGGCATGACGGAGACGACTTGCACTACCCTGGCCTGGGACAGTCGAGTGAAAGCGGCTGCTGGCGTGGGAGAGCTGTACCCGAACATGTCCGCAAAGATTATGGAGCTGGACGGAAAGACCGAGATCCTGGAGGCCAACAAGCCAGGCGAGCTCTGGGTAAGCGGGCCGACTCTGCTGAGAGGGTACTGGCGCAAGCCGGAAGCAACCCGCGAGACTGTTGTGACCGATCCGGACGGCACAAGGTGGCTGCGGACCGGCGATATCGCGCACTGCGAAGAGTATCGCACTGGGACGATATGGCACATCGTCGACAGGATCAAGGAGCTCATCAAGGTGAAAGGAAACCAGGTCGCCCCGGCTGAACTTGAGGGCCTGCTTCTCGAGCACCCCGCCGTCGCAGACGTGGGAGTCATTGGCGTGACCATAGATGGCGAGGAGGTGCCACGAGCTTATATTCAGAAGAAAGATGGAGCAAAGGCGACGGAGAAGGAAATAGCGGAGTGGATGGCTGGCAAGGTGACCAGATACAAACGCCTCAAGGGCGGAGTGGTGTTCGTTGAGGCGATCCCGAAGAACCCGGTATGTTGAACATCATCGATCCCGCATGAATTGAATCTTTCTAACTAGCTGTCATCACAGTCGGGAAAGATCCTCCGAAAGATCCTCAGAGAACAGGCAAAGGCAGAAGTTGGGGACCGAAAGCCATTCGGATCGAAGATTTAGATGGAAGACTTGAATGAAACCTATTATGGACTAGCCAAAGATAAAGGGAAGATCCAGCTGGAATTAGGGACAGGTATATAGCCCATTTGATATGATAGAACATATAGCAGAAGCATGTGTGATGATTTAACGAGCTATTTGCCCAAGTTTCCGAGCTGCGAACGACTTGTCTATAGCACAAGGTCGTCGCGGAGCAACTAGAGAGAATTGCCTCATAATTGGTCTTCAAAATGAAGCAAGTGAGATTGAATTGAGAAGATTATCAATGATTTGATGAGATCGAATGATTGGTCTGGCGTAATGAGACAGACCAAGAGACAGAGTTAGAAAGAAGTAGGTTACTTGCTGGTGTCGTGTGCCTCCTCATAGGTCATTGGCCCGAGCTTGAAAATGGGCTCCACTATCTGCTGAGGTAAGCTCTCCCGGCTTCGTGCAGTCATGGAACTTTTTTTCGCGACCGCGAAGAGCTCAAGCCCAGACCCCAATCGGTAGCCATCGCGATTGGGACGAGACTGATTAACTGCTGTACAATCGACGAAGTGCAGGCTCAGCTCATAGCTTAGTCGATCCCAATCGCCTGGACTCCCGGATCTTCACGCCTCTCCTTCCTCGTCCTGTTGAGGCCTCAACCTGGCCTCCAGACCTCATGATGGAGGCCACAGCACAAACCTTCATTCGACCAGCGACACGCAGCTGTGTCTCCAGCACAAGACATAGCCTCAAGCAGCAAATACGCTCGAAAGCGACCTCTGCCCGCACAAGGCGCTCCCTCAACATCGCTCCTCACCCGTCATTCCTCGCCTCCGACTCGCACCTACAACAAGACCACATCATCTTCAACCCGCCCGCAAGCGCCCCATCTGTATACCACACACCCTTCAAGTTCCTGCCAAAGACCGACCCCCGGCGGCGCGCCAACCTGGCCAAGATCTTCGAGTCACACTTCGCCCCATCAGGTGCAGACACTACAGACCTGCCCTCCGTGCGGTCGTCGCACAAGTACGACCCCGCCATCGCCGCCCGGGGGCCCATCACCAAAGCCGAGGTGGAAGAGATGCGGCGGCTGCGGGAGGAGGACCCGCACAAGTGGAACGTCTCGGCCCTTTCCGAGAAGTACGAGATCCCGCACATCTTCGTCATGATGTGCTGCCAGGCGCCCAAGGAGAAGCTCGAGTTCGAGAGGAAGAAGATGGAGCTCATCCGCCAGCGATGGGGGCCCATACGGGCCAAGGCGAAGGAGGATCGCCACCGGAGGACACAGATGCTTTACCGGGGGGAGATATAGTGCATCTCGATTCGTGGCCTGGCCTGGCGCAGCGGGCCATATGAGGACGCTGGGTGCGATGGCCCAAATGGACGATGGTGGCTCATTCAGCTGTAAGATGCTGGAGCTGCAGCTTTCGAAACAGCCTGTTGAGCTGCGCCTGGCTTGCCTCGACGACCATTCAGCCGACTCGAACACGAGCGAACCATCTTATGTGGTTGATGGAACGAAGCGGCACTGCTCGGAGCAACGGTAGCTCTGGATGACGAAGGACGACTGCGGATGAATAGTGTACAAATCATACTGTAAAATCCGAGAGAACAATAGAAGACGGGCCATGAGCACGCGTCTGGAGACGGGCAGGCAGTCAACAAAGTCCGAAAAGCTGCTCTGTTCTGTACATTTAAAAAATACACTTCGGAATACCATCTCAAGCTTCATATTAACTTTCAGCACATTCCGGTCGAAGACCAAGAAGTGAGTGAGTGTACTAATCAATTGTTTGTCGTTTCTATTTATCGGACACTAGGCTGTCCTTGAAAAGGATCTTGGCTATCCTGTGACGCCAAATGTGTTGAACGAGGTATAACTCCAATTCCGTCCCTTGGGATATCAAATGGCCCTTACGCAGAGGCTGTCTCGCCCTTGGAGACCTGGAGCTTCTTGTCCGCTTCGTAGTCCTTCTGGCCCGGAACCACCCTTGAACACCAACCACACCAACTCCGGGTCTGCTTGTTGATCTCACGGCGCAGACTTTGACCCGACACCTTCTCGTCCTCCCACTCAGGCACACCTGCACCGACTCTTACCATCGTGATCTTGACCGACTTGATCTTATTCCCAATGCCCTCCACCTCGTGCCTAGCATATCCGGGTCCCAAGGCCGGCGACGGCGTCCGCGTTGTCGCCGACGCTGAGCCAGGGTCCAGAAGACCGGGCGTTGAGGCGTTGCTATGGAGGCTCAGATTGCTATGACTGCTGCTCCACGAGTGCGCTCCACTGTATAGACTCAGAGTTGTTGGTGACGACCCGGCAGAGTGACCCTGGGCGAGGAGATCCTCTGCTTCGCGTGCATCTGCGGCATCGCAGTCAATTTCATGCTCAATATACTTGCTGTTGCAACACTCGTTTTTCCTCCAGCACTCCACACCGCGATCGGCGTCTGAGACTTTGTCAGTAGAATATTCCCGCTTCGATAAAAAGAGAGCAACTCTAATTAAATGACGCTCTCGCAAAGTTGTACTTACCCCCGATACCGGTGCCCAGTCCGCCTAAGACTTCCCCATACTGGGACCGCCATTTCCAGATCCTGGATCCGCGTCAGTGCTTGTGGGTCCCTTGTGACGTGCCTTCTACAGTGGATATGGGAAGGGAAAATCAAGAGCAAAGACGGATTCCTCTCACCCGCGGTATTCGGAGTCTGCGCCCCTAATTCCACGACCGCAGGGCTGGCAAAGCCATACTCCAGCTGTCTCACATGTACATATCGCGCGTTGCACCAAGTCCGAGGCGGTTTGTACATCAGAGGCCAGCCGTGGCTTCACAAGGCGGCCGATGGGTGCCTTCTGGCAGGAGAGACAGAGCCGGCGATGTCTATCCCGCATAACGGCAGGCGCTGGTGGTTTGATTGCACAATTCTGGCGTCCGGGAGAACCGTCAGTATCAGGTTCGCCGAGCTGGGCGCGATGGGAACAAAAAGCTCACCCTACACACGACCGTGCTGCACTTGCGACACTTGGAAACCATGTCCCGAGCACAGCTTCCCGCCTTGCCGTTGTAATTGCCCCTGGACGTATCTTCCATATAGTACCAGTTGCCGGCCCTGGCGCGGTATCGCAGCGTAGATTCGGGGTCGACAGGCAGTTCCTCGTTGATGCAGTGAACGGTGGATTTGAGGAGAATGGAGCGGTACTGCAGGAGGGAGTCGTGGACGCCTCGACAAGTGCGCGACAGGCTGTCGAGATCGTTGAGGTCAAGCTGCGCAGCCACCGCCATGACAATACTGGTGTCTCCAGTCAGTTGGGCCCTTCCCCCAGGCGCAGAGGCCCGGAGAGAGAGGTTGGAGTTGAGAAGACAGAGGACCAAAGGGGCCAAAAAGGTTGGTGTTCGCCTACGGATAGCATCCCAAAGCCACTGTCATCAGGTGTGCCTCTGCGACAGCGGGCTCGTGAGTCGCCTCCTCGTGATCGTCCGGGCCCGGAGAAGCGCCATCCTGCTTCTCGTGCCCGTGGACGACCGAGCAGTCTGGCGGCGCAGTGCCGTTCCACACAGGCTTGTTCAGGCTGTGGCCCTGCTCAAGCGGCTCAACGTCATCATCTTCAAGATCCACGAAGACCGCCATTGTGGTTCTGACATGTGTCAAAGAGGAAATAAACAGGAAGAAATACAGAGTAGAGAGAATGCAAAACAAAGACAGGGCTTAGAGAATCATGAGGGCGACAGTACAGAAAAGGAGGAGGGAGGAGAAGAGGGGATAACGAAGTGATAGTCTACGTAGTAGCTGAAGACCACGGACACGGACAGACTAGACTAACACCTACGAGATCGATCTCGGAGGGATCTGAGAGAGGCATCCTTGACGATTGACTACAAAGGCCAGGGGCACTGCCGCCCGCGGGAACCCCACCTGCCAGTCTAAGTTCTCGCCAGGCCAGGGTACGTACCGGCTCTTTGGGTCCCGCAACTTCTCAGAGCAACCCCACCATTCTCATCGGCGACAGTTTTAACCTCACAGCTTGACGACCTCCTTGAAAGCCTTCACCTATGAGAGCAAGTCTTGCTGTCAACACCAGTAATCCAGACGCTGACCTGTCAGCTGAAGTCAGCAGAGCCACCTGAGGAAGCTTCTGAATTGAGGCATCAAATCCCCTAGAGGCGAATACGTCGTCAACAAGTCGAAGCTATATTGGAATTTTGAACTTGCAACTAGGCCTGGCGATCCCAGGGTAATTGGGATCTTTCATGCGCCTGTATCGTACCCATTTGCGGTGTCTATCGCAAGTGGTCTCTACTGCTGCTTGGGAACAACAGGGAGAGGAGCAAAACGGCACTGAGGTGAGCCAAGTGGGCTGCTGTCCGAGTTTCTGTCGAGATACTCACTACGCTTGCAAGACGACATCGATATGCCAAGTGGCTCAGACCACTGCACTGTCGTAATGGCCGTTGACTTTTTAATTTTGGTGCCTGAGGATTTTCTTCACTCAGTTAACATTTCTCGACCGGTTCTGACTGTCGGACAGTACAGTCCTATTGGCGTCTAGTGACGGGTGATGCACTGACCAGAGGTCACATGTTCCATGGGACTTCACCAGAATGACTGGCATCTCTGAAGAGGAACAAGATGGTCCAGTTATCAGTCTCATTCTTGTGGGGGCCGAAGAGGTTCCAGCTTCAAACGTTCCCCTCTAGCGTCGAGGCTACGACGTGCCGGTCATATCTCGAAGCTGCGAGGGACACAAATCCAGACGTGGAGCTCAAATTGAATTTCACGTCTCCCTTTATCCTCTATTCTGTTGTAATGCTTGAGGGAAGTGTGGATTGACCAGCTCTACATCCTTCTGCAAACAACTTCATAGGAAATATCATCATCCTATCCACACAATATGTCTGATCATTCAGCCCCTTCACGCACACATGCCGAGGATATACGTGTGAAATCACATTATAAAGTGCAGGAAGGGTGCGACGGAGGAAACGGCCGGGTTGCTCAATGGATCGAGCGAGTTGACGATCCGGCGCAGGATTCCCGCCCGCTGCCTTCTCGGCGCATCCAAACAGCTGTGTCCGAGACACTTGCGTCGCCCCAGGACGTGAACTCAACCCCGAAAGCTCTTCCGCAGCTTCCCGAACAACTTCGTCTCAGAGACACGCAAGAGTTTCACCGTTCTTCCAGACTGGACTCATCACAGATAGGATTGCTCGGTACGGCCGGCCCAAGAGATTCGTCGATCGGTGCCCGAGCCGAATCTTCGTTGCCAAACAAGCTGCCGACACGACGATCGTCTTCGCTGGCGCGTTCTCTTCCTAGGAAGTCCGATCAAAGCGCCAGCCGTGACCCATCACAGGGCACAAAGGCCTCCTTACGCGATGAGAAGGCCAGCAGCAATGATGATTCCACGGATGACTTTTCTGACGCGCCACCGATACCTCCACGGCGAAGTCCGTACCGTCCATCCCCAGGAACCAACGGCACGTCAAAGAGATCATACTCAAATAAAGGACAACCCAGCTCCAGAAATACAGGTCCTAATCCGGCACCGAATCCAGCCCCGGTGCCCGGCTCAGCATACTCTACGGGCAACACATTGGCCATCTCTTCACAGGTGGGATGGTCGACCCCCCAGCGCGCCGTGCCAGATTTCACGCCTCGAGCGCCCATGTTACCGAGCCGAAACCTACGCCGTGGGTCTACAAGCCTTGCGACAGCCTCCACTCGAGGGCACGAGTACCCTGATTTCAAAAACTCTAGCAAGGCTTCTGCGCGGTCTGATTCGCTGGCAGCATTACAGCAAGGCGCGCGGCATGTTTTGGCAACCCGAATTCAGCAGCCCAAGGTCGTTAAATCGGCCTCTTCCACGCGGAAAAGTGATGTTTATGCTTCCAACCCTCAGCTTAGATCGAAGTCCACCGCGAGACTTCCTTCTCGTGCAGACGGCAGCCGATCTGAGTTTCGAAATGGGCCGCCAGTCTCGACCGCGGGCCATGAGACAGATACCGGAGGCTCTAGTACAGGCTCAATCGCCACACCCAGCGTCTCGTCGCAAAAGTACCGCAAGGAGGCAATGGACTCTTTGAAGTGCATTCAAAGCGACGTCATGGTGAACTACCTCTACCAGCAGGCCCTCTGGAAATCCTACGTCTCATCCCTCGACTTATGGCAGGGTATCGTGCTCAAAGAGAGGCGCGGAAAATACTCTTTTTGTCCTCCACAGTTGGAAGTCTTTGAGAATGGTCTTCTTGATAACGTCAAGGAGATGAATGTGTGTTGTGCGATGACAGTGAGCACGCCGGTCACGAGAACGATCTTGGAGAGTATGCATTATGTGGAGCTGAACTATGTTCCGATGCCGAATGGCTTGCGTGTGCAGGTTTTGAAGACCATGTCAGATCTACCGCGGTGTCAGATACATCATTTTGCCGCGTTTCTCGAGGATTTGAGGATCCTTGTGGTGTGGGACGATGACCCGGAGCATCTGCTACAGAGGGCAGAGGACTTGGAGGCTAAGTTTGTCAAGATGATCTGGGGCGACAGAGAAGAACAGACCACAGAAATTGAGAAAACAGAAGACCCGAGGGCACTGGCAGACGAAGGGACTGAGGCTGCGGACCTCGGAAAATTGGAAGCAGGAACTGCAGAGCAAGAACGCCGTCCGGTTAGGATCGTGAGCTCTATCATCGTGGGCTTTACCGTCTGTCTCGCTATCGCATGCATGGGTTTGGGCTGGAGGCGCCTGGCCATGGAGTGCAAAGTGGACAAGAACTTTCTCCGACTGGCACTGCTTGTCCTTACCCCTGTGCAACTATTCTTCAGCATGGTACGTGAAACTCCAATTTTGAACGTCATGATTGTAATTGGGACTAACGGAGGATGCTCAGTTTTTCTTCCAAGCAGTCTGCGGCAACATCATCCAGATGGTAGGCCCGACCAGCCAGATCAACAGCAATTCGAAGTACTATTCCGGAATGGCACCCGAGAGCCGCCTACGACGACGTGATTTTCTTCCTCATGTCACGATTCAGATGCCGGTATACAAAGAAGGCACAACCGCGGTCATCCGGCCGACAGTCATGTCTCTCAAGACCGCTATCTCGACATACGAAATGCAGGGCGGCACTGCCAATATCTTCGTGAATGATGATGGGATGCAGCTTCTAAGCGAGGAGGAGGCCCAGGAGCGTCGCGACTTCTATGACGAGCACCAAATTGGCTGGGTAGCGAGACCGAAGCACGATCCTAACGGCGAGCGCCCCTTCGTGCGTCGTGGAAAATTCAAAAAAGCGTCCAACATGAACTACGCAATGAGTGTATCCAGGAGGGTTGAGGACAAGTTGCACCATATCCCACGCGACGACACTTGGACAGACCTCGAGGAACACCGCGCGTACGAGAGTGCTCTTGCAGAGGTCTTGGAAGAGGACAAAGGGAGGACATGGGCGGAAGGCAATATTCGCATGGGCGATTACATCCTTCTTATTGACTGCGACACGCGAGTACCCAAAGACTGCTTCCTGGACGGCGTCAGCGAGATGGAGCACTCGCCGCAAGTGGCGATTATTCAGTTCACGTCCGGAGTTTTGAATGTTTCCACCACGTTCTTCGAACAAGGGTAAGTGGCATCCCGGCCGCCTCAGCTGTCCGACAGACATGAACACTTACTAACATCGCTCATAGCATAACCTGGTTTACGAACCTCATTTACACAGCCATAACTTATGCCGTCTCAACGGGTGATGTGTGCCCTTTTGTCGGCCACAACGCCCTCATGCGCTGGTCAGCCATACAAAGTGCAGCTACCTTCGAGGACGAAGACGGATACGAGAAGTACTGGTCCGAATCCCACGTCTCGGAGGATTTCGACATGGCGCTCCGACTACAGTGTGCTGGGTATTCCCTGCGATATGCCGCATACACGGGCGATGGATTCAAAGAAGGCGTGTCTTTGACTGTCGGCGACGAGCTTGCCCGGTGGGAAAAGTACGCGTACGGATGCAACGAGCTGCTCTTCCACCCATTCCGTTACTGGTTCACACGGAGTCCGTTCACGCCTCTATTCAGGAAGTTCATAATGACGCGCAGCATTCCCCTCCCCAAGAAGATTACTATCTGTTCGTACATCGGGACTTACTATGCCATTGGGTCGGCGTGGCTGCTCACGGTGACAAACTACCTCCTCAGCGGGTGGGGGTTCGGGCTGTACGAGAAGTACTACGCCGACTCGTTCTCGATCTTCTTCAGCGTGGTCATGGTCTTCACGGGGCTGGGCAACCTGTCGCTGGCGGTGCTGCGGTACCGGCTCAAGAGGGGCACGCTGGTCGGGAACTATCTGGAGAACGTGAAATGGATCCCAATGTTCACCATCTACCTCGGCGGCGTCTCATTGCACGTGTCTCAGGCGATCCTGAGCCACTTCTTCGGGATAGAAATGCACTGGGATGCGACGTCCAAGGAGATTCGCGACGTCAGCTTCCACGAGGAATTGGCCACCGTCCTCAAGAAGTTCAAGGGCACGCTGCTTTTCTGCTTGGTCAGCACGCTGGTGATACTGGTCGGCTACTGGGCTGTGCCGTATCAGTGGCAGATCCGGGATTTCGCGTCGATCTTCCCGTTTGCCATGCTGGTGGGGTGCCATTTCCTGCTGCCCGTCGCGCTGAACCCGGCCCTGGTGATGTTCAGTTGGTAAGCGGGGGAAAGTGGGCTTTTTGGACGCAAGGTATCTGGAAATGTATGTCTGGAGTGTGCGAGTTAATCTACATTTTAGGGGTTGACTTGAATTGTATCAAGAGGCATTGAGCGGAGTGTCGTCTTGGGGAGCATATTTTCATGTCAAGTAGGTTCTAGAAATAGCAGTAGTGAACTTTGGTACGCGGATCATTCTAACTTGGACTTTGGCTTGGGTGGACCGTGCCTGAAAGTGAACGACGAATGCTCCGCTTCGGTATGTCAGGCCGGTGCCTCGGTGTAAATGACAGCAGGCCGCGAGCCATGGTTCCTTTGTTGTTGGCAGGAGACTAGTTCTAGCCTGAGAATAAATCTGGGGAGACTTTGGGACCCATGATTCGCACAGCTTGGCCCCGATGCCCAAAGTGCTTGTCCGAGGTCGGGGATGAGGCTGGACAAGGCTAATGTTGTGAGACTTATGATTGTGCCCGACCTTGTACGCCCAAGTCGGCAGCACAAAGAAGATGGTGCACATGAACGGAGATCCGACTAGTACACACCCCACGAGCAAGTTGCCTAGGTGGTGTTACAATACTCTAGTCACGAGAGCGCATTTGAGATGGGCGCTGCTCAGGCCTGATTAGTTGGTGAAGACGGGAGCTATTGTGGTTTTTGGCACAAAGAAATCCTGCCGTGGACTGGTGCCAGATAAGAGGACCAAAGCAGCCGGGGCCTTTCGCCGATAGAGCTGCAGAGCAGTCAAGAGTTTCCGAGAAGGATTCCAAAATGAAACATAAAAACTTGCAATGGAGGGCGAGTCCTCTTGGTACATAGACTTCAGGATTACGAGCATACTAGCTCACTGACCGACGTTCAATGACAGCACTCGAAACGGTAGACTACTGTGTACGTCAGGGTGGATACGGACAGGAGGTCGACGTTGACTTAAGCAAACGTGAATGGGCCGCTGCTGGAGCTGGTGGGGGATGCGACTGCCAGAGCCCAATTAGGATAGCGGCGCGGGATGAGGTGGACCGACTTGAGCTCTGGCTGGAGGTGACGTCTGTTCTGGACTGGACGCTGATCCAGCATTCAGTCCCCTCCATCCGTCTAATCCGTCCTGACTGAATTTGAGTTTTGATTTTGATTCTACTCACCAACCTCGTACAGTCGCTTGACATTGTATCTTTATCGTCAAGCAACTTGGTCCATTCATTGATTGATCGATTGACCAGGCAAACCGCGAAACAAGCAATCGGCTGTCGGACAGGACTAAGTGATCCTTCAGTCCTCTTCGTCCGCCTTCCCTTGCCCCTCGAGATCCGATGAGATCCCCCCTCCTCTCCCGTCGCCAATAGGAAGTAGGTGTAACCACCTCTCTCGGGAGAGAGGCACACACACACACAGGCACACCTGCCTGCTCTTGCACCGCGTACTGGAGGTGAGTTCATCTCTGCTTTGGTGTGTTCGTCGGTACTCAGCCCTCATGTGAGACCCTGCATCTGCGTCTGCATCCGCGTCTGCATCGCCTAGCCGGCTTGGTCTTTTCGGACTGCGAGGCTCGGGATTGTGCATGGGTGGGCGAGGACGTGGGCGCGGGCGCGGGCGCGGGTGCGGGCGCGGGCCTGAAGGTGTGGTTGGACCCTGAAAAGCTGTCCCTGCTGTCTCATCCATCATCAGGCCTGCTTCCCTCAAGCTGTCAGGCTGTCCACTTCCCCATATAGCCCCTTCTCTCTGCCCCAGCTTTCCTGCATGCCTCACTCCTTCTCGAGCTTGTCATTAGGGGGCCACGTCGCATCCTCTAATGAGCTGACCAAGCCACTACGGCATCTCCTTCCATTCTGGAGCCCGATCAGCATCAGCATCAGCATCAGCACCAGTACCGGCGAACAACATCAGCTTCTCAGTACTCGCGCCAACTGCCCTACCCTGTTCCCGCCGCTAACCTGACTGAGACATGCAGTGAGGCGACACCAACTGCCCTACATAGATTCTCCAGTACGAGTATTGTTCCGGCTGTCACACGACCCCAGACCGCCACAGCATATCTTTGTTTCCTCCGTCTGGCCCATTGGCATTTTGTCTTCCATACTACGAACAACCTACGCCTATTCCTCTGCACCACCCTCCTATACCGATCGTGCCCACGCCGACGTCTTCTAGCGCGATAGCTGGCAATGTCTGGCTCCGGCATGGACGCTCACAAGGCGCCCGGTCCTCAGGGCCGGAGCGATTCTATCGATGACTACGATGTCTTCGACGACGCCAAAACATACTATGCGGCCGACCGTCACAAGGGCACAAAGGCCTCGGCTCGGACTCGCACCTTCTCCCAGGTAAGCTCCAAATCGACATTGGCCCCCGATTTCCGGGACACTTGCTCACAGAGATCACTCCACAGAATAGTCTCATGCAGCAGATGGAGAGACTGGGCCTGAAGGAGCCTTTCCGCCGAGGAAGCCATGGTACGTGACAATGAGAGCATCTCGCCCAATTGTATGCCACTCAGTGCTCTTGCTGACTTTTGGCCAATGACCAGACGAGACTACCCTCAAGACGAATCGTCGATTCCTTGTCCAGGTCGAACCCACCCTCGAGAGTCTACAATCGCAGGAGGATACAGATGGCAACATGCAGATCACAATCGAGGACAATGGTCCCAAGGTAAATCGTACCACCCACTCGGTATGCTAGTTTAAGCTGACACTTTACAGGTGCTCTCTCTCCGGACGGCCGCCTCCAACGGCTTCAACAGGTTCGACATCCGAGGCACTTACATGCTGTCCAACCTGCTGCAGGAGCTGTCCTTGGCCAAGGAGTACGGCCGGAAGCAGATCATCTTGGACGAGGCACGCCTGAACGAGAACCCGGTTAACAGACTCTCTCGCCTTATCCGCGACCACTTCTGGGATGGCCTGACGCGGCGAATCGATGCATCAACCATCGACATTTGCGCAAGGGACCCCAAGGACTGGACTGATGACCCTCGCCCACGTATTTACGTTCCCTTTGGCGAGCCTGAGCAGTTTGACTTTTACACCAAGGTTGCAAAAGATCGGCCGGAGCTTAGGTTGGACGTGGTCCGTCTGCCAGAGTCAATGAACATCACTGCCGAGTTCATCCGTGACTTGAACGACGCCCCCGGCCTTCTCGCTGTTGAGATGGAGAAGATTAAAGATCCCAACACCGGCGAAGACACACTGCGTGGTCTGCCTTTTGTCGTCCCCGGAGGCCGTTTCAATGAGTTCTATGGCTGGGATAGCTACATGGAGTCGCTGGGCCTGCTTGTTAACGACAAAGTCCACCTCGCCAAGTCCATGGTGCTTAACTTCTGCTTCTGCATCAAGCACTACGGCAAGATTCTCAATGCTACCCGGTCCTACTACCTCGGTCGGTCACAGCCCCCTTTCTTGACTGACATGGCACTCCGTGTCTACGAGAAGATCCGACACGAGCCTGGAGCTCTGGACTTCCTCCGAACGGCAATCTTGGCAGCCATCAAGGAGTACCACAGCATCTGGATTGCCGCTCCCCGCCTTGACCCCGTCTCTGGTCTGTCCAGGTACAGACCAATCGGGCTCGGGGTTCCGCCTGAGACGGAAGCTAATCACTTCGTGCACGTCCTGGACCCCTACTGCAAGAAACACAACCTGCCGTTCAAGGAGTTTGTTCGCGCTTATAACAAACGCGAAATACTCGAGCCAGAGCTGGACGAGTATTTCATGCATGACCGGGCCGTGCGGGAGTCAGGTCACGACACCAGTTATCGTTTCGAGAAGGTCTGCGCGAATCTTGCAACAATTGATCTGAATTCTTTGCTCTACAAGTATGAGACGGACATTGCCCGCACCATCCGCAACATCTTCAACGATAAGCTGCCTATTCCTGAGGAGTACTGTGTCGGTTCACTCGTGCCCGGCCAGGTCGAGTCATCTGCCATCTGGGACCGCAGGGCGAAGCGCCGCAAGTTGGCCATTGACAAGTTCCTGTGGAACGAGGAAGAGGGCATGTACTTTGACTACAACACCGACACGCACGAGCAGAGCAAGTACGAGTCCTGCACGACCTTCTGGGCGCTCTGGGCAGGTGTTGCGTCCCCCAAGCAGGCCGCTGCCATGGTGACCAAGGCACTTCCCAAGTTCGAGGCATATGGGGGGCTGCTGGCGGGAACACTTAAGAGCCGCGGTGAGATCAGCCTCGAACGGCCGAACCGACAGTGGGATTACCCGTACGGTTGGGCACCGCAGCAGATCCTCGCTTGGACGGGCCTCTACCGCTATAGCTTCACGGAAGAGGCGGAGCGGCTGGCGTATAAGTGGTTGTTCATGATGACCAAGGCCTTTGTGGACTTCAACGGCGTGGTGGTGGAGAAGTATGATGTGACGAGGCCAATTGACCCGCACAGAGTCGATGCCGAGTATGGAAACCAGGGATTGGATTTCAAGGGCGTTGCAAAGGAAGGGTGAGTCAACTCCAACACGCTTGTGATTGTTTATGATGCGTTTGCAGCCTTTTGCTGACAGGATTTACAGGTTTGGCTGGGTCAACGCCAGCTACGTCTACGGCCTGCAGATTGTGAATGCTCATATGCGCCGCGCGCTGGGCACATTGACGCCGTACGAGACCTTTGTCAAGGCTGTTGACGAAAATCGCGCCAAAGCTCTCTCCGAGATGACTTAGACGAGCCTTCCGTACTTGCTATTCAGTTTAAACTTAGATGGCGGGCATGTGATTTTGGTGTTGGAGACAGTGCATGATACTTGAAAAGCAATCGTCAGCAAAGCATAAGATTGGGGTAGAGAGAGCCTAACCATCAATAGACTGGGAAAGAGCAGACTCGAGTTGAAAGCGGTCAACACTCTACATCCTTGGCTAAGTGCACTTCGCGGAGGGACGTACACAGGAACGACATGATGAGGATTAAGACCGAGGGGTTGGTAGATAACGTGAAGACGGAACGATGACCGAAACTTGGGTGGTCGCACTAGAACATACCTAGACAACATGGAGGCTTCAATTCAATATGAACATTCTCGACCGAAGCATCACTAGTCACTCGCGGGCATTATTAGGTTCGGAACTTGACCGAAGGACGGTCCAAACCTGGCCACGCCTCTCCTACATATTCCGCATGTGAAAGCTAGAACGAGTCACGGAGGTGAGACAGGGCGTGGCTAAGGTTGATCAAAGAACCGAGGTTCCACCCTCGATCGGGCCAGGCGTGCATGGTAGGAGGCTCAAGGCCCTGGGGGTTGCACTGAAGTGAAGGCTATGACGACAGACCCTTCAATCACATGTCACGCCGTCGTAAGTAATCTACGACCAGGGCTCTGTTCGGTGAGTAACACTCGCAGCACTTGCCATTGAATTTGAAGGAAGAGTGCAGTATTAAAATACTCAAAACGTCTGAGTTTCTCGGTTGAAAAAGTGAGCTGGTAGGCAGGCTGGCAGGTCGGGATGCATCGAGGGCTCTTGTTGCACCGCATCCAGACGTCAACGACCGCCCATCCAGCTGCATAATGATATGACGGCGGTCCAACGTTCCCCAGGTCCCGGCAATAAGGAGAACCGCCCCATTAGGCCCCATCCCACTTCTAGAATACCACATCTTCCCTAGCGTGATGCGGGGGAGGAGCTGGGGGTCTGCCTTACCGAATTCCAAGAGTGCTGCTTTCGGCAACTCGGCCAATGGTCGCATGCTCAGCAGTCCCTTTCAGCCGAGACAAGTGTAAGCCGAGCAACAACTCTCCATACACAGGCAGGTAAGTACCTTGTTTACCGCCACAGCGACGCCAGGAATGCAAGTAGACTACACACATACACATACACACACACACACACACACACAGACAGACAGAACTCGGGAGTTGACCGAGCCTTGGGGAGGCTACTCCCAGGGTGTAGGGGGTGGGATGTGATCAACGGGATGGGATTCCTGTTCGCCATAGCCGCTTGGCCGAACCCTCCCGATGAACCGATGTACTAATAAACCGCCTGCCTCTCTGCCGTGGCATGGCCTGGCTTATTGAAGTTTCATATGACGACGGTAAGACCCTGTCTATTCTTCTTTAGTTTTACACTTTCTCCTCGTGCCTTCTCTTCTCTTTGCACGACTCTCATAACGATACCAAGGGATATACACCACTGCTTGTATACATCCTCCTCTTGTCTGCGACATCTTTCTTGTGACAACTATATCGAATTGTAGAACAGTCATTCTGTTGCAATATACCCCATTAGACACACCATGGCGGCCAACAATATGGTGAACCCGGCGGTGGACCCCAAGACCGAGGACGAGCTCTTCGCGAAGGAGGTCGAGGAGGTCAAGAGGTGGTGGAGTGACTCGAGGTGGAGGAACACCAAGCGCCCCTTCACTGCCGAGCAGATTGTGTCCAAGAGAGGCAACCTGAAGATTGACTACCCGAGCAATGCGCAATCAAAGAAGCTGTGGGATATTCTGGAGAGGAGATTCAAGGTAGGCCATCAGCTCCCCTTCCCACTACACATCTTTCTACTTCAGACATTCCGCGAGGAAAAACAGCAAGACAAGATTAGAAACTAAAAGAGTGCCAGAACCGAGATGCTAGCTACACCTACGGCTGCTTGGAGCCAACAATGGTCACACAAATGGCCAAGTACCTCGACACTGTGTATGTCTCCGGATGGCAGTCGTCCTCAACAGCGTCTGCCTCAGACGAGCCTGGTCCGGATCTGGCTGACTACCCCTACGTGAGTTCAAGAGCCTCCTTTCCATTTACAATGATTCAGCAGCCAGGGACTTCCCGTGCTTACCAGCGTTGAATAGACCACCGTCCCCAACAAGGTTTCGCATCTGTTCATGGCACAGCTCTTCCACGACCGCAAGCAGCGCCAGGAGCGCCTGACGACGCCCACGGCGCAGCGTACCAACCTGGCAAACATCGACTACCTCCGTCCCATCATCGCGGACGCGGACACTGGCCACGGCGGCCTGACGGCAGTGATGAAGCTGACCAAGCTGTTCATCGAGAAGGGTGCTGCTGGAATCCACATCGAGGACCAGGCCCCCGGTACCAAGAAGTGTGGCCACATGGCGGGCAAGGTGCTGGTACCCATCAGCGAACATATTAACCGTCTGGTTGCGATCCGGGCACAGGCGGATATCATGGGTGAGTCCCAATTGCGCATCGTGTGAAGCAAAACCGAACAACACATATCGGAACAGGAACTGACCCTGCTGGTGTCTTTACAGGCTCCAACCTACTCGCCATCGCTCGCACCGACGCCGAGGCAGCAACGCTCATCTCGACGACCATCGACCCCCGCGACCACGCCTTCATCCTCGGCACTACCAACCCGAACCTGCAGCCTCTGAACGACCTGATGCTGGCGGCCGAGCAGGCGGGCAAGATCGGCGACGAGCTGCAGGCGATCGAGGACCAGTGGCTGGCGCAGGCGGGGCTGAAGCGGTTCGACGAGGCGGTCGTGGAGGCCATCAACAAGGGCACGCACGTCAACAAGCAGGACTCCGTGGCCAAGTACCTCAAGGAGTCCAAGGGCAAGTCGCTGGTCGAGGCGCGCGCGCTCGCCCGCGGCATCACCGGCGTCGAGATCTTCTTCGACTGGGACGCCCCGCGGACCCGCGAGGGCTACTACCGCCTCAAGGGCGGCTGCGACTGCGCCATCAACAGGGCCATCGCCTACGCCCCCTACTGCGACGCCATCTGGATGGAGAGCAAGCTGCCCGACTTCAAGCAGGCCCAAGAGTTTGCCGAAGGGGTGCACGCTGTCTGGCCAGATCAGAAGTAAGTCTTTTCTTGACATTTAACCCTTTCCCCATATGATATATATACACACACATTGTCACAACTTTGGACTATAAGCTCACAACACGCCCCACCAGGCTCGCATACAACCTCTCCCCGTCCTTCAACTGGAAGACGGCGATGCCGCGCGCGGAGCAGGAGACGTACATCCGGCGGCTGGCGGAGCTGGGCTACTGCTGGCAGTTCATCACGCTGGCGGGCCTGCACACGACGGCGCTCATCAGCGACCGGTTCGCGCGGGCGTACAGCCAGGTGGGCATGCGCGCGTACGGCGAGCTGGTGCAGGAGCCCGAGATGGAGCAGGGCGTCGACGTCGTCAAGCACCAGAAGTGGAGCGGCGCCACCTACGTCGACGAGCTGCAGAAGATGGTCACCGGCGGCGTCAGCAGCACGGCCGCCATGGGCAAGGGCGTGACTGAGGACCAGTTCCACTGATTTGGGGCCGAGGGATTGGGTCCGGGAAGGTTTCTTATTTTGTATACCAGAAGTGCATGCTGCATGTTCATAGGGCGAAATGAAAGTTTTCTAAAGCACTACTGTGTAGTGGCTTGTTCTTTTGGTCACATTGCGGGACATACGACAAGATTTACCAAAGGTCTGCGTGAGGGATGCATCGGCTGCCAATTTCCCATCATGGTGGGAATAGATGTGATGCCGTTTGTGGGGAGCAATGAAGTATCACCTTTTCAAACACCAGAACAAGCGGTTCGATTTCATTAGCAGCACATAATTTGCTTCCTGAGCGTTGAGGCGGTTAGTACAACGTTAGATGGGTGTTTTGTGACCAACACTTGTACAGGTCAAATGCCACCACATCCTGGGATCCGAAAAGTTCTCTTGGTGCCGGCAAGGAATGTACTCTGTTAGTAGTCATCTCAAAGCAAATCACGATAACCACCTTCAATATGATTTGAAGCCTCTCCGCATATTTTCATGAATGAGAATAGTATAACCGCCATGTCTGACTTTGACAACATTGCAACTGCTGGTAATGCTTTCAACCCAACGTCGTCGCGGTGTCTCGTGCCAAAAGTATTGGAGCCCTCGTAAGATCTCAAACCCACCAGCGACTAGCTCCCAACATGTACAATCTCGAAAGGCACCACAGTCACCTCCCCAATTAATCCATTATTAGTCTTCGGAAGTGCAGCAAACTGCGAAACTTCTCGACCTGCGCTCCGGAGGTCCGGCAAAATACTGCGAAGATAGTTCCACATCGTACTTGGAACTACCGCGACAATTTGGTTGCTTCCATTGACCAGATACGGCGTGACGTCGGCAGTGGGGCTTGTATAATCCAGGGGAGGAAGCCGAGCGCCATTGACGTGGATTGTGATGGCATCCAGAACCGGCGGAAACTTTATATAAGCTCCCAGAGACGTGCTATTGGTAGAGCCAGCAATTGAAACTGGTGGCCACGTGAAGTTTGTGTAATAATAGCCTACTCCAGAAGTGTTTGTTGCCGCTTCGATGTCGTTCCACGAGACCAATTCGGTGAGGTGGTGCGTCGTATTGGTCTTGATGGCGGTGATGGATGCGTCGCTCAAATTACTTGGCGCCTCCCAATGCTCCAGCTCTAGAACCCATGATTCCAGTTTGAAGGAGGCCGGCGCTTGGCTAGTATGATGGATTTCTCTTCTGGTTGACAAGGTGACGAATGTTGAATCAGAGGATGCAGCAATATGCAACACAAGGCTATTGTTCTCTGCGGCAAGCCCAACGACATTTGACGACAAATCTGTGACATGAACTCCTGGGGCTGTAACTCCCTCGAGAGGTTGTTGGGCAAACGCAATAATCTTTGTCTGATTTCCGGCAAGGTCGAGAGGAATGATAGTGGTAGAGCCATTAGTCTGGAAGTTCAAGACAGGCTCACGAGTTCCTGTCCATGCATCATAAAAGTAAGGTGTGCCGATGGAACTGACCACAATATTGCCAGATGCTGGGCTAGTGTCGCTGAAAATGTATGCATAACCAAAACCATCCGAAGTGTCCTCCCGCCATGTCGTGTACCACGTGCCATTGGTTTGCACTGCGACGCGTGGCTTGAGACTCAACGAGTCAAGTTTCTGGGATAGCTCGCCCTCGGCAACATGATATACGTTTGAATGGCTCAGGAGCTCGGCCAACGTATCATTGAAAGCCTGGTCACCAGGGACTGTCGCGTTCCTGGTAAGATAATGTCCCGGAGTGGAGCCCACCACAACAATGGGTAGTCCGGAGTCCGCGAAATCCCTCAGTTGGAACAAAGAGGCTTGAGTGATATTCTGAGAACCAAGCAAAACCATGGCTTGGAACTTCGCATCTTCAGGTGCAAGGATGCCGTTGTCGACATATGCTTGTGGCAAATTAAAGTTGTCGGGTGATAAGTATGAATAAGACCATCCTGTGAGTTGTCAACTGGGTTAATCCGTTCTAGAATATCTCTGACGAGTTGTTACAAACCTCCAGAAATGAGATCAGTAAAGTTATATAGCGTGACAATGTTTGGATTAGTCGCACTTTGCTTGTTGTAGAACGCGATGTCAGTGCGCGGAACCCCTTTCTGCTGAATGTGCTGAGTCCTTGCTACATAGTCCAAGGCTGCTTGAAGGCCATTGTTCCAGTCAGGCCGCTTCCGAGAGTATAAGTCGGAAAAGTAATAACTGAATGCAGTAAATCCGGGCCATGTCGTCTGGGGGTAGTTGCCAGTGTAAGATTGCCCGTGGATGACGAACTGGTTCACACCACCTGCAACAGCACGGTTCATGGAGAACAACAACTCTGGGATCGTGAGGCTATAAGCTCGACTGAAGACCGCGCCCAGCTCATTGGAGATGATCCTTTTTCTGGCCAAGTTCGCTGGGCCCGAAAACTGCCGGTAGCCATCTACGCTGTCGTGCCACCCGAGACTCTCGCATTCAGGGGCCTCGACGTAGGGTATCGATGCTTCCATGTCCATCGGCAAGTTATAAGAAGGTTGAGCAGAGAGTCTCACACCTAGACTCTGAAGCCATTGCGACAGGGTGGTCAGGTACTCTTGATACCCTGCTGTCAGAGTCGCGCGATAGTCACTAACATAAGCCTGTCCCTGATCTGGCGTATCCAAGGTGCAGCGGACGCTACCAGGGGCGTAGTTCTGGATACCTATGTTGTTGTTCCCGAACATGACCAGGGGAAAGTACGTTCGGAGGTCGTAGCCAAACATCTTTCTGAACCTTGCAGGCAACGAGCGAGTCCAAGAAACATTTGACAGTATTTCCATGCTGTCTTCCCAACCTGGAAGAATATTTGAGTCAGTCAAATGTTTTCGCATCAAAGTCTGGAAGCCAACATGCCGTAATGTCCAACCTCTTGCAAGAGGAATTTGACGTTGTCCGTCAAAATATATTCTTCCCAGAAGGCTTGCACTGTCCTAGCGCCCTGAGCGCTAAAATGATCAACTACGTATGACCCATTATCCCAGATGGTAGCGGTCGTATTGGACGCGAAATGAACGTTCTGATTGTGCGAGAGCTTTTGGTAAAAGAAGAATAGCTCTTGGTCATGTCCATACGGCAAGTTCAAAGGTGCTTTCAGAATCAATCTGCCTTTTTCGGATATCATCGATGTGATGTCTATTAGGGAATCATTTTGTAAGACTAGGTCCTCATATGTCACCTTTGTCACACCTAGTATCCCGGTCACATTGTAAGTGACGTTCGTTCGAGATACAACGATTGCGGAGACGGCGGCCACAAGCTCTCCACTTGACCAGCCTGGGATGGTTCCGTTGAAACCTCCTCCTCTAGGAATCGTCTGGCTGTTTGAAATCTGCACCAAAGACCCCAAACGATTAGCAAGCTTGGATCGAGCCTGTGAAACTCTGCACGTACCAAGTCCCATTGTAGACCTTCATCATCAGGGTGAGCCGGAATGCCTTGCCCTTGATTTGGCCCAAGTGCGAAGTCCATTACCATACCAGCCTCCTTATGGGCCTCCAAAGCTGATGTGAATAACTCAAGGAAAGCCGGAGTTCCAAACCCGTAAGTGGACCAGTTGACTCCTGTTGGGGGCTCCCCAAGCTCGCCTCCATAGTTGTAGAATGGCAAGAACTCCACACCACCAGCTCCAATAGACCCGGCAGACTTGATGTCTGCGTTTACTACATCAGCCTCGACGCTGGCGTCAGGAAGCCAGTATCTGAATCTTGGACGCTGTTGAGAAGGAGGGTTCAGGAAGTCATTTGCAGTTTGGGTATTATTCGACTGAAGACTTGGTTGGCAAATAGAAGCAATCACGGCAAGAATGCCGGCAATAGTACCAAGGGAAGGCATGTGCAAACTTCAGCTGATGTACCTAGGGGGCTTTATGGGTACATGCTAGTCATTTAAATTGTCTTTTCAACTCAAAACCTTAAGTCCCATGAGTGGTGGTGCGGTAGCAGGCAGGGGATATATATATGTGTTATTAAATGTACACCACATCTACAGCCATATGAGGTTCTGTCTGCCTGAGTTCTAAAGTTGGTCACCTCGGAGTTGTGACGAACGAGGACACTGCCACATTCGACCAAGTGACCACTGACTGCCGTAGTGTCTGCATCTTGGAACCCACAGGTACGAGTACGACGTAATCGACCATTATTTCGGTGTATTGTGGGGCGAACCCCTCAGGCCGGTCTGGTGCAGCTACGGGTGGTTCACGGTCGAGAGAGACTAGCAAGAATACTCTTTTGTGTTTTATTTGAATGTATATTCACCTGGTTAAGCAACTGATGCTACTCAATGCCACTACCCTTTGAGCGACGTAATCATCTTCCCTGGCATCAAGCCTTCCAGCTCAGGTTCTCAGCTGAAGATCTACATGGTAAATCCAATCGACAGCGCAGATCCATATGCCTCAAAGTCATTAATTAGTTCTTTGAGTGTCGAATAGACGCCACCCAAGACACCAGTCAAAGTCATATCACGGGAATACTGAAAAGACCTACCAGTAAGGATTGACCGAAGACGCTGGGCTCAAATGTCTGCGAGCGCCTTCATTACAACAGCTTTGTGTGAAGTCTGCCCGGAAGAGGCAAGAAAAGAAAATGCGTTGCACCGGGCGCCTTGATTTTCATGATTATTTCGCAATTCTTCCAACTTATAAGTCAGTCTCTCCAGTATTGTACCCAACTGTGACTGGAACGGTATCATTTGTGCAGTGACCTGAGGCTTGGAGCATGGTATATTTCGTGACCAATATGGGTATTCTGCTTTGTGCAGAGTACCGCAAGTATAGCTGTACCCACCCAACATCAAGCAAGCCATGGGGGTCAGTTGATACACCAAGTGGTATTACGCGGCGTTCGGCGATTCAATGTAGACATGCCGAGAACCTGAGTTGGATCATCGTAAAAGTAGTCTCACTTGGTTTCCTCATTGGATGGCTCATTGAAGAGATGGCGTAGATCTAGGACGAAGTGCGGAGATCAAAAGGCTGTGCCTGTCGTGCCTGTCGCATTTGCCAGGGGGTGGCGATCCCCACCTTAAAAACTCAGCCAGTCAGATTTATAGCAATACGAATATTAATCCTTACTTAAGTCTGAGCCAGTCAGACTAGCAGCATTACGCGCACCAGCGTATCCAGATGCGATACAAGACATCAGCTGTGTGCCGCGTAGGATCTGGCATGTGCTTGCCATCTTCACAACGTTGCATCATCATTTCTTGGGGTATGACTAAGTAGATACAACGCATGAGTTCTTTGAAGCAATCTCGCTGAGTCTCAGCCCGAAGACAATGGAAGCTCGTGTCGCAAAGCAGAGTCTCGACCATAGCCATATCTAGCCTGGATCGGTTATATTGACGAGGTTTCTTCGCACATCATAGTTACGCTGAGGCTCATAACCCCGTACGAGAAGCATATCTATGCACATGTACGTCTCCCGCCACCACGAGGGCTTTCATGGGCTCAGAAGATATGAAATGTCATCTAGCAGTACCCCGTATATTTTGCGTAAGTCCGAATGCGAAAATACGACAGGAAGACATAAAAATTGATAGAGAGTCGCGTGGAACTAGGCCGAGGACGAAAAAAGTAGATTGATGTAGCAGAATCAGTTCCCCAGCTTTGAGAGAGCTTTTCAAGAATATAGTCTATCAAAGTTGCAAAGCGAGATATGGGCAAGTCGTGACAGGCCAGTTCGTTCTTTCAATTTGGGAAAGAATAAGTCACAATGAAGCTTGATTCTCTGGTAGCTGTTATCGGTACCATTTTGGCACCCTGGGCAAACAACACGCAGTATTTGGTGAGCTGGGATGAGCTTTCGCTTATCATTCCTTAAGATCTGATCTTGATAGGCATTTGAACCATTATGTGTTCACACTTGACTGGTTTAGCTGCCTGCGGCTATGAATTAAGAGAGACGTTTACCTTAGAAGTCTATACTCACCTTCTATGACCGCCCACGACTACAACCCCCTCAAATTGACTCTCAAATTGACTGGCCTCAGTCCTGCGATTTGGCTTTTCCAAAGATATCCAGAAATGGGTTTTTGAAAAGGTTGTCTCTCGACTTGAACAGTTTGCCCTCTAGTGTTCCTCTCATGATTGTAATCTTAATATTAGCCCGTCACCCTTGCGTAATACGATACATTTGCTTATTATCTTCTGTACACGGGTTGGGTATTGTAATTTCAATGATGTACGCCCGTAAACTCAGCATTTCGCGAGTCTAGGTGTCATCAGCTGATTCTGAACTCCGTCATTTCCCACCCAAATCTTTGCGCCATACCCTCCACATTTGGGCGCTTGACGAAGTATTCCATCTTTACTATGCACAATGCGTCTAATCTTTCATACTCATGCTCGCCAGCGGTTGGCACGAGCACCATGACCTCACTGCGACAGTTATCTTCGGCCGTGTTGAAGTGCAGCGCGGAGAAGAACCAGACTTGCAATACATAGCCCCGGTCAGTCACGGGCAGGCCTCGGCGCTCAGCCACAGTGCTTAGATATCGCACGTCTCTCCTTGAAAGACGATACGGCCCGCACTGGCATTCTCCGTCATAGCTCACATACCAGCAAGCAGCTGGGACTAGCAGCTGTGACAGCCAACCACGGATACGCAGAGATTTTGCGTGACCCATGGTCTTGCTGTTGGCCAGAAGCTGTGCTGGATCCCGACCCATAGTCCATTGGATGGCATCTCCGTTCTCAAACTCAACCGCAATATCTGTCTGCGCGGGGATTTCGTATCCTTCACTCCAGACGTCCCTCCATTCTATCTGGCGGGTCGACGACCGGGCCCGCTTCCAGCCGCACCACGTCCAGCTGGGAATCTCCTTTCTCCTCTGGGCAACGTCCGACTGTTTCCCGTCCAGTCTGGTCACAAAGGGGCCAGGGAGGCTCCAAGATAAGCTGCGCAGAAGTGTGTGCTTGCCGGATACGCGTGAAGACCAGCGAGATTCGGAACTCCACAAAGGAAGTCCCCAGATGTTTCCTAGAAGGAACTCCGTGGCAAATTCCTCGAGGTAGTTGAGCACTCCTGCGAAGGCGTCGAAAGCGTCCGCATCATGGGTTAGTTCCCGCTTCATATATTCACGTACTCGCTCAATGAAATACTCCTCTTTTTGCTTTTGTCGGCTTTGTGAGCTTAGGCCCACTGCTGGTTTCTTGTCGGCCACCCAAGGAAAAACCCTGGACATCTTTGAATGGCCCGGCCTACTGAGTCTTGAGAGTGTGCTCAACGGCACGTTGAGGCCTTCCGTGCACCACAGCTCGCCGCATTGGAAGTAGCATTGGCTCTGTGTGAATACCAGTCTTCTGTTGGATACAAACCCTTCTTGGTATGTCCAGCCACGCGTATTCCAATGGGATCCCTCGACCTCATCTGCGAGATTGGTGAAAAGCTGGGTCAGACCCATTTCACCTGATTTCAACGAATAAGGCATACGATCTCGGCTCACACCCACCCCAGCAAGACCCTGGCTTGGTTGCTCGGCTGCGGACGCGATAATCGTGAGGGATGACTCCGAGTAGACTTCGTCCATGTTCCGAATCAAATAGGCCTTAGCTGTTTCGTCATCTTGGGGGATACAGTACCGGTCGATCCAGAGGTACTGGTAGCCCAGTCTTTGCGTTACCACGATGGCGTCTTCGATCAGCTTGGGAAGTGTTCTCGGTAAGGCGTCATTTACAGGAGCTTCCGCCGGGTCTGTTCCCCAGACGTAGCTCAGCGTGACGTATGGCGCGCCGATGGGCCACAGAACCAGTGTGCGAGTCTCGCAGTCGATCACGGTGAATTCAGGTATTGACAAAGCTGCTATGGTGTTGCAGTCGGTGTGTGTGTGCTCCCTATTGCAGTGCTGAATCCACTGTCTTACCACCTTAAGATCTGCCTGAGGTGACAGATGTCGAGCAAAGGTGCCAGCCGGTTTCAAGTCCAGTGGCATGAAGCAACTATTGAACCGCAACGCCCAGTCTTTGGCTTTTGTTCCGAATGAGAAGAGCGGCGAGATGAAAAATACGATCGGATCATCACCCGAGCACCAATGCCGGTCCTCATCATCGAGGAACACTGCGCTGAACAGCGATGCATGGAGTGAATACACCCCATTGCGAATTGCTCCCGGCAGGCCGGCTAGATCAGCTGCATCAACGGCCACGTTGAAAAAGAAGCTACAAAGGGGGCAGTTGGGGTCTCTGTCGACCATTCTGAGGTCGCATATGTGATGAGACTCTGCCTTCCCCAAGTGTTCAGCTGTCGAGTCCCTGTGGGTCAGCCAGCCTGCTATCCCGTCGCAGAATCGACACAATCCATAATCAAGAGACTTGTGATGCAGTGACGAGGCGGATGAACTCAGTCGTCGTCTGTGGGTATTCAGGCCATGAGGAAGGAGCTCCATTGTCGGGCTGGCCCTTGCTGATCCGTGTAGCTGGCATGAGGTTGGCCGAGGAGCCAGAGTTCCATCGCGCGCGAGTTCAAGCGAGGACCTTATGTGGCCATCCTCCATTAGAATGACTGATTTTGGTCATATAATCAGATCAAAGACTTCTTAGTTATTTCTTACTTGTTCAGGTATTCCTGAACAAAATGCTGTTGACGGTAACGAAGGCTTATCGAAACCAGCAGGGGCTGATGGAGCATTCTGTGGCAGAGCGGGGTTGCGGTGGTCCAGCCAGCTTTTTGGCGGCGGGTCGACTGGCGGACCCTGTGTCGGTACCGGTTGATCGAAAGGATCAGGACAACGCTCAAAAGCATAGGCTGGAAGTCTGTGTTGAAGAAATCAAGAAGGGTCCATGACAGCATTAAATCGATAATTGAGCGTCCTCGTCCGCGTATTGACATGTGCGCATGTAATTTTTTATACATTCAATGACATTTGCACTGCCCCCTGGCCTGTTTTTTTCACGGGAGAAGAATGCACATCGCGTTGAAGGTAGCATTGGGAAAGAAGTTGATCATCCAGGTAGAAGAAGATCTATGTACATGTACTCGCCCAGGCTACTCTGTGAGAACCTGCCCAGTATTGTGTAGGCAGAACAACCAGTTCCAGTACGGGTCTTTTTAAAGCAGATCTTGATTTGCGAATTACTAGTATTGATGGCAGCCAGCTCTAAAGTGGTCAGCGTCTATGCCTGTAGCTTCATCAAGCGGAGTAGCGTTCTATCTTGGAAAGGCTGGGTTTCTTAATCGTATTGTTGCTTTAGTCCTGTAATAATTTTTCCAAACTCAAAGGTATACTTAAACTTGCTTCCGTATCTCATTATCTGTTTCAAAATTAAAGGCACACTGTTAGTAGGTATCTCGATTATATGAGAAATAAACAATAGGTAAAGCAATTATATTGATTTATTTGTTATATATATTATTTGTTTATTCCTTACTAATTAATCTATTAACTAAAAAAAGCTAAATTAAAGTAGTACTTAATTATACTTATTAATATTTATAACTTTTCTTTTATAAAAATAATTTCTTAATATAATATACTAAGCTTACTTTACTTTAAAAACCCCCTGCTAATATATACTTTTATAATAATATTCCTTAAAGTATTATTCTCTAATAATACTTATATCCCTTTTATATACTTTTAATAATTATACTCCTTTCTTTAATTATTTTCCAATAACACTTATATTTTTTTTATATACTTTTAATAATTATACTTTTTTTATTTACTATTTATAAATTCTTTTTTATATATTTTTAATAACTATCTTTAATAACTTTTATATTTATATATTAAAATATTTTCTTTTTACTTTTTTTTTAAACTAGCTATTTTTATTTTAAATACTATATATAATAAAAATAATATTAACTCTGCTTTAAAATATTATATTTTAATTTATATTAATATTAGTTTTTTTAATATACTATTTAAAAAAAGCTAAATATTTAATAGCTTTTACTTCTTTTTATTACTAAAGCTTTATACTTTCCGCCTTAGCTTTAGCAGCAACTTATTTATAAACCTTACTCTACTTTTTACCTTACTTTATAACTAGCTTATCCTTCTTTACAAAAAAAATATAAAAAGTAGTAATCCCTTTAATATATAAAAGTTATACATATTTATTAATCTCCCAATATAAAAGGTTTTAAATTTAAGTAAATATAACAATCCAATCCTTAAAAATTTCATCTATTCCTACTTTATAAGTATAAAAAATACTAAATAATAAAATACTTTTAAAATTAACTATTATAAAAATTGCAATAACTTTATATTAAATATAATAATCCTTCTAGTAATTATTATTATTTATAATGCCCTTTTTTTATCTTTTAATTATTTTAACTATTTTAATACACTTATAAAAGTTTTAAATAATATTATTAAAAAAAACTACTTATTCTAATATTACAAGTTTTAAATAATTTATACTACTATTATTATAATAAAAATATTTAAAAAAAATATCTAAACTAAAGCTTTAGCCTTTTTCTTTAAAATACTAAAGTTTATAATATATTAAAATTTTAAGAAAATTACTATTTTATCCTTTCTTTTACCCTTTACTATTTAAATAATTGCCTTCTTTACAATCTCTATTAAAATCTAATTAACTTAATTATAGTTTAATTGCTTAATTAAGTTACTATAGTTATTAAATAAGCAACTATTATTATTATTATTATTAGTTTTATTCTCCTTATTTATTAAGTAATCTAAGTATACCTATCGTTTTATAGTTCTAGTTAGAGTTATAATTATATAGTAAATACATAAATACAAATACAAATATAAATATAAATATAAGAGAATTTCTAAATATAAATACAAATATAAATATAAGTAAATAATTTAAATACAAATATAAATATAAATATACTAAATATAAATATAAATATAAATATATATATATATATATATAGTAAATATAAATATAAATATAAATATAATCTATAAATAGATTTTATTTAAAAAAGACTTTTAAATATTTTATTAAATTTAGCTAAAAATTAGCTTTATAATACTATTTTTAATTTATATATAGCTAATTCTAATAAAATATTATAAATACTAATATTATAAAAGAAATTTTAAAAAAGTTTAAAATTTACTTATTATTTTTTTTAAAAGATTTCTTTTATTATATTAGTATTTATAGCTTTTTATTAAAATTAGCTATATATAAAGTAAAACTATTATTATAAAGCTAATTTTAGCTTAATTTAATAGAATATTAAAAAGCTTATTTAAATAAAATTTATTTATAAATTGTATTTATATTTGTATTTGTATTTACTATATATATATATAGAATTTTAAATTCTAAATACAAATATAAATATAAATATAAATATAAAATACAAACTTAAGTTAAATATAAATACAAATATAAATACATATATTTGTATTTATGTATTTGTATTTGTATTTGTGTATTTGTATTTATAAATACACAAATATAAATATATTATTACAACTCTAGTTCTAGTACTTATGCTTTTTCCAGCAGTATTTTCAATAGCAATAATTACACTATCCTATCTATTATTATTTTTACTAAATACAATAGTTATATTATTTTATTTATTAGTAAAACCACTATTATTTTCCTTACTCTTATTAAGGATAGCCCTTATAATATTTATAAAGTCTTTTATATTACTATTATTTAAATTACTAAAGTTTTCTATTTCCTTATTATTTAAATTATTATTACCCTCTTTATTAAAAAAACTATTATCATCTCTACTAAAAACAGCAGCTATAATATTTACAAAGTTTTTTATATTACTATTATTTAAATTATTATTATTATTATTAACTTTAATTTTGCAGTTAATACTTATAATAGTTAAAAGATTTAAAATATTACTATTTTTATTATTATTAAAAAAGTTAAAGTAATTTATTTTATTACTTATTTTTAATTAAAAAAGTAAAAAATTTTAGCTATTTTTAAAGCAAAAACTTATAATAATTATTCTTTAATTAGCTTTTAAAATAAAAATTATATAATAGCTTATATAAGTTAGTAAATTATAAAAAGTTAGTTTATTATAAAACTTATTATATAAATATTTTATATATAGAATAATAAAAGTAAAATTTTATAATACTAATAATACTAAACTTAAAAATAATTTTAATAATTTAGTTTTTACTTTATTAAAAGCATTATAAATAAAGCAAAAGCTAATAAATTTTAAAGTTTATAATATATTAATAAAAAGTTATAAAAAAACTTTTAATAAAAAATTTTAAAAAGTTTTATAAAAATATACTAGTAAAAAAAGTACTTTCCTTAATATATAAAAAAAGTTTTTATTTTAAACCTTTTTATAAAACTATCTACATATATATAAAATTTATTATTATTAATAAACTTTTATAAAGCATAATTTAATATTACTTTTATTATAGCATTTACTAAATTATTTTTCCTATTAATCTACCTTACCTTAGCAATCTCTCTTATCTTATATAACTATTATAAAAATATAATATTAATTATAAATTATTTTTCCTTTATTATTTTAAATTTTATAAAATATTTATATAAGTTATAAAAATCTATATATATAATTAAAAATATATCTAGTTATAATAATTATTTAATAATTATTTTAATTATTACTACTAATAAAACTCTAATATTTATACTATTTACTATACTATAAATCTTACTAGCTAATATACTATAAGTAACTTTTTTATATTTTATTAAAAACTAATGCAAAATATTTCTAATTATTATAAATCTCTTTTTATTACAAAATTTATTAACTAAAATAACAATATACTCTAATTACAATATTAAATCCTAATTATTTACAAATAATCTATTTATAAATATAAAAATTTTAACTATATTAAAATTTAATAATATATATTTTATTTCTTAACTAGTATTATCTTTTTACTATAATAATTATTTATTTAAAGCTTTATAATATTTACTTTCTAAGCTTTATACTTATATAGCTATTAAAAAATTATATAAAACTTTTAATTAATAAATTAAAACAATATATACTCTTTAAGCTTTTTATTCTAAATATTATTAAAAAGCATCTTTTACTATTAAATTAATAATTATAAATTTATTTTTTTAACCTTTTTACTAAATAACAATTAAACTATTTGCATTTATTATAATATAAATACTATTATAATTTAAAAGCTCCTCTTAAACCAATTATATTTTTAATTTTCCTTACAATTTTACAGCTTTTAACTTTACCTCTTTTCTATTTTAAAACTCCTCTAAAGCTAACAACAATATATTATCTATCTATATACTTATAATTTTAAATAATTATACAAGCTTTATAATTAAAAAGCAAAAATTATATATAAAATACTTTATTTTTAATTTCTATTAATAATATTTTTAATAAATATTAAACTAATAAACTTTAATTTTAATAATTTTATAAAAAAAACATATAACTTAAATAATTATACTCTTTAAATATTTTTCCCTTAATTCTTTTAATAAATTTATAAAAATTATATACTAAAATTCTAATTTAAATTAAAAATATATTTAAATAATATTTTAAAATAATAATATTATATTATTACTTTAAATTAAAATTAAAGCAATTATAAAAATTATATACGAACTTATCCTTTAAATTATTAAGCTTTAAATTAAAATTATCTCCTTATTATTATTATTATAACCTTAAATAATTAACTTAAACTTTTTATATAACTTTATAATTTTACCTTTTACTTTCTATATTATTTAAAATCTAAAAAAACAATATTTACTATATTATACTTATAACTATTTTTCAAATTAAAAAACACTTTTTTTAATTAAATTATTAATTTCTATTTT